TTAAGTCTATGTTAATAATTAAGTCTATGTGTATGTAATGACCACAGGTCTTACAACTGTGACTGTACTGTTTTAGGTTGTGATGGGGGCTGGGGTGTTCAAACCTTTTGAGGGCAACCCATCAAAAAAACCCGTCAAAAAAACCCAAAAACAAGTTGGGTTTTCATGGGTTTTTCTCATGGGTTTTCAAGTTGGGTCGTAGGTTTGTACACCACTATTATCAAAATTAAATAACCTCAACTCTTGTTTTGTTAATTGATCAACAGTAGGTAATTCAAGTTTAGGAAATGAGTCAAATGTAGCATTCGGACCACTTAAATGATCAAGTTCAATCTACCCGTAACAATTTGTGAAAAAGAACATCAGTTTTCAGAATGAGCATACCCAAAGTGTTGAAATGCATGAGAAAATTTGGACTTACCACTGTTGTCGCAATAGCTTTTGAAAATGGAAGAGCATCACCTTTCATACCAAGTACAGTTCCACATCCTCTAAAACTTAATTTATTACTATTATGGATCATTTCAATTACAATTCCAAAGATAAATCACGAAAAATCAATGACCTGATGATTGTTGCATCCATTTTCAATATCAGCCAACAAAACCAGAATTGAAACTCACATATCAAATCTTAAAAAACCTAAAAAAGTATTATCATGTAGATTTTTAATACGACCATTTTGACGAGCAGCAGTGATTCTACAAAGTTTAAGTAATTTAATTTCTTCATCTAAAAGTTGATAACCTTGATTGATCCTTTGACTGATTTTTTAAATTGTTTTGAGGAAAAGTTAAAACACCTTGATGATTGATTTTTTTAATAAAGTGAAGACTGCAGAAGGTTATCACTGCTCTGGGGGCATGTCTTGTAGCTATACAAGACAACAAGTGACATCCTGATGTCATCACATTGGATGTTCAAAAAAACAGAAACCACATTAGGCCCTCCTCAACCAGATTCACTGCTTACTGTTCCAATGCTTGATACAATGACACTCTCAAAGGTCACACCTCAACTCAGTTCTGAAAGGCAAACCCACAGCTACAACCTCCTGATTGCACCAACACTTTTCACAAAAACAATCATTGCACTAGAGCCACCATGGTCATGGCTGTGGAAGACACCTTTCAGCAATTTTTGTATCACAAATGAAGTGTGGAGACCTTTCATAACGTAACAAGTGTGAGTTTAATCAATGAAGAAGGTGAAGAGCACATGTCCAAATACTTTCAAAAGCTCCTCGAAGAGAATGGAGCAACATCTCATTTAGATGCTCCTCTTACACCTCAACAAAGTCCTGTATGAGTGTGGAAACAGATCCACCACTGAAATATCAAGGACACTTCTTCATTAATCCAACCTTCCATATTCATTCTGGGGTGAAGCAGTGACTACTGCCATGTTGTTTGAGAATTTTGCACCAGCAGCCATTACCAACAGCCTCTCAGTGTATGGATTTTTGTATGGCAGTCCTTTTGATTATCCATGCCTGGAGCCTTTTTTTTGTTGGGCTTATGTTCTGATTCCAAAACAATTCCAACAAAAATTTGACAACCCATCTTTGCAGGGTATTTTAGGTTATCAAGTTGGGATGAAAAACTATTGTGTCAGACTTGATTATGGTTGAATGGTGTAATTTCATGGTGCTACATTGAACTGGGTGCTTGGATTTTGAGATAACACCCAAACCCTGGATGTGGAACTTGAAGAGCTTGTTCAGGACAAGATTTCTACACCTCATATGCCTTGTCCTACATCTCCTGAAAGCACCAAAACTCCTTGACCTGTTGCCATCAGCTTATTTCCTTCTGAACCCACTGAACCTCTTCCAGTTTCAACTGATCCAATTCCCACCAATCACATATCAAGAAGAAGAACTAGCCTTTCCTCATGAAGACAAAGCTGGGTCAGGAGATAACAATGATGTTGCTGAATGCCTCACCAAAAGACTCAAACCAGGCTTGGAGTGGCAAATAAGGGCTGGATCACCAAACAATATCTCCAATGACATCAATTTAACCAAAGGCCTTCCTAAAGGTAGTAAAAGAAAATTTGTCATGGCAAATTCCTCCAACACACCGCAAAAAACCTACAAAAAAACACTCTCATCCTCTGAGAAGTAGGAATAGGATCAAGCTATCCTGTCTGCAATCAAGAACATGACAAGGCAAAAAGTGTGTGATGTTGTTGCTCTTCCTCTGGGTCATTGTGCAATTGGAACAACATGGGTATTCAAGAAAAAGCACAGAGATGAAGGTGAGCTGCTCAAAATCAAAGCCTGACTTTGTGCTCAAGTGTTTCTTCAATTTTTTGATGTCAACTACAACAAGACTTATGCTCCAACTGGTCAAAGTGTGGATTTTTGAAGTGTGCACATTTGCAGTTGTGGAAGATCTAGATGTGATTCAGATGGATGTGTTGGTTACATTCTTGAATGGCATTCCAGGTACAATAATCTTCATCAAGATTCCAAAAGGCTATGCTGTCAATGGTTCAACAGCTGAAGCAGTTCTTAAACTCAATCAAGCTCTGAAAGTATTGTATGACACAGGATGGCTTTCTTTGCAACAATATCACTCTTTCCCTCAATGTCAGATCCAAGAATTTTTGTACCAGATGACCCTCATTAGAGATGTATTGTGTTAAAAACATGGTCACTCAGTAGGCTGTCAATATAAGACTGTGTCCCAAAACACTTGGACATTTTCATGACTTTCCCTCACATGCACTTAATCGAGAACTATTGGCCATCTAGTTTATTTGGATTGGTTTATATACTTACTGCTATTGTTCCTTGATTGAGGGCTTGAGGTGCTCCTGTAACAAACAATCCATCAAACAAGAATCAGTCCATTAGGGTACCTGAAGCAAAATGGTTGCAGCCATGTTTTTCAAAAACATTGAGTCAAAGTTTTTTTCTGGCACAGGAAAAAAACATGGTTTGGCTCTAATTCATCATCCCCAGAAAAATGGCAGTTTGAAATTATGTTTCTGGAAAAAGTGGCAGGAACAGTTTTGCTTCAGGCGCCCTTAAAATTAAATGCTTCTGGTTTCACACTGGGGAGAAAATCAAGTCACATTGACATATGATAGGGTGTGTTGATAAAGGGTCACAGAGTGCACACACATTCACAGTCAGTCCCGACTCCCAGCCGTGTCACACTGAAACCTGGTCACAAATGTCCTGTAGGCATGTGGGAGGCCCTGTTGATAAACAAAAAGTTTTTCTCATTCAACATAAGCAGTACACAAAAGTCAAAAACCCGCATAAAACTCATATGAAAAACCCTGTCCAAACCTATTTGAGTTTCAAGATTTCCTGGCAAAAATCCCAAAATCCAAGTGGGTTGGAACAGGTTTTTTGTCAAACAGGTCTTGATGTTTGTGTAGCACTATAGGAGCTCCATTTGATGTCCAGGTATGCTCATATAGCCTCTAACTAAACTTTGATAGATACATAATGGCAATATAGGTTACAATCATAGCATTTATACCACATTTTTGCACCTAAAACAAATTCAAGGTGTGCCCTGGTTGACCCTGAGTGATTTTTGGATTTTCTTGCGTCTACCCAAGGCCGGATTGGGTCCCGCGGCCGGATGTGAACCTTCAGGGCCGGGTCGAAGCCTCAACGCGGTTGTTTGTGCACTCCCTGACCATGATCAACATCTTGTAGTATGATGTGACTCATCTTTTGACCCAGTCTTCTGTTTACACATTCCTTGAACCTCATCAAATCACGTCGACCTCAAGTATTGGAAAATGAAAGCTCAACTGATGGTCAAGCCAGCAAGGGATCTTACCATGTCCAGAGCTCCTTGGGCAGACCATTCGTTGTTCGAGTTAAACAAACGCGTTTACGGTTCTCTTTATAAATCGGGTGTATCAAAAAGGAGGACGGTTTAACTCTCCGCTGAGTGGTGTTGACGTCTAAGCTTAACTAAGCTCCTCTTCCGACGCGGCCACCTCCATTCTCGAAGTTGACATCACGAGTCCATCTTGATGGGCGTGAATGTCAGTCTACAAATTTCGAACGCATGAAATTTCAACGAATGGACGATGGATGTGATTCGGCAAATATGACGCAGCTTCCATTCCCATCTCTGACGATGATGGAGATTCAAACGGCTCGATTTTTGCACGGGGAAGAACTACATACTTGCCCGTGCTTCTTCAGCAGACCCATGTGTGATTAGACAACGAACTCGTAAACTTCAACGTATGTTGTTGAAGGTTGTTCATTTCATTGTCTGTTGATTCGTCATTGAGAGCGAAGGTTGTATGCAAATGACATCACGAGCTGAAGCACATTGTCTGAATGTGTTATCAGTTGAGTTACATTGTCAAACTCAGCAAATATCGAACGCTTTACAAGTTGGATAGACGATCGACAATCAGAGGGCGATCTATACCCACATTCTCAATCGTTTCATCAAAGCACCAACCCAATTGCTCACTGGAAGGCTGATCAACACTTTGCCTAGTTGAATAAAATGGAAGCTAGTGGCAGATCAACCTGCCAATGGGGTCCTTCATGAGCGCATGCGAAGGTCCTATCATCTAAACCGCCCAATAAATGACTTGGCGATTGTCCTGCCATGATCATTCAAAATCAGGACACTTCACGGCCGATAAAACCAGGTACCAAAACATTTCGATGGAATCCATTTCGGTTTAAATAACATTCTGACCCTCTTCTCATTTCCACCCGAATTTTGATCATCCTTACTGAGCTTTATACCACATCTTCACAAACACACACACACGTTCCATCATCAACTAAATCTTTTTTCAACTTTATCTTTGTTTGTTTCAAGAAGTCTTTTCCCCACACTGTGTTTCACTTCACCTCGTTTCACCTACACAAACTTTTTTTATTCTTAAACGTAAGTGACGATATTCAATTCACACAATTATTCATGCAATCGTCATCGTCATCAAATTCTTACCTCAATTACAATTTCTCTCCACTTTTACCTCTCAAAATTCAAAGCAACATGAATCCAAGTCTTCAATCTTACAATTTTCAATACAGAGGATCATCCAACGAAGGCTGCAAAAAACGAGATCATTCTGTTGGACCAGTTTCCCCATTACCAGAAGGGATGAATGAAAACCTTACACCTTTTACTTCGCAACAAGCTTCAGGAGATCAAATGATGATGATGATGAGAGATGATACCATTAAACCTTCTAATCAATTACCTATCGCTAAACGGACTAGATTAGACGAATCAAACGATCAACCTGTCGTCCAATTACACGTTAGAGAGGCTTCTAACTCAACTCATGCACAAGATTGTGGACCTGCCGAGGTTGATCAACCGATGCTATCAGCAATCCCTGCTGTTAGAAAGAACAAGAATCGTGGCTTGAGTATCTCAATTCCTCCTGTTGGGCCGACTTTCCAACATCAAGGATTGGCTCCTTCACCAGGAGGAACGAGTACCGAGGATCCAGTGACGCCATTATATCAAATCGTTCACACTCCTACTATCGCACCTGGCGCACCTGGGCCAGGGAATATAGATGAAATCCGTCGATTAGAAAGAAGTTGGGCTACTAATATGAGGGAAGATGATCAAATCTCACCGGATTTTCCTAACTTTCAATTGGGTCAAGATGGTATGAATCAATCTCACGATTTACTTCAAGCTAATCGTCGGGATCCAAATGATGGTACTTCTGCGGCTTTGAGAGAAATGTTTGAATTAACTGCTTCCGCTAAAACTCCTACTTTTACACCGGAATCGTTTTCTCTTATGTTTAAAAAAGATGAAGATCATCATGGTTCCAATGGGAGTCAACCTTCTACTAGCTCTCAATGAAGATTTATGGCGAGGATTGACGATTTGTTGTTCTATTGTTACACTCCTTTATCTATTTATCTTTTGAAGAGTTCTTACGTTTATTGGATTCATTCGTTCCATTTTTTATTTAGTTGATTTGGATCTGATTATAGCTATACACTCACATTTAATCATTTGCAAGTATAGCTCTTATATTTCCTATCCTCTTTACATCTTAAGATCGTTATTGTTTTCTTTCTCTTCTGTAGTACAACTCTCATCATTATCTTTTTCTTCAATCAACTCTGGCATTTTCATTTCTTTCTCTACTTTCTTCAAGTTTAGTTTTTTGTTGTATGTCAAAAGTGTTTATAATCAATTATGTAAAAGAAAGTTTTTTGTATCACATGAGAAACGATTTGAGTTGATGTGTTTGCTAACAATCTGAAGTTGAGATGATAATTTTGAAAAGACTATCAACTTTGATTATTTCTTGGATTTTGCTTGCCTACCAAGTAGTGTCTCTGCACCTCTCTCATCACTTTATCTTAGTTCCTATGGGATGAATTGCCTACGCACAAAGACATTGCCAAGTTTAAGCCCCTGGATCATAGTGTTCAGGGAACATCCAATTAGAATTGAAGCTTATGGCTATAATCTGCATAACATCACTTAACCTTAATCTTACGAATAAATTGCTTGTTCTATTTCGCGCAATTCTGACGTCTATTTGAAACTCAAAATGATTCAAAGAAGATTCAAAGACCAAGTCCTTCTTTATACAGAAACTTGACCAAAGATGAAATTCAACGCAACGTCAAGTGATGGAGGTAGGATAACATCCAAGATATATACGAGAAGATTAAGGAAGATGGGTTGAGGTCAAGAAGATTGAAAAGTTTGTGGTGATTGTTCCCTACCTGGATATTCCTCTAACTCTTGACTTCGGTGACGACGTGTGCTCCACCTTTGACATATGCTCTCTTTGTTTCTCCATGAGAATGGTGACTTGTTGCATCTTAAGAAGCAACGTGACGTTGATGATACTGGAGTTTCAAGTGGCACAATAGGCATAATCGAATGAAACTCATATCGATCGGGCAAGGTTTCGGAGGCCTACCACCAGCCTCGGGAGGAGAACTCTCGAGGTTGCAAACCAAAGGCCTTTTGATGATAAATTGTTTCGTTACCTTTTGTTCTCTATCCAAAGCTGACCGCACACATTGTTGGTCCATGTTAAGACGCATTGCTGGCACAGTGATTTGGTTATCCGGGCTTGTATGAAGTCGTCCTCAGTATTTGCAAAACAAACAGAGAAGTTTCAGCCAAATATGGGTAAGAAAAATATCAACATTCTCTTTCATTGATTTCAAAATAAAGACTCTTATATCTAATTCATAACCCAACACTCCTCAATTTTGGAATAATAATAAGAATGCATAGTACATAGACATTGGGAAATTGGATGACGATTAGGTTTCTAAAGGAAATCTACAAATACTTTTTATGGAGTAAAGAGAAATTAAAACAAAACAGGAAATCAAGAAACCCGAAATTCCACCTTAAATCGCATCAAGTTTTCACTTTTGTATTTACCAGTTGCTTTAGTATGTACCTTATGGTAATTCTTCAAATGAAATCTGTTCAGAATGAAAATTATTAAAGATTTTAATCAAAACTGAGTTACTGAGAGGTCATTTGAAAAAAAACAAATCATAATATAACACTTGATCATGAACACTCCAAAATTACCGATTATTCCAATTTTGATGTTTGATGTGCAACTTGTTCCCAATCTTTCCTAATCAAATTCTCGATCCTGATTTCAAAAGATTCAACATACTTTTCATTACAGAAACAAATAAATTAAAAAAATCAAACATACCGTTCTAAATAAGCTTCCTTCTTCATATCATCAGGAATAAATGGTTCGGTTAGAGGGTTCTTAAGAATAGCTTGAACTGCCTCTAGTACATCTTCTTCACGATGATCCTGAACGTTATATACGTATGGTGGATCGAAACGTGCCTAAAGAAACGGATTGAGTTTAATGATAGTCAGAGGAAAGTGAAAGGGTGGTTTCACCACAATAACAAAACTCACCAGATAAGGATGCTGTGAATGCCATTTTGATCGATCTTTGATTGATCTTCGACCTAACCAAACAGCTAATATCAATTTGAACAAAAATTAGTAAGTCACTTGATCAAGGGTATAAAAACAGTAAAAAGGAAATCAGTCAAATCTTGCTTACGGTTAATGAAAGGAGTTCCAACACAAAGTGCTTCAAGAGGGGTACTAGGTTGAACCGGTCTTCCTATTCCCAACAAAGCACGATGGTGTTGTAATTCAGACATAAACTCATCCCGAGATGAACTACCGATATCATCCAAACCCGGCCAAATATCTGAATTGGTTTCAAACTCATTTTCCGGCTGAACTGTTCCGACTGTAAATTTGACACCAGTTGCGTTTGTCACTTCAGTGAAGATGGTAGGTCTGAAAAGTTGAGGCGTTGGTGGATGGAAATATCCTCGATCACGGCCTAAGACGTAGATCTTATCTGTTCGCTTTGAAGGTGGGACAACTTCGAATCGGTGACAGTAGTGTTCAATGGTTAGACCTAGGTAAGTAAATCCCAAATCCTCCTCTATGCGCCAGGTCAAAAGCGTTCGAGGGAAGGAGCCGGAGGGAAATTATGAGTCAAATTGATCAAAACTCAAACGTAAAATAGATACGAGCCGAAGACCAAGCGTACGAGGATAGAATGTGAGATGCCACGGTCGACCAAGTGGATGTCCAATATCCCTATTCGAGAAAAAGCCATACGTCGGTAGGTAGCAGGTGAATCACCCAGATGAAAGCGAACAGTTAGTAATCCGACTTTCGATCGTATGAGTGGCAAGTTGTGATGGATTCAGAAGGAAAGATCAATCAGACGGATAGTGAAGAGATGTAAAAAAAATAGAAAGACAAGCGTACTGTCCAAATCCTAAGATTTCGGGCCAAAGAGTAAAGTGTAGTACGTCAACAAAGCATCAGAAGCGAGTCGATAAAAGAACCAGGGCTTTTACGTACCATCAAAGACAAAGATTTTGTGACTTGGGATACCTTCGGGATTCGAGTTTGACTTTGCACAGACCCTACCGTTCTGCAGACAATGTGAGGCTAGTAGGGGTGGAAGATGCGAGGGAAAGGGAGAAAACCGTTTAGACAAGGTGTGGTCTAACATATATGCATCGGTCAAATGTGCAAATGCCAACCTGACAGAAAGTCCCCTACCACCATACTGACGTCATCACCAATCAGTTTGTAAACTTGATCCAGCCTTGAATTCGTCTCATCATGACTCTCGCCTCCGATGATCAAGTATGGGTATTGAAGCTGCTTCAGTGCCCATATGAACGCGTCAGCCCCTGTGAACAAAAATTTAAAGACTTTCTTGGTTAAGCGCAATCCGGATGTCGCGAGAGACGAAATCATCCAAGGAAAACTTTGACCAACAGATGCCTTCACCAGCAGGAAATGTGACCTTTTTGTTAAACATCCCATCAACCACTCGTACGAAGTGAGCAGAGCCAAATAAGACTGATGTTGAAAAGACGGGCAATGCAAATCAACTGCTATCAGTATGAAACGGATAACACGTAGGAAGCTAGAGGGAATCAAGAGGTACATGGAATACTGACCAACATGCTTGTCCTTAGGGGTGCAATGTAACAAATGTGGTTGGTGATGACATTCGATCAAACGAGCGAGAGTGTCTTGATTATTCGATCTCCATCCTGATTCACCTGTTGCATGAGGGAAAACACGCATGGCTTGGGTTCTCGGAAGGCTAGGGTCTTGGGATTGCACGAAATCATGTGGTCGACTGTGCCATGGTTTACGCTTGACGCTGTGAAGGTTGTGAGTAAGGTTAGGTGACGCAGAACGTTCGCGCGTTGTATCTCGATGTTTGCTGCTCGGCCGCCGGAGAAAGACGAAGACCAAGATAGTAGTCATCAGACTGAAGATGACGAAGTAGCGGGTGGAAAAGCGTGCCATGATTCGAATATGATTGAGAACCTGAAAGGTAAAGACAAGTTGACGGTAGCCAATGATAAATGAATAAATGCGTTCAAGGATTCAGATTCGGAAAGTAGAAATCGATATGAACCTGGGGTGGCCCTTGCTTGAGTTAAACTAATCAGAATTCACAATTTAAGACTTCATCACAGTTTCCACCCAATCGGTCAATTTCATCGTACATCCTCTTTGTACTTTAAAAAAATTTAATCAGATCAATCTATGATAATCGTGGAACATTGGTCATCATAGTTCGATAGCACCGACACCGACATCATGTTCAACCCAAGCATGAAAAGTAAACTAAAAAGCCCGGCTTGCCGTCTTGACTCTTCATCGCTGTCGATCTCGGAGTAGTTCCAGGTTCCTCTCGGAGTTCAAATCTTTCTCTGGAGAATTCCAGACAGAGTGACGTCACACGCGTGTAACTAATTAGTGGTATACATACACTCCATTCGGTAATCATGAAATACCTGAAAAGACCTGAAAACCAGGTTGATAATTGCTCACTCTCAGCCAGTACAAATGCCGTTTGAGAATTACTTTGAGCCCGTGGATTGTACTTGTAAGTTATCCTTTGTGTCATATAATACGGCCAAGAAACAACCTGCTCTTCTCCTGATTTGATCTGTTTCAATGTAGTGTGAAGTGCAAGTATGTCGCAAGTTTCTTTCCGGACAGAGTGGTTAGTGGACTGGAATCAGTTGAACAAAAGATCGCGTGGTCGACTGATGTGTTAGGAGAAGTTGGGGAGTTCAAGGTTTGTCCTTCAGTCGAATCATGAGCATATTGAATGCATGTGTGACCACGAACAGCCAGAAGAGTCATCGCAAAAGTAAACATGGTCGGTCATATGGTCGATAAGGAGATGACAAGTGGATATAGCAATGAGATCAATTGCATTCGAAGACCATCAAGTATGTAGGCTCAAAATCTTTCAAATCCAAAGACGCCTATGGCAGTCTGCCTCACTCATCCAATCTGAACTTGACTTTGATTCTCTGCCTCAGACCACACTGTAGAAAGTGCAACAAAACATACACAAACTCCTCTGGAGGATTAGCCAATCAAGAAAAAAAAACTGCAGCTGAGAAACATAACATATTACTTGCTTGCTTCAGTTGAATCAAGACGGATTGATTATGAAAGATTTATTACACCTGCTTGAGATCCTCTTCTATCCACATCAAATCAATCACATCCAACGCTCCTTGATGTGGACAACATTCATGTCTCTCAGTCCTAAGGCGGTTCAAGGTGATGATGGTCTGAATGAAGAGCTTATAGATTGTTCAATTGATCGATTTGACTCAAACATAACGCCCCTAAAGAGAGGTCAGAGTTTCGAGGTTGATATCATTTTGATATAATTCACAGTATGGCAAGTAAACTGAACACGAGGACTTCATCCAAAACAATTTCTTGAAGTCAATGTTGGCTCTCAGTTCAATCATCAAAAACTCATTAAATCAGGAAATTTCAGCGTTCCAGGATTGGATTTCTCCATAACCAAACTAGCATAGAGGTGAAGAACTGTTGACGAGTCTTCAAGTCTTGCAGTTGTTTACCTAGATTCTTTTGTTCCTGATAAGTATCCCCATTTTCCTTGACTTTTTGGTTTTGATTCGTGTAAGAAAGTCATACTGAGCCACTTCACGAGGCATAGAGCGAGTCTCAACAAGCCCCAAAGGATTGAAATATCGATGTGCGATTGTAATTGCTATTTTTAACTTATGAAACAAAGAAGCCATGATCCCGATGGTGAGAGGAACTAAGACACGAAAAGGTATCTCATGTGCAGCGATACCGCCTTGAACACGCGTAGATCCGCTACAAATCTCAGCCTGGCGACAATACAATACCCGCAACGGATCAGCCAGATTTGCGGAAGGTTGATCCCAAGATGAAGATGTAGGTGAAATTCCCTGTGAAGAGCGGGATGTGGTATTTGTTTGTGGGCATTAGTGTGTTCCAGATCAGCTCTACGATGTACAACACAAACTCTATCTAAAGGGTTCTGATCAGTGGGGCGCAGTCAATCCGGGCGGATTCCCGAACCTGCTAAACTGCGGGTCGCTATGGGGTGTTGGCAGTGGTGTTTGAAGGAGATGGTTTGGATCGAGAAAGCTCTAGCCAGTTTTTGGTTACCAAACCGTCAATTCTATAGAAGGGATGTAATGAAAGGGTTCAGAAATATTTTTGACTATAGTATGTTTCATCAAGAATAATCAATGAGAATTTTACTAACCGTGCAAGATAGGCTTCTTTCTTCATGTCATCTGGAATGAATGCTTCCTTGAGCGGATTCTTCATGATAGAGTCTACCGCTTCCAAGAGGTCCTCCTTTCGATGATCTTGTACATTATAGACGTAAGGTGGATCAAAATGCGCCTGTTTTCAAAAGACGAAAGCCCCATAAGTCTTGAATTTATGATTGAAAATTAAATGCAGCTCCAAAAATTTGGTTCAATGTGCAAAGAGATTCATCTCAGAATGCTACACTTACAAGATAAGGATGTTGGGTGTGCCATTTTGAACGATCGGGTTCGCTTCGGCGACCTACCCACACAGCTGTAGTCCAAAAATTTCATCAAGAAAAGTGGGACAAACAAAGTTAGCTTGCGAGGTAGAAACATCGACTGGACTAAAGGTCATTTCGCAGAATTTCTAGTGGAGATTGAGCCAGTATTGAAGGGGTGGTGGAATGATAGAAGATCTCGAAGCAATTGGCTCACGGTTGATGAACGGCGTTCCGAGACAGAGAGCCTCTAGCGGGCTGGAAATCTGTGGTGACCATCCGAGACCCATTACAGCTCGATGATGTTGAATTTGGTAAATAAAATCATCTCGCGACAGGCTACCGATATCATCTAGACCAGGCCATAGCTCGTCTCGCTCATCTCCATGTACTTTTGAAATGGATTTCTGGACTGTTCCAATGGTGAAAGAGATACCAGTTTCATTGGCGATTTCTTCAAAGATTGTGGGATTCCAAAGGACTGGAGCCGGCTTGTGGAGGTAGGCTCGGTCTTTCCCCAGAACGTAGATTTTGTTGACACGTTTCGAAGCAGGAACTACACCGAAGTGATGGCAATAGTGCTCCAAGGTGAGGCCTAGGTAAGTGAATCCTTTTTCTTGTACTGTGGAACACATTGTGAAGGGATAATTGAATAAGTTCTCGGGGAATATGACATTAAGACAATTAAAGTGAAAAGTGAGGCATACAAGGGTAGAATGTGAGATGCCATTGTCGACCTAGTGGATGGCCCACGTCTCTAAGTGGGACGTACGCAACGGGAGACGAACAGGCAATCAGAAAGAGCAAGGGGTCAGCTTTCGAAGAACAATTACTCTCAAATAAAAGAATCCGCGCTGTTGAAAAAAGCTGCACATACTGTCCGAACCCTAGCAAATCAACAGCAACAAAGGGGAAGCGGGCTTTAGATAAGCAGATTCTCATGCCTCGGGGGACTGAAGTTTACAAGCAGAGGAAATTACCCACCGTCAAAAACAAACAGCTTATGTGTCGGGATACCATTCGGGAACGAGGATGTCTGGAGGCAAAGCGGGTTTTTCAAACATTGGGGCACTGATCAAAGAACAAGTCACAAAAGTGGTCCAATGAAACCGATGATCAAAAGAATCAGCGTCGTGTGACTCGTATGCGCTGAGTGAGCTTCTGGCAATTACCTCGAGCGACGCATTGAAAAGGATATGATTGTTTTGAAATTGAGAGAAAACTGGGCTCATACCTGATAAATAGTCACCCAAAACCATGCTGACATCATCACCAATTAAATTGTAAACTTGACCCAGACGATAATTAGTGTCATTGTGACTGAAGCCGTCAACGACAAGGTATGGGTATTTGAGCTGATCCAACGCCCATAGCAATGCATCTGCCCCTGATGTTCAGAAATCACGAATGTGAGCTAGAAGGTTTTGGCAAAAGGCCGCTTTGAAGCAATCAGATCAAAAATAAACCAACATATTGCTTCACCCGCTGGGAACGCCGCTCGTTGCTTAAACAAGCCATCTACAACACGCTGGAAGTGGACGGTGCCCAAGAGGACTGTTGAGATATAGAAGGAAAATGAGGTATGTCAGCTCAAATTTGATGTTAGGAATTGATATTTTGAAAGAGGATTAAGGCTCAGCGGCATATGATTTCGGCGTTCTACTTTGGTTGACCTGAAAAACTCACCGATATGTTTATCTTTGGCCGTACAAGGAGCGAGTCCAGGGGCACGCTGACATTGAATCAGGCGAGTGAGGGTATGTTGATTCCTCAGACGCCATTCGGGCTCGCCATTTCTATGAGGAAAGAGACGAATGGCCTCCCTGCGTGCAAACGCAGATTCACGGAGGGGTAAAGACGGGCGGGGGCGAGGAGACTGAGGAGGAGCTGTGAGTTTAATAGCATGTTGAAATGTATGTGTGAATGTGCTTCTTCGCCACCAATAAACCAAGCCGGTAAGAATCAGTAAGGCGAGGGTAAACCGCGAGCGAACCGAATATGGTGTCATATCTGTGCAATATGTCGGGTTCTCCTGGCTGCGTAGTCACTATAGTAATGTCCGTATGATTTAACGATAAAGAGTGAATCGGATGATGTGACTTTGAGCCAAGAGGGTACTGATGTCGTGGGTATCGTCAAACAACCACAAGCGCCGTATGCCTCGTTTCTGGGCAAGAACTTTCGAAGCTGAGTGTGATGATTGCTCACTTGAGGGGTCTAGATTTTTCGAGATGCGGCTCGACAGATATCAAGTTGATGAGTATTGGATAAGAGTCGCTGGTGAAAGTTGGATCAGGGGTAAACTTGACCAAAAATGAAATTCAACGCAACGTCAAGGGATGGAGGCAGGTTAACATCCAAGATATGTATGCGAAGATTGAGGAAGATGGGCTGAGGTTAAGAAGATTGAAAAATTTGTGGTGATTGTTCCCTACCTGGATATTCCTCCAAATCTCGACTTCGGTGACGACTTGTGACTACAAAGCATACCTCCACCTTTTTGACAAACTCGGCCTGACACTTCGACGAAAATATGCTCTCTTTCTTTCTCCATAAACAATGGTGACTTGTTGCACCTTGGAAAGCAACGTGACGTTGGTGATACTCGAGTTTCATGTGGCATAATAGGCATAATCGAATGGTGCGAAATCCGCGACCCCCACGCTCAGTGAAACTCATCTCGATCGGTTTGAGTTTTGGAGGCCTACCACCAGCCTCGGGAGGAGTACTCTCGAGTTTGCAAACAAAAGGCCTTTTGATGCTAAATTGTTTCGTTACCTTTTGTTCTCCATCCAAAGCTGACCGCACACATTGTTGGTCCATGGTAGGCGCATTACTGGCACAGTGGTTTGGTTATCCGGGCTTGGCAGTCTGGAACGAGACACATGAAGTCGTCCTCAATATTTGGAAAACAAACAGAGATGTTTCAGCCAGATATGGGTAAGAAAGCGAACGAATATAGTCGCCATGTTGTGAACGGCCCACCGTCAAAGGATTACCATAAAGAGCAAAGAACGAATCACTCACTCGCTTTGTAGACTGTACATCTAATACCTCAAGTTCGATCAAACCGCCCACCGCAAAAGGATCTAACTCAGGATCAACAGGCAAACAAGCCGTGAGGACTGTAGAGCGGTCAACTGAGGTTATGGCGCGCGCTTCCGCTCAAATCGAGACCACCTCAAGTAGCACAAGATCTACACCTGCCAAGTCGTCATAAGCAGATTCTCGCTTGGCTCAACTGCTCCTACTTGTGACAGTGATGTTTTCCTGCAAGCCAGGAGTATGTAGCTAGAAGTACCTGAAATTCAGACTGGACTTGATTGTGATCTGTTCTGTCTGTGTCGATGTATACTTCAAGTTGCCGCGAGTACTGTAGACTCATGCTCCAAGTCGCACGCCTTCAACGATTTAAGACAATTCTAATAAGCCATACAAAATCTCAAAGCTAGGCAGAGGACATAAATCCCTGGCTCAGTTCTCATGATCACATGCTTGAGAGCAATATGAGAACAAGAAAAATGATTGAAGCACCATGTTAGAATCAAGACAACAGGACCTAAAAATCAAACAAAGTCCCTCCTCCACATAGGAGGGAGACATGATTGGTAAGTTCAAGCCAAGTCAATCGTCATGGAAATTCCAAAACTCACCATTCTGACCTTTGTTCATTTCATCACCCTTAGCCACTTCACCACTGACTCTGACAGAATCATGATTCATGGTTCAACCAAAACATCCTGCTTGATTACATGTACATGGTTTTTCTAGAAACATCTACATCATTTGTAGACAGCCATTGGCTTCAGATCAATTTGAAGCAATGTAGCTTTTGGAAGCCTCTGTCGAAGCCTGTCACAGAAGCTTGTGGACTCAAGTGATGGGCGAAGGTTTTGAATTTGGGGCAGGCCCGGGCGCGGATTAAGGCACACCTATAGCGGGGACGATGAGGCGCCCCTGTGAGGTGTTAAAATCCCCCAAAAGTAAGAAAGGTGAAGATAAATGCTCAACAACATCAAATATAGCATCTTTTGTATTTCACATCCATCCAATACAGTCTTAAACTGCTGACAATTGAGCCTGGAGTGGTTTGTTGATGTGTTCACTTCAGCAGACATCAAGAATCCTGTCCAATGCTTTCCAAATCCAATGGTAGTTTGGTTCCAATTGGCTAAGGTTGACTTTGAAAAGGAGGATTTGACTTTTGGCATGATATGGAATTTGTCTAAGGCTGACAGTGGCTTTGAGATTAGGTATGTGTTGTAAGTTGAGCACTTTGAGATGTGATTTAGCAAATCTATTGATGTTGAACAAGAATTTTTTGCTCATAATCACACAGCCACTGGGTGGAATAGACTCAAACCTAACATGAGCATGGCAACCACAAACTCGGGTCTTTTGCACCCACCCACCACATGATTGTGGAACAAAACATTGAAATCTGGGTCTCAATGTTCTATAGAAGGATCCTGTGGGTTCATATATAGAAAGCAAGTCCCAAGTTGGTTTAGGATGTAGGAATACCCAGAGATGGGGGCCTGGGTTAAGAAAGCCTACAAACCACAAGCTACTAGTACCACTTGGCCTTCATCTGATAGACACAGGCACAGCTGAGGCTGAACCAGGGGTTATCAGCTGGGAATAAGACTTAATTGCAGAGCACTTAGACTCACACTAATCTTATCTTATCTATACATTGTGGAGATGGACACCTATATAAGGCACCCTCTCCTTGCTTCCAAAATGAAGGCCAAGCAGCTTCTCCAACAGATTTTCCAAACTAGATCCCTATTGGAAATAAAAAATTATAATTTGTTAGAACTTTCCCTTGTTCCTAACAACAACAACCACCAATCAAAAAAATTCCAATCAACTTCTCTCACCAAGAGACTAACTGGGATAGCTACAGTTGAGCAGAGTGATGTATAAGCAAATCACACATTGTGAACTTGAAGACTTGGCAAGCTTGAATGTTCCAGTAGGATGGCCTTGAAGCTCAGGTTGCAAGCACAGCACAAAAAACACGCCTTGGGAGCACCTAGGCCTCAGAGATTCTGGAAAATTGGGTGTTGGCACACCTTTTCAAAAATCACACCAAATCTAAGGAATCCTACTTCATGTCACCAATATTGGAGTTGTTGACATCAAAAGTAGGACTTGTATACTAACTGGGAACCCCAAAGACATCTCTTGCTCACCTTTCCATTGCAAAACTGTTGTGGTAGATGGCTCCAGCAACTTGTAAATCAGAAAAAATATTGATGAAAAACAACATCTTGGCTCACAACAAACTTTTTGGAAAAAATATGCCTGGAAAAACAAAACAAAAAACACCCACAACCTGACTTCAAGCCCGCTACAAAGTAGTTCTGTATGTTCAATCTTTATGTCATCACACATCTGGAAGTTTGATTTGATGGCATGTCAAAAAGTCTAAAGTGGTAAGCACTCCATTTGACTGCATTTCTTATTATCAAATTGAATTTTGATCTGATGAACCTTACATGTCATGCATATGAAGACTCTAGTCAATCCATAGCCAGATGCACCACCAATTTGATTTGCTTCTTGAATTGATTTCTGGATTACTCTGAAACAGTCTCCAATTAAAAATGAATGGCTGTGATCCCATTTTCACACAATTCAGCAGTGGCTGATCATCCTCAAAGGCCAGAAGCATGGAAAAAAGTGTTGTGAGGTGTGCGGCGCAGAAAGTGCGCCTTTTGGGCGTGCACAGGCGCACTTGATAGCTTGAATTGAGGTGTGGGTGTGTCCTAGAGCCCTAGTGTATCTTTTGAGGAGACTTGCCGTCAAAATTGACCGCGCACTACTGGTCTTGAAGGTCTTTTCTCTTAAGTGGCCTCTGGAAAGTTCAAGTTACAACCTTGAATAAGAAAATTGAAGATCAAGCATAGGTCAAAATAAATCTTGGATCAGAAACAACAAATAACCTATCTGATATACAAGCCCCAACAACACCTCCAACCATGATGATACAGGAAAAAGTTGAACAAGAAGGTCATGATCATCTCTCTTTGGCAATCACTTGTTCATCAGTTAGTTGCAAAGAAAACAGTGTTAATGTTAAAAATGATTACAAATTTCAGTCAATGACAATATCTGCTTTGCATGATCAAAGGTTTACAACTTTCAAGTTACCAAGCTCTCTACTTCTATAGTGGGTCATGTCAAGACTGTGGTAAACATAAGTTTTGGCCCAAAATCTACAGCCAGCCACAAATATAGATTTCTTGACAAATTGAAAACAATTCCAAAAGACTTCCTCCAACTCTCATTCTGAAAGCAATTTCTCAGCCCAATTGAAGACATTATTTTCATATTCTCACCATAGTAATGTGGATTTTTCACTGGTTTTTACAGACTCATAGTTTCAAAGGTGTGGAGCTACTGATTTGGAGTTACCACTGTCTTGACACAAGCTACCATACAGTCAAAGAAATCTGTCCACTTTTTCAGAGTACTTTGTTTTCTATAATCCATTGGTTTCTTTTTAGCTTCCATCATATCTCCTCTGTTTTTGACATCCACATAATATCTTTACAAAGATGAAAACACAATCATCTTGGTACTAGTCTACTATCAATCTTTTTGATCTGTTTTTTGGCTGTCTTTTGGATTTTTCTTACTTGGAAGGCGTGCCCTCATGCCCCGCTACAGGTGTGCTTCTGTTCATTTTGGAAAGGCGCTCTGAGCGCGCCCTAGATTCACAATACGTGCCTACCACGAGAATGGAAGGGGATGAATGATTGTCACATAGTTAACATCAGTCGGGTGAGAAGTTGATGAGATGGAATTGGAATTGTTTGAATGAGAAGATTGTTAAGTTGAACTTAGGTAGGTTAAGATGAATGGTAAGTAGTTTAAGAGAAGAGCAGTATGGATTAAGTCTCAGAAGTTGATCAGATCTAATTACAGAAAGAAGTCAAGAAAGAAATTCAAAATCAAAATCAAATCCAAAAAAACCAAATGGATCAAATTACAAAATCAAACTCATTCATCGGAACCATCTCAACTGAACTTTATTCAAATCACTCTAGATCTGATACTTTATCAATCAAACAATCTTTAATTCAACTTATCAATCCTCAAGATGGTCTTCATTATTGGTCTTCTTTTACTAATTTCATTAAAGCTAAAATCGATAGACGCGAATTTGAAGAAGAGGTGAGTAGGATCTTAAATACTGATCAACTTGGTAAGTCTCATTAACTCATAACAAGAATACTTTTCATAGATTAGAAGAACTAACTTTCTTTTTCTTTTTCCATGTCATTTGTCATAAGTTGGTCTTCATAACAGTCTAGTACTTTCAATCTTATACAATACAACCAGACCTGAATCACCACCCATCAATCCACCTGGAAGACCTAATCTATATACAACAGGTCAAGGATGGTACAAGAGAAAACGAGTTCAAATTCCAATCAATCAAATCCATCAATCCAAATCAAAACTAGAAGAATCAGATCCCAAGAAACGTAAACTTAAAGAAACTATCTTATCAATCGGTCAACGTGAAAGGAATCGAATCAAACAAATCCCAAAAGAAAAAGAAAAAGAAAAAGAGTTGTATCAAAAACTTGGAAATCCTTATCATTCAAAGAATCCTCAATTTGATTATTTGAGTCGTGAAAAACTTGAAAAAGTTACGAATACTTTATTGGCTTCTAAGATGAAAATATCATCTTCAAGTAAGCTTCATCGGTCTTCTCATCACTATTTCTTTACTTTTTATAAGTGGATGATAATCTAATCTTCAGACCATTCTATTTTTGTCTTCAAGCATTGTATCAAGACTATATGCGATGTCAACAAGCTCCACTATGTTCTGAATCTAAACAACTTCCCGACTCGGATACGCTGAAAGACCGAATGTCATTGATCGCATACGATTCCGGATTAGTCAACGGGGTAGATCAGTCTGCGGCATCATTGGCTCTTATTGCTTTAGAAGTTCATCTCAAGACGATCCTAGGAGATTTACTTTCATTGATTCGATCAGATCGATCAGTAGTCAATAGTTCAATCACAGATCCGTCCACTTCAAAAGCTACCCATTCCACTTCACAAAATGGATTACACCTCGAAAAGAATGATCCAAACTCTGTAATGGTTGACTCACCTCAAGCTTCGCCCCCTTCACATCCTTTCCAGTCAAATCCTGAACTCGAACCTAGTTCAAGTCAAAACCTCCAATCAAACATACCTAAGACAGCCTACCAATCCAGTTCCACTCTTAGACTGAGGGATTTAAAAACTCAAGGATTAGCACCTCATCTGACTGCAAAAGACTTTGCTGCGCTTTCTGAAATCTCTCCTCATTCGTTTGTTCGATGTCATCCTGGTGCATTAGAACGACTGATAGCTACTCATAGTTTTTCAGAACCATGTTCATCAGATGAAGAGGAAGAGGAAGAGTCACGATACCATCTTTCTACAGACTTACAAGGTTCGAGTACATCTGTTAATGGTCAAGCATGGATCAATGGATCTCAATCTCATCTACGTAGTAACGGTCTCAACGGATCACATCCAACCCAATCAAGTTCCCGATTAAGTTCTAAAACGACTACATTTTCACCAAGATCAGTGAACAAACCTTCAGGAAGAGGAAGTTTGAATCGAAATCATACATATACAACTTCAAATCCATCATCATTACTGACGAACCGAAGCTTATTAAATGGAAGAAACCATTCGAATCTTCATTTAGAAAACCTTTCGAGTCTAACCCCAAGCTGGTCAGAATTCAATGAAAACAAAGCTAGCAATACTTTAATGAGTTTCGAAAGCAGTTCAAGTAGTTTAAAAAAACCTAATAATAATTCAATTCAACCTGAGAATTCGACTAGATTGAATGGAAGCTTATTTTCGATTGGATTAGAAGAAAATCCGATCAAACGAAAAAAATCAACCGGATCAAGAGAAGTGAAATCATTAGCTGCTGAACTTTTTCCTGAAGATGTGGTGATGAATAATACTCATCCACAACAACAACAACAACAACCACATCATCCAAAAGGATCAGGTAGTGAAAGTGAAAATGAAGAAGAAACTCATCATAAAAAACCATCACATCATCGATCGATGAAATTGAGTAATGGGAATGGCAATCCGAATTCGAATCCCATTGGGAGTAGTACAGGAGGATCTAGTGGGAAAAAGAAAGGATGGGATAGGATTGATACTTTTAGATTATTGGAAAACGTTGGGAATTAATTGATCATCATGAGAGATGGGTTCTCTTGAGTGGATTTCTTTTTTGACTTATCATCACAATATACATTCTTGTTATTATCTTGAATGTGAATTTTTGCTTTCAAAAAAGACTCTTATAAAGAATTATCATCATCTTAATTTTTTTGGTACATTTTTTGATCATTCATAATACAATGACATTGACACCTTTTTAACATCTTCAACTTTTTTTTATCATCGTCATCATTTTTTTATCATTATTTTGATCATTGTTCCTAATTTTATTTGTCCTAGATCTTTAGTTTTTTTGTTTTTTGTTCTTTGTTAAGGAGAAAAGATAGATTGATGAATTTTTTTACATATAACTCATTTATCTTCAAACTGAGTGGTTCTTTGTGTTTTGTTTTGTTTTGTTTTGTGTCTGTTTGTGTTTAAGTAGAGTTTTTTTCTTCTTACATAGGAAACAAGAGATAATTGTGGGATACAAAGTTAAAACTGGGATTTTTTTTCCCAGTTTCCAAGTTTTTGTTTTTGGCTGTGTTTGGAACTTTCCCATGTTCTCCCGGTTTCTCAGTTTGCCTTCTTGGTGGTATTTGGGAAACTGGGAAACTGGAAAAAAACTCCCAGTTTTAACTTTGTATCCCCTAAATGTTCTTGTGGGAAAACCACCATTGTATACAACCCAGTTTATGATGTTTTGGCATGATGTCTGTGTTTTTTTTGGTTCAGAAACTTTATTAAATGTTATCAGTCTTCTCATGGGAAAACCGTCTCTTTTTTCCTGCGTGATTAATCTTTTGCAAATTAGTGTGAAAAAGTCATATATATAATTGATTTTTTGTCAAATGGTACAGTAGATTTCAAAAAGCTTGAAATCTATCGAATTCGAAAACCTCACAGGTGGTCCGTGCAACGCGCAGCACCGGCCAGAACTGAAGTGGCCGGGCTATCCTGTATCCATTGTCGGACGACCAATCTTGAAATGTGAACATGACTAACCTGAACATCCTCAACAACTTTTGAGAACATCGATACCCACTCGACTGTCGCCATTCCAGATGAGGGGACCGTCGATGGCCCTTTGGGGAGACTCAGCCCTATTTGACTCTGGCCAACATCTCCTCGATCCACGATTTCCTCGAGCAGCCACTTTGATTCCTTCTTCAGCCACCGTCAGCCGTATCACATTACTCCGCATTTCATTGCCTAAGAATTGTTTTTTCATCTTTTTGATCCCAAATCACTTTTCCAAAATGTCGCAAACTCCTCGTAATGCCAAGTCTAGCCACCCAGATGGGTCTCAACCTGCCTCTCGTCCCAATCCTGTGTCAGTGTCCTTTTGTTGACATTTGATAGACTTGAAGGAACTCACGTAACAATCTACTTCTCATGCAGGGTTGATGCTCCTTCCGCCAATACGAACGCCACCAATAGAGTCACTCGCGCAAACCGTCAACGAGCCGGTGTGCTTGACCCGGTAGACCTTGACAATTCAATGGATCTTACCGATGGATTGACTTTGGGCATAGCCTCTCGAGAGTCTTTGGTGGTGTTTGATTTTGGCCATGACCATGATGGACCCGCAGATGACGCAGGTAAGGCTATTGAGTCACCTTCGTTGAATTTGACTGTTCAGCTGATCTATCTTTCTGGATAGTGCCTTCATCAACTGTTGAAGAAAAACAACGTAAGTCACGGTCTTCCAATATGATATTGACTTTGCTGGTCTGACCTGATTGTTTGTTTGATTTGCCAAAGTCACACCACCCCAATTTAGTGATATGACCATCACTTTTGGCTTGTACACGCCTGAAGCAAGCACCGGACCGGTCAAGCCTAACCACAAGCGCAAATGGGTCCAGCACAAGTTTCCGGTCACCAAACAACAGATCGACATCACCAACTCCTCCCTTGCGCAGTTGAAGTCCCACTTGTTTGCTATCGCCGACAAGATTCGCAATGATTCTTCTGGCGGCATGAGTGCTTTGTTCAAAACCGCCGATGCCAACAAACAACTCTCGGTGGGGGTATACGTCTTCAATCACTCGATTTATGGGAAGGGTAAAGGTTGTGTTGTCACTAGCGATAAGGAACTCAAAGAGTTTTTCCAAGCGGTTAGCATTGCTCCAACTCAAGATGCAGGAATCATCTTATCGATGGAACATCCTGGTAAAGCTGCACAACAGGTTGCAGATGTAAGTGACTTTGGGTTGTTGTTTTTGGGTGTGGCATATTTCTGACTTCTTTTGTCATGTCTTTTGTCTTTCAGGAACGATCCTTGGCCCATGCTGTACTGACTGCCACCAACGCTGTCAAAGAAGGGCGCCCAACTCCGATGGAGGAGCTAGCGCACTTGGACCCTGTGCCGAAGCGCAAACTTGTGCTCAACGATCTCGTTCGTCACCACGAGAAAAAAGGGAACTTGGCGGCCAAAGGTTACCGTGTGATCAATCCGGATGACAACACGTTGATCATGAACTTAAGTTTCAAACACATGATTGTTTGGGCCAAATTGTTGGTACATGTCAATTGGTTTCTTCTCATCTGTCTTGCTAATATTTCTTTTGTTAACTGTGATTTGGTTTTCCTTTGAGTCCAGGCCGTTGCCACCAAAGGAGTCACTCTCGATAACCCCCCCAAGGCCCCAGGTTTCAAATGGCAAAGTACCAAGCAACCTCTCACGTCGACTGGGCCTTTATTCACGGTGAAGCGAGCCCGCACCGCGAGAACCCCCCCCCCAAAACCGCGCCAAAACCCTGGGGATACGCTGAGATGCAAGGCATGCATCTCGAGGTGGACATCAAAGAAGCTCAACGTCTTGCTTTGTTCTCTACCATCAATGATTTCATTGATTTCGCTGGAGTGCCCTTGATCGAGGTAGACCAAGTCACTGAAACCTTCGAAGAGAACGGCATCGAGAACTTCTATCGATTTCTTTTCCCGGATGCCTTCAACGCACGCGACATGGAACGTTGGGGGATCCGATTTGGCACGGGTCTCCTGTTACTCGAAAGCGCTCGACGCTTCTACGCTCATCTCGTCAAGGAAGAAGAGGCTAAGCTCCAAGCCAAACCGATCATCATTAGTGACACTGACACTGAGAATGAGTGTGAGGTGAAAGTGGTCCTTGGCAAAAGAAAATGATGTTTTCCTCCTGTTTCCCTCTCAAAAATTTATCAATACGAGGCTTTGCAAATATCGGGTATTTTTGTATCAGTTTTCTGTTTTTGATTTATAAAATCACTATTGTTCTCTTATCTTCTCTTCCCACTCAAACAAGATCAATACGTGTCTAAACCAGTATTTGTAATATTTGGCTTTTTCTATATCTTTGTTTGTTTCATCAAAATTGTATTGTCCCCTCCAAAATTAGTGATTCTCATTTGTATGTGTGGTTTGAAACAGCTGTTTGTCCTCTTCAGAATTTGGTGACAGTAATCCAAATCCGTGCCTGTTTTTTACCTTCTCAGCTGCGCGAGAATGACATTGTGCCAATCGAAAACCGGAGTGAGATCTGACTTGATACAATACACATGAGAGTGTTTGTGTTTGAGATTTTGAAGAATGCAAAATAATGATATTAATTTTACTCAATGGTTGACGAAGACAAAGATTTCATAAAAATGCTAAGTTTTTTTGTTTGGGAATAATGACGACTCCAAAGAGCGAGACCTGGTGGTGAAACTCTCTACCAACTAAGGCATACACGGCAAAATGGGGCAATTCGAAGTGTTTTGCATTGAAACACTTCCGGGCGTGATTGCTGAGCACGCCTGGCTCATCTCAGTTTCGCGGGTTGATCTGGCAACTTGCAACACTTTGGATTGCGAAATCAACGAAATCGAACAACACCATGTAGGAAGAAATAAAGCTACATTTAATTTGAGCTGAGCTCGGGTGGTCTGAGGACAACAAATTGGGGTGATTTGTTGAAAGAAACATTTGCTTGGACCAACACAATTTTTAGGTCAAGAACTAGGGACACAAATATTTTTGGGGAAATGGAACTAAACATAAATTCAAGAGGAATCATATATCTCCCAAATCAAACCCAACATTGTGCCTACTCTTCCTCATTGAACCACGCGTTATATCGGTTCCAAAATTCACGAGTGGTATACCCACTATGCGCGATAAGGGGTTGGAGTAATCTTTGAGTCATGACACGAGCAGCTAGTCAAAGGAGGTATTCGGCCTTATTGTCTTCAAAAATCCAACAACATTCACGTTTCAAGCGCGCCTTCATACAATGAAAACCGTTTTCAATCGGGTTCATGTCGGGGGAATATGCTGACAAGCAGATAACTAGGATTCCAGCACGTCGACAGAGCTCCAGAATCCTGCCTCCATGATGAACACGGGCGTTGTCCAGGATTAACACCAAGTTGCGCTTGGGGTAGGGGTTCATTACTGGAAGCTAGAAAAGAACAACAAAGGAATATAAGCCTTTTGAATGATTGTAAGCAGGCAGATCATTCTTACCAAATCATGTTTGAGGAAGATTTCCACATTGATTCGGCGCACTGGGCCTTCGATCACTGTCCCGGCTATCATACCCTGCTCACTCACCGCTGGGAGCAAGGTCCAGTGAGATCGCTCGGTCTGACGCTTCTGGCGAGTGATTTGAGTTCCGCGCTTAGCATAGCTACGTTTTCGTGGCGTGTCCCGGCCAACAACACCACTTTCATCTGGATGTCAAAGTAGGTGTTAGTAAACAGACCCCATCTAGAAATCAGAGGCCAACATAGCCCAAAAAAAGAATCAAAGACGTACCAATGAAGACCAAACACTCAGGAGGGATCCCAGCAACCCGCATCATAAAATCGGTCCGTTGCTCAAGTGACTGGTTAGGATGAACGCCTTGAGTGACTAAGAGTGAGAGACCTAAACGGTTGTGGATTTCGCAAGTGATGGTTGCACGAGAGACATCTAAGCCTGTCATTTCACATAGCTCCTTTTGCAACTCATCCAAGTAGATTGAGGGGCAATCCGCCACGAGGTCATAAAGTAGCGCAAGATTGGTGTTGGACAAACTATGGGGTCGTCCGTGAGGGTCGTATGTGGCGGGATCCGCAATCACACGGTTGGTGCGAGTGAAAAGACGTTTCCATCGGTAGATTGAAACGGGAGAGATGGACGTTTGTAAGCATATGTTGATATCCGCAAGGGGGACATTCTCCAAAGCCAACTGTGTCGCCAGCAGCTTGATTGCTTCTGAATAAACAAGAAAACCCATCTTTGAGGGTATAGAGAAGGCCGGAGAGAGTTGAGAACCCAGGATGAAGGATCCGGATGGATTAAAGAAAAACCTCCATGGACGAGGGGGGAAGGGAGAAAGGGTGACAATAGGGTTCACCCCAACCCCAACCACAAAAAGATCGGTCAGAAAAATTTAAAAAAAAATTAAACCAAGAAGATGGATGATCTTCTGCAGATCATCTGTAGTCCGAGAATGGATACTGGACCCGACTGGACCTTATTGGCCAGCCCGGCCACTTCAGTTCTGGCCGGTGCTGCGCGTCGCACGGACCACCTGTGAGGTTTTTGAATTCGATAGATTTCAAGCTTTTTGAAATCTACTGTATAAGATGCAAGAAATCGTGATTGGTAGATTGGTAAAAGGAATACACACTTCATAATTTACCTGTGCACTTTATTAGCTTTGAGGGATGGACTTGGGTTATAAGGCCCAGGGGTTAGAGAGCATGGTAGTACATTGACCATGTTTGAGACTTTGAATCAAATGTCTAAGAGTCTCATTCTTGTGCATAACAGCTGATATGAGATTTGTTTTTTCATGTTTTGATCATAACTTGAGTCTTGTCATAGCGGGTCATCCTGTGGTATCTAAAATAAAGTTTCAATGTTTCATGAAAACCTTTTGAATAGTTTCTTGTTACAGCTGTTTTAACAACAAATGTTGCTGATGTTACTTTTTTTCATATCTGTGGTTGACTGAGATTATGCCAGCTGGCTCCCAGAAAAGTGGTGTGGATTCAACCTCAGGCCACTTCATTGGTCATTTCCTTGCTTTTTCTACCAGGTTGAAAACCATGGATATGAACAAAAAAAATTCAAAGATAACAGCAGGAACATTTGTTTTTGAATTGAAGTTGGTACTTACCAGTATTAACATAAGGGAATAAGTGAGGCTTAGGGGTCACACAGCAAAAGCAAGGCCCATTGGTTAATCTACATGATGTGCAAGAAAAAAAAGCGGCAATGATAGCTTTCCCAAGCAGTTGAGCAAAGCCAGTTCTTGTAGTTAAAGTTTTTTTATAATCACTCACTTTTCTCCCACTTTTGATGACTTCTAGAAAATTAATATTAGAAAATACAAAGATATTGTTTACATTGTTTCAGATCTATTTTTCTTTCAATTTATACTAAAGAAACTGTATCCTCAACCATACAGTTCTCCAAACTTCCTTTGGCAAGTACCTCACTAGTTTCCCAGTAGTTGATTTTTTTTATTTTCTCAACCAACACCCACTAGGTTAGTCTCTGGCCAGGGTTAAGTTTCAGGCTCATTTCACTCTCTCCTTGCAAGATTGTATTGCACTCAGAGTAGTGGACAGCTCCAGTGGAGTCAGTCAGCACCATGTGACCCACAGCACTCTCTTGTTTTTCAAGATCTCTTTCACAGTTTTTCTCTTTATCAGGTCTGACTGAAACCTGCAACCGGGGAGGAAATTTCAACACAGACTCATCACTGTTTAGTAGCAAAAATGGCTCTTGCAGAAACCTGTGTTACTGATTCCACAGCTGTACTTTTTTTCTAACACACTTAAAATCCAGCTGCACAGATTACACCAATGAGTACATTTCTTCAGTTGTGGATTTTGTGTTTGATTAATTTTTTTGATTCCTCTTGATATCCTAAACTTTTCTTCTTCAGCATCATTAAAATTAAACCAAAAACATTTTGCCTCCAGCGAGATTAAAATTCCAGCAATGCAACTTAGAACTTCAAGCATTTCAAACTGACCTCAATCATGGAGAATAATTGTTTTCATAAGTTTCATATTCCTAAGCCATTCTTTTCATGCAATTCCTACACAATCAATTCAGGTAGATGAATTTGCCAACAGATTTGACTCCTGGCTCTATCAAGATATTCACCTACCATCTCCAGACCACTTACCACTATATGATGATGACTGGGATAAAGAGATCACATATTGGGATACCAATGCTCTATACCCATATGGGTCTGCTAACAGTCAGCTCATCAGTCCCCACTTTGAAGAACAGCTGGATATCCCAGTGGCTCCACAAAACAATTGGTACACTTCTCAAACAGATGCCAATAAATACATCAAGCAAACTTTAGGAGTCCATGGAACCTCTCTGGCCTTTGACCCAAGCAGAATCTCACCTGATCATATATCCAATCCACTCACACCTTCCAGTAACATGGAAACCTTGCTGAAGGAAAATTTTCAAGAAACCTACCCCTTTTATCCTGCACTCCACACAAACTCAAACCACCACCAAATTTTCAATGATGACTGGTCTCAAGGTGGCACCCATTGGAATACCAATCCATATGGCTTGGCTAGTCATCAAACAATCAACACGCCTGTTGAGGAAGATTTTGAAGCATTGGTACCACCAGAAACTTGGCATTCCTTGCAAAAGGATGTCATGTGTGTTCATCAAAATCATGGGTTTCATCAAACTACTCTACCCCCAGATAGAAGCACAATCTCATCAAATTACAACTTCAATCCTACACCTCCATCTGGTCCTTGCACTCCCCAAAACATCTTTGAATTCTGTCATGAGGATGGATTACAACAGCATCAAAACCAATATTTTGGTCAAGTGAGCCACCTGGGAATGAGGGAACCTAACAGTGATCAACCAAGGGCTATCCTAGAGAGAAACCAGAAGAAAACTTCAGATCTTTCACACATCTCACAAACCTCACTGGAAAGAATTGGAAAGGATTGTGAAGAGGACTCAACCTACTGGGGGAATTTATTCAATCCTGATATACATGATATGATCTCAAGTATGCCACTCAGTAGCAATGAATGTGATTTGTTAGGCTTGGCCTCTCCAAGGATTTCTTCACCAACCCAGCATATGATTCAACAAAGTCAGCTCCCTGGTCAAGAAGGGATTTCAAGATCCTCAGATGAGGATATAAATACAGTCCAGAGGATCAGAAGCACTGATCCACATGGCAGAAGTCAAGGTGACACTGCAGGAGCCTTTGATACATCTTATTTATTAGCAGACCAAGCTAGTCCGTCTATACATCATAAAGAATTATCAAAAGGCAGGAAGAGGCTATTGAGTGGAGAAAAGAGTCCAGACAAGGTTACAAAAAGGGCTAAATCATTAGTTGATAACAGTATAGAGATTGAAGCCCTGGAAAGGACAGCCATTCCAAGGCAAGACCAAAACACAAACCCAGAAGTACAAGGGGTGATGAATAACTGTATTGGAGAAACTTTTTCATCCTTGTCAGGAATGCACAACTGTGACATACCTGTAGGGCCAGGAAATAACCAAGATCTCATAGGAGGACCAGACACTTTGGATGAAGTTTCAAAACATTCCAATGTACCATTGATTCAGAAAAAAAATGCAATGACAAACAAGTTCAATTTTCCTGGGCCAAGCACAGTTAGAATGCTAAAAGATATAGGTGCCTTTCATGTGGCCAATTCACCTCGTTTTGCTTTTGAAGTACCCAATTGGTTCAGAAATCTCAGAGATGATATGATGAAGGTATCAGGTCAGGAAGAGAGTATGGGGAAGGATATACACAAAGCAATTGAAGGTGTACACTGGTGGTTAACAATGAGCATATTTGGGCTCATCTCAATACATTGTGACCCTGGATTGGACAGCTCATCCCTGGACACCATCTTGGACCATGCATGGAAAGCAATTCAAGCTATATTTGATCAATGGAGATACTTTGGAGTAGAGGAAATGAAGTTTCAATATGCTCCTAGGGTATATGAGCGCAAACAGGATGATCTTCTAGAACCCCTGTCTCTGTTCAGATACTTTGTCAGACTGAACAAATTCCCAGAGATGACAACAAGGATTTTGCAATCAATCATAGTGAGATATAACAAAGACACTAACACACCAATAGTAAACATAACAAAGGTCGGGCAACTCCAGAATAAAGTCAAGAGTCTGTACAACAAAGATATCATGTTCATTCAGGGTGGATTATACTCAAGAGCCTCAATTGGAAACCTTGAATTTGAGGGGACAAAATTTCACAATGGTTATAAAAGAAATCCATGGGTTCCAAAATCCTTGGATAAAAAGCACATTGGTGCATACAGGTCAATATCACGGGCTGCCAAGTTTCTTTCTCCTGCTGGTACTAAATTGTGTCAAAGGATTCATTCTTTCTTTGTAGAATTAATTGAAGAATTATTAAATAAATATAAAAGTAATAATGAACTCCATTCATATTCAACTCTACAGATACACTTGGATCCCACTGTGGTTTCAGAGCTCATAGATCGTGCACATGAGTCAAATATGGAGACAATTGTCAAGGCTGTCAGTGTTGCAGAGTATAGAATTACAGTGGGTTTCATTGGAGTGATAAGATCAATCTATGAGCAAGCCCTAACAGAAGCCCAGTTGAACATCCTTATTGAAAGTGGGTGGCAATTCCTGCAAAAGGAGTTTTCAAACTGGAAGCTGTTGAGCTTTGAGGAAGGTAAAAGTTCAATATTTTTCACATCATCAAAAACAACATTACAGAGGAGGATATCAGAAAAATCATGCATGGACCCAAACAAATCATTTGAATTTCTCTGCAAAGTAACCAAAAATCTTGCAAATTATCCGATTCCACTGACTTACTTTAATATGCTCATGAGATCATGGTTCCAGGAAGATTCACATGAACAACTGAAGAAGATCATTGGGAAAGCTTTCAGTGAGAAGATGAGGACCTTTAATTCCTTCATTGAGTTGCTTGGAAAGCCTGAACCCAAGCATGTAGTTCTTTGAAACTGACCCTCTCCACCTTGTAATGTATGGAAACAGATATATGTTTTATGTTTCAATCTTTTGTGCATTATCCTAGTGTTATAAAATACCTGTAGCCACAAACCCTTAATCTATATGTGAGCCCATATGAGAAATCAACTTACTTGCACCACAAGAAACTTTCACCTAAGTTATGAAATTTTGTGTGTTCCCAGTGACAGTGCTATGAAAATCCAAGTTTAAATGACCAGAGTTATCTGCATTGCTAAGAAAGATAACACATATCTGGTGATGGTGATCTACACTCTATCATGGATGGTAAAACAGTTGGATAGAGCTCAACAGGTACCAGTATGTGGTAGTGTTCTCACAGGGTAGTCCATGGGATGTATACGGGCTCAGATTACATTACGTGAGACACACAGAGATAAAGACTTCACTGGCCATAATCATACTCTCTAGACCTCTCTGAGATTCCATTTCTCAGCACTAACTACTTCTAATTTGTTAAGCTGAATTCTCTCCATTTGATTTTTTCACCCAAACTACTTTCAAGTAGATTTCTCACCTTGAGAACTGTCTTCCCTCCAGAGGGTTGGGATAGCCCCACATCACTCCATGTAGCTTGTATTTTTCCTTCAAGATATGCTTTCAATGATTCCAAGGTTTTGATCCAAGGTCGTTCTCAGTGCAGAAGAATACCTCAAATAAAACCTCAGACAAGGTCTGTGAGGATTTGTGTCCAATGATGCCTCAGATTTCTCAACCCAAAGCATCTATGTTGTCAGTGATGGTTGCTTGAGTATTTGATGGGTGATGTATGTCATTCACAAAAATCTTATTGGTGAGTTAGAGCTTCAAAAAAATCTAAATTTGAGTTCATTCAAATGGCATCTTGGCTTTTTCTTTTTACTTCACAAAAGATTTGTCCATGATGAAGAATACATATGTGTTACAGCCTTAGAAATTTGAAGACAATATTTTCAATGTTAGTGATGTGAAGTAATTGATCCATGTAGATCATGGAAATGTATTTCTAGGTTAGGGACAACAAAGGAATCATTGGCTACAAAAACCCAAAATAACATGATTGAATCATGTGGGTGATTTAGACTTATATAGAGCCTAACAGGGTCCATGGGGGATTTATGGGTTGAGTTCTAGCTGGCACTGTCCCAGGGCCTAGGAAGTGGTTTAGCCAGGTATGTGTTGCCCATAAGCCTGACAGATCCGCAAAAACCAGCTCCTATCCGGGAAAGGTGGGCAGGCAAAACAAAATCAAAGAGTTTTTTATGGAATGGGAGTCTTTCTGGTGGCGGTCCATTCATTGCTAGTAAGTGAGATTCTGTGGGTGAGGATTATCTTCTTTTTGTGACTTAGAATTCCCTGGTGGGTCTTGCCTTATGTCCTGTCTGTGACATGAGGAGAATGTGGTGTAAAACACACTCCATCTGCTACAATTGAAATTATTCCACACACTGTGCCTTTGATATGAATTATCCAAGGACAGACTAATGAGTGAATCTCCTGGAAGATAAATCAAGTCTCAATGTTTTTAAGCTGACATGGTCCCAAAAAAACTCCAGAGATGTCCTCCTGATCCTCTGGCCAGCTACTTTCTCTTTGGATTATCCTGTTATGTTGTGCTTTCTCAAGGAGTGTGAGCCAACCCCCATTTTCAGATTTTGTTTTGCCCCAAGGCATTTTTTTTGTGCCACACCCACAGCCTGAGATGAGCATGATACTGATAATTCAGCCTGGGTAATTCCTACCACTGCGTCCACCACCTCCCTTCTCGACGTCGAGAAGGGTAGAATGGTCAGAGTTTGGTGCAAGAAGGGTCTTTTGAAAAAAATCGTTTCTTCCACTCATTCAAAACCTCAGCAACCCTAAGCAGCCCTAAGCAGCCTCTATTTGAAAACCTGGACAGCTCAGGCCTGCGCATCAGTGTGCCGCCTGATGTTCTTCAACTGAACAATTCCCCCCTTGGACCCCATTCAATCAATATTCCTCCGATGGATGCATTCCAAACAAGATGAAGGTACTTGCGGCGTACCTGGCCTTTACTCAGGGTTTCCGATATGAAATTGTGAACTGCAAGACCTTTGAGTTCTTTTTTGTCCATCTTAAACGGTATCAAGTCAAGGAATTTGATGAAAGTTCAGTACACAGTGTTCTTTTACGTTTGTAACTCGATAGTCTACACCTGGGCAGTTTCATCCAACAGATAAAGACAGCATTTGAATAGCTAGATCACAAATCGGAATTGTCTCACTTACAAATTCCCAGTTTCAAACAACTTGAGTCCTTGAGCCTTTGGGAACAAAATGCAAATAGGTTTCAGTGGTTTCAGATATGTTACACATTGTACACAGTGCTTTGGAGAACTTAACCATGCCACAACTAATACCTAAACCACTTCTAACTTAATCAAACAGCAACCAACCAATTCCGATCACGGTCTCAAATGGAAAAGGTTACATTTGGAATATAGATGGTAACGTTCTTTCTATTCTCATCTTTTCTAAGACCAACATGATTCTCATTTTGACACGTTTTTCATTGATCTGTTTGTCATAGATATCGCTCAATTGAGAGTAGATCATCATATTTGTGGTATGTTGACTGGTACTTTACCACAACTTGCACAAAAAAACGTATTCCTTGGTTTGCGTTTACAACTTTTACCTGAGGAAGTGGTTTTATTAGTAGAGTTAGGTATGTATCTCAAAATCTCAAAATCTTCAAAGACTATTGAACGCTACTTACCTTTGTTTTGAAAACTTTGTCACAGGTATTTCAGTATTAGTAGATGAACGTAATAATCATCGAAGACCAACACTAGAAGAAAGTAAAACGTATCAACAAAAACGAGATGTTGAACTTTATAAAGAACATCAAGAAGTTATCAAACTAGAAGCTAAACGCAGATCAGAAATGGAAGCTCTTTATAGTGAAGATATCGCACGTGCAGCTACACTAAGAAAGGCTAGAAACGTAACCAAATCTTCAGATCAACATGAATTATTTAATCCAGAAGCTGACGTAGAATCAAATCCGAAACCCCAGAAAGAAACCAAAGTAGATCTAAATAAAGTTAATTATTATATACCTGTACCATTGAAATCAAACTCTCCTTGTTATGAACCATCTGAAAGTACTTTTACCGATCTTCGATCTGCTCGTGAAGTTGGACTTTGGACTTATCCTAATACCAATCATCAACGTGCTCATTGTGAAGTTTTCAAGGCACTTTGGAAAGAAGGAATGTATATGGGTATTAGTTTTAAATTCTGTTGTGATTTTTTGGTCTATCCAGGTTAGTCCCTTTTTTGCTTCTCATTTTTGATCATTTCTATGATTTCAAGTTTTTTGAAATAAACCAATGACTAATTCTTGATATTTGGGTTTTGTTAGGTGATGCACTTCGATTTCATTTGCATTTTGCTTGTACTGTTATAGAATCTCCTAGTACTTCTATCAATCCTATTGATTTGGTTGCATTCGGTCGACTTGCTACTGCGGTTAAAAAGGTACATCTCTTAGCTTGTTGGGATTCAGAAACTGGTTCGATTGATTATCTCAGTCTCGAATGGGCTGGTATGGGTTAAGACGACAAACTACAAAAGATATTCAACCTGAAAAGATAACATTCGAACTCGTTTTACCTATCAACTCTTCATCAATAATCGAACCGATCGGCTTGATTAATGCTCTCCCGATACTCTCGAAATTTCAGGCAGAAAAAATGGATTCAAGGAAGGATTAACAAAAAAGTAAAGATCGATCTTTTTATTCGTTGTACAGCCATGACCTATCACATTGAGATACATGAAAGTCCATACTCGTTGTTGTTTTAAAAATTAAATACCTCAACCGAACTACATGTATAATCATCATCAATTCAACAGATACATGATCATCAACTCAAGGTCTCTTTAAGATGGAAGTCTTGAATAGGTCGAAACAATTTAGTAGTTTATCAAAGATGTAATCTTACCTAGAATATACTGCAAAATAAATCTCAATTCACCAAATTCATTCAAATAATTTGAGTAACAAGGTATGTTCACAGGCAGAGGAATGTTTTTTTGGAAAGAAAACCGAATAAGAATAGAGTTTTATCAATCTCTTTAATGAAGATAATTCATGGTTGTATGAGATGATTGAAATTTCTTTGTTAATACTTTCTTCTGACTTCTTTCTTTCTGAAAAATTACTTATCAACTCAACTCAATCCAACTGATTCGATCTCAAGATTCACTCCTCGATAACAGTCGATAACGCCACTTATAAACTCATGACTCACTCCGATACATACCCTTCATTCGGATTCCACCAACCCTCCTTCCGTAGGGGATGTCAAAGTTCTCTCCGGTTCTCATTGGACTGGCGATTCAAATTAATCAATCAGGAACTTCTTCGGCGAAGACAACAATCCACTCTTCTCACAAGATGCAACCATCTCGTGATCCAAAACAAACTATAGTCTTTGAACACTGACATTAATCTCACCTACTGGTTTTTTCCCACTGAAAAATTGATCAGAAAAATTAGATGCGAGAGAGACAAAATTGACTTCAAAGCCTATGGAAGAATGAAACTGGTAGACAATGACAGTTCATTGTAGTGCAAGTACTTGTTTTGGAAGTTGTGTTAAATGAGTCACTTTTGGCAAATCTAAATTTTGTATCAAATCATTTCTGTAATCTAATCACAATTGAAAACAAAAAAAGTAATCAAATCTAACAAGATGACTGATAAATTAATCAAATCTAACAAGATGACCAATAAATTAATCAAATCTGACAAGATGACCGATAAATTTAAGAATTTCCAAGAATCTTTGTGAGGATTGAATTCAAGACTTGGTCTTTTTCATTGTGATTCAAATTATCTTTTATACCAAGGTACAGTTTCACCATGTGTAGCTCCTTGAATCTGTCCTTTTGATCGTTCATAATGATTTGATAGTCTGAAGACATTAACGATTTGGGTAAATGATTAGAATAAACAAAGGATTTGAGCTTGATCTATCGTGAAGTTTCTGTAGTGATTGATTTGATTGATCGAAAAAGTTGCTTTCTTTTGATTCTTGTCAGTAGCAGTGATTTGATGAACTTGTAAGGCTTGAATCATCCGGAAGAAGAGTTGAACCCTGGCGAGATCGAGTTGAAAGGTTTCAACTGAATCTAGGTTGTTCTAAACATACGCCTTTCTTGCATGTCGTGTTGTTTGAATGAACCTCTTGAGGGGTGATCATCGAGTCGTCGCTATGTGAAGTGGGGGCGAGTCGTTGATAAGTGAAGTGGATCCGGGAAGATGTGAGCGAGGTGTAGTGGAAAGTCCGCATGAGACTTGAAGTCGAGGGATTCAAAGTTGAGAGAATCCAGAATCATGTCCGGATTCAAAATTAACGCAAAAACCGAAATTTGGAAATCTGGCCACGCGGCCAGATTTTCGGCCGGATTTCAACTTTGTATCCCGTAGAATGACATAAAGGAAACACATAAGTGAGTCTGAATTTCTAAGGAATATCCTGAGGCTGAGAATCTAACGCCTGAGGAATTCCCTGAGGCTCAATGGCTTCTGATCAATCACTCATGCATCTCTCAGTCTATGCTGAGTGGATACTGAGTAGTGGAACTAACCCGCAATAAAGTTGGAACAAAGTTGAACCAAATCAAGACATTCTACCCTTCTCGACGTCGAGAAGGGAGGTGGTGGACGCAGTGTACTGGTTACCCATGTTGATTCATACATGGGACTTCTAACAGAGAGGTCAGTGGCAGGTGGTCAGTGCTGATGTGAGATCTGTTTATCACATCTCTATCAACAAATGGGTTTTGCCATTCAAAGTTAAACATAAACAGTATTCATCATCAAGAGCTTTCGCATCATCTCTCACAACCTTTTCCCAATGCAATCAAAATGAAGTGGTACAATATGGTTGTTGTTCATCCATGAGTTTCAGAGTTTGACCACAGCTTGAAATTGCTCAAATATTCCCTTGCTTCCCCCTTAAGCATCATCAAGATTTTGTCAAGGGCTTTTGGCATTTCGAAACTCTCAAAGCTAGCCCAATCATGCACAATACCTTTCTTCATAAGCTTGATGCCACAAAGGTAGACTTTTTGCAACAAACCCACACTACTACTTGACATTTACAACTTTTCAGAGGGAAATTCAGACTGCAACTTTATATTTCATCAAAACACACTACCAAATTTTCTTGCACTACACACAAACCCAGACCAGCTCCAATCACATGAGGTTGACTGGTCTCAAGATACTGATGCTCTATATACCCATTGGCCAGTTAGCAATACAGTCATAAACCCCCACTTTGAAGAACAATGAGATCTGTCAGTTTTGACCAAGACTTGGCATACTTCCAAAAGGGATGACAATTTAGGAATTAACTAAAGCTCAGGGGGATATGGGACTGCTCTTCCCTTGGGCAAAACCACCATCTCATCTAATTACAGTTCAGCTACACCACTAACTGACACAGACACCTTGACAGAGGCAAATGTGTGGGTTGACTCTGCACTGCATGACAAGACCCACCTGCTCTTTCCTGTGCTGGATGCTGATACATGTGACCTACAAATTCACAATCATGCCTGATCTCAAAATAGCACATATTGGTATACAAATCCACACAGTTTAGATAGTGACAAACTCATCAAACTGTCACCATGTCCGTCCCCCATGCATGTCGATGTGCTCACACGGAGAGTTGTTTAATAAATTTGAACGGATCTTTATTCAATTTGTCTCTAGAAAATGTAAATCCTTTGTTAATGGTAATACACAATCAAAAATGTACCGTTTGTCAATGGAACTATGAACAAAGGAGCCCATTTAACACTCTTGCTGTCTGAACCTCTTGACAAAGGCAATTGTATGCTTAGCTCTTAGACCTGTTTCATTTGTAGGTTTTATCCACCCTCTACAGAAATTGATTGGTGTGAGCACGTCAATGTGCTACCTCAAAACAGACATGGTGTGTGTTGTAGGGAAGGTTTAGATGTGTTAGTGTTGACAGCAACCTGTCATACCTCTAGGAATTGCATCGATCAAATTTCAGGAGTGTAAGAAACTGCTCTACCATCACAAACAATCATAAACCTGTCTCATCACCACTTCAGTCCTGTATCTCCAGATAGTCCTCAACATCACGAAGAACTTCCTGATGCCCATTTTGGAGATGGATTACCACAGAATTGACAATCACCTTCTGTTTGCAGAAGTCAATCTTGCAAAATTGCAATTCAAGCCAATCAAACAATTTCTGGCCTGCAGAACAAGCAGAGGAAAATGTCTTATGTCACAAAATGCTGATTACTCAATTCTGAGAAGTGGCATGATTAATGAGCCACAAATAATGGACTTACCCTCTCAGTAAATTCAATTGTTTCAGAACAAGAAAACATGTCTTAGAAAGATGTCTCTAGAGGTTCAACACAAAGAGAAAACAAATTGGAAAAAAATTGAAACAATCAAAATGAAAGAAGTGAAAGGTCAAAAAACAATCAAAACAAGTTATTCCAATACAATGGACAACACAAGCCAAGGCCATCAAGTGTTCAGTAGAGTATATTCAATCCCATAAATGCAAATGAAAGCTCCAAGCACAACTTGATTTGCAATCATCAGCCAATGTTTGTAACAAAGATGTATATTCCGGTGTAGACAGCCTCTGATGATGGTTTTTGCATAACTTGAGATCACCTAGAAAACAGAAAATTGAGAACTGTAACAAAAATCACTTTCAATCTAAATTGAGATCATCATCCTTTTCCATCTGCTTGACATCCATACCAGATTTGTTGGTCTCATCATCACCTCCATTTTTATCTGTTTTTTTAAAGATTTTAGGAGCTGGAATAGCAGGTTTTGAATCCAAAAGAGAAAGTCTATCATTCGACTTGAACATATTGGTTGGCTGATCAATCTCCAAGTTTTCATTCTTAAAATCATCAATCTTCTTTGATATATTCCAATAAACAGATTGATGTTGAAAACTGTTACAACACTCTAATAAGATCTTTGGCATTGATTTGAAATCAATCTCTAAATTCTTAGCTTCATCTTCAAGTTCTTTGATTTCTAATTCAATTTCTTTTTGTCCAATCAATAAACTATCCCATACTTCAGTCCCAATCAAACCTTCTGACCATAACTTTGAAAGTACATATTTTTTCTGTTGAAGTTGTGTATGCCTCTTTAATGTTTCCATTCCACGAGCCATAAGAGCAGAGACCAAGATAGCTTGAGGTGGTGGTGGTTCTACATTTAATAAACTAATATAAATATCTCTTGCTGTTTGTGGCTCTTTGAACAAAGGTTCTGGTCTTGATTTTCGTGCCAAGCGGCGCCAGTGTAGGTAAATAGCAAGTCTTGCCACTGAAGCCAGAAATGCAATATAAGCTAGTATGAAGGGAAATGGAATGGCCATGATGCTATGATGTGGGATGCTAGAAAGTAGATCTTGAAAATAGTTTTGTCTTAGGTAGTGATATTCCTGATAAGCCAAGAATCAAAGTTTACTGGATGGAAATTACCAGTGATCAAGAGGTTTGCCATCCTGACTTTATACTTGAATGGTAGTTTGGGATATGTACATTCAGAATTAGCATTAAAAAATTCAACTGTTGAAAAATCATTGGAAACATGTGATAAAATACTAAAAAAAGTAAAATACAAGGGTTTCAAACAGGTCTCAAACCTACTTATGTCATAAAACCTAGTTTGAAAGTCAGATTGTTTTTTTACCAAAAATCATTTGATCATTCACTGTCTGAAATTAATTATATCCTACAGAAATGTCAGGTTATTTCAGCATGTACTGAGATCCTTATAATCCTAATTGACCTAGGCCATCTTCAATTACAGCCATTGTAAGATCTACTGGCAGATTTTTGAAAAAAATTGTTGTCGCCAGATTTGAGTTTTGAAGTCAAAAACTCAAAACTATACCACTTTCAAACTGAACTTTATTGTCCTGGTGTAGATTGGACCAATGGGCAGTAGAGTTATCAATGTCAAAAGGGCTTTTTTGAGTTTTTGACCGCTACATTAAATCTAGCAACAACACAAAGCTCTCAAATTCTGCCAATAGATCTTACAATGGCTGTAAGCAATTTCTGGACAGCAATTGCATCCAGTAAATCTTAAAATGCAAAAATGAACCATACTCCACCAAACCAGCACTTTAAATTTTGCAGAATGCAAATTCTGACTTAAATTTGCTTAAGTGAATGTGCTCTTAATACTTACCTGAGTTTTCTTCATATATTTTTTGGATGCATTTCACATAATCTTTACATGATCCTGAAATCAGAATTTGCAGGTCCTGGAGTACATGAAATTGTATCACTTATAAGGGCTTTGCATTCAAGTTGCTATTGTATGTGTGGGAAGGTTTGCCTGATGTCTTGCATTATTTGAATCTCCTGATCAGATCAGACAATGATATGAGACCAGTAACCTATCAAGCACTCAGTCTTTGGGAGTCCAACTAGTGCCAATACATCATGCTGAGAATAAAGTTAAGTATATCAAGTATCTAGAACCTCCCACTGAGATCAATCTTGAAACCAATGAAGATATTTTGAAGAAGATATATAAATCAAGAAATTCAAATTGAAACTATATGTTCATTTATTGGGACCTCAGTCAATTTGCTTGATGCACATATAAGAGATGAGAAGATGCTTTGAGAGAAAGACACTGGTGGACAAAGAATGTCATTTGAAACTATTTCAAACTGATTTCCCTTGATCCTTGGGTCACTTATCAACATTTACCAACTCCCAGTAGTGATGATAGATGATAAACCACAGGGAGCCTGAAGTTCACCATAGATCTCTTTCACTTGATACCCAAACTTCTTCATGCCATCAGTAGCAAGCAATCTTCAAGCTTCCTATATCAAACCACTCCCTGAGAAGTTTAACTCAACCAAAACCACCCTTGGTCTCTCTTTTACAAATTTTGCTTGGAAGATATGAATCAATAAAGTAATGAAGAACACGACCCACAGGTCCGATCTTCACCTTTGCATTTTCCATACTTTGTAAAGTTGGAAATGACCTTCAAAGATTACCATGATCTAGTAACAGAAAAAAAGTAGCTTGAAACATAATCATCTTTCTCTTCACTGTTCTCATAATTGAGAAAATCAATTCCACTCTCCAACACATTGAAAATCATCATCATCATAAAAAAACCTTGCAAATTACAAAAAGATATCTAACAAGACTTTATAAAACACTTAATCATAATCATCAAAACCCATAAAACTATTTCTTATACTTTTTTTTCCATCTATGTAATTCAAAAATAAAATAAATTCAATTCAGAAAACCTATAACGATAAAAATCTCTACAAAATCTTCTCTTCATTTTTTTCCGACTTGTTTATGAAAAATGAATCTATACTTTCTCTTCCTAAACACAATCCTTCTTCTCCCTCCTTCTATCATTTGAACTAAATCCATATCCCAGCACCACTACTACTACTACTACTATCATCAAAAGAGATCTTCACAATCCATCTATATTTTTTGATAAATCTCAATCAGTTCATACTATTCCCACCGCCATGATTGTTAGTAACATAACCTAAAGAAGATAAATTTCGTTTATTAATCAAATCTTTGAACTCCATTCCCAAAGTAGCGTGATGATTAGTATCTCTAATCAATTGACAAAACTTAGGTGAAACAGCTAAACAAAACCAACAAACAAAAGTAAGTCATGTAACTCCTTGATGGTTTAAAAACAGTGAGAAATCAGAAAAACTGACCAGGAGAAGAAAGTGGTAACAAGGCTACCATCGCTCGTAATGCTGATCTTTGTAATTCTGCTGTTCGTTCAAGATCTTGTTTAACTGCATTATCTTTTAGTTTTAAGTTGATAATAGCTGAAAATGCTTCAGTAGATTGATCAAGTCCTTTAAAAAATCCCACAAAAAAATTCAATCAGTCCACACTTCCTAACCAAAAAACAGTTGTCAATCTTGGGATCACTTACTTGGAGCAACTGTAGCTGGTGCAATATGTGAAAGTCTAATCAACATCAAATAACAAAGTACTTTAATTTCATCTTCATCTGAAATCCCATTCAAAACTCGATCAGTAAACTCATTAATATCAATTTTACTTAAACACATATCCAACAAAGTTAACATAGTAGAGTAAGCCAACTAAACAAAAGGAATACAAGGAATCAATCTCTTTAATTTTTCAACATGCTCTTCAAATCGAAGTTGATTGAAAAGAAACACTCACCTTTCGAGTTTCAAGTCCATCATCAACCCGATGTTTAAACGGACCCATTTCCACAAACCGAACCAAACTTTGATCCACCACAGTTTCAGCATAAAGCAACGGTAACAATTCTCCCAAGATATCTTTAATCAATTCTGGTTTATTATGTGTAGCTGAATCTAAAACTGATAAAGCTAATGCTCTAACCGATAAATCAGTATCTCTTATATGGATTAAGAAATCGGTTAAGAAGGGTCCTAAGTGTTCATCAAATCCTGCTGTGTCATCTGTTAATGTGAATCGAATTGAAGTTACACATGTCATTCGGATGTGAGATGAACTTGATTTAAGTCGTTCCTAAAGCAAAACAACATTCATCAGGAAAATCAAATCTGTCATGGATTTTCGTTTGTGGTAAATGAAAGTCTAGAAGGATTACAAATACTTACTTGCAAACGAGGTAAATACTTCAATGGATCAGAAAGTGTCAATTTTCCTAAACATTCAGCCGCAACATTCCTACACATCTCAACCCCTACATCAATATCATCAAACAAAGGATCCCATAAAGTATCTGCATGATGAGCCAAACTATGACTAGGAACATGAGTAATAAACTAAACCCCAAACAAACCACAATCTTAGTTCAATTCATGTCGGAAAAGGGATCATATAGACTTACCTCTTTGAGGGCTTGTAAAACAATATATCTTTGTTTCTTATCTCCTTGCATCAATTTGAAAATCTCAGGTAAAAAGTTATTGGAACTGCCGGCCGCGATATTACCTATTTATAGAGACATGTGTATGATCCAAGTGAGATCAGCTACTATAGAGAAAGAAACATGCCAGTAAGAACATGATCTTACCAATCGCAAAAGCAGCTGCATTCCTAATATCTTCTGAAGAAGAACTAAATCGAGCAATCGCACTTTCAAACACATCAGGTTGTGTAGATAAATCACTGCCAAAGTGAGAAATTGATACTTCAGTTTTTCTATGAACAACACCTGAAATTGTATACAATCATCAAAAGAACGAAAAAACTTACACAACTCTACCTAATTCACCTAGACAAAGTAAACTAAAATAACTCAAGACCTTCTCATCATTCGGATCGTTTCGTAAAGAATTTGAGAATTTAGTAACAGTAGAGATTCCAACCGAAGGATCCGTACGAATCACTGCACCGATACAACGTGAAACAGTTTGATAAGATTGAAGTCCAGTGGCATGACTAGCATTACTTCTACCACCATTATTAGGATTAAGATTCGCACTACTTTTAGCTTGAGATAGTGGGATTGAAGTATCGACTGTGCTGATCAACGCATCAAGTAAGTTAGATGCATTATCTAATCCTGATTGAATAATTGATGTAAAGAGTGTAATGAGTCCTTCTAAAGCAGATGTTTGTGAAATGGCTGATGACTTCATGATAAGGTAAACAGGTGCCATGATAGCATCTCTATCAGTAGATGTCAAATCAGATGCCAAAGGGAAAATCAATCCCAAAGTCTTGAAGGCAAGAGGTAATAAATGGGGATCAGAACTATTGATGAGTGGATGTAAATCAGACACTAATGAATGAATCGTATCCAAACGTAGTTTGCCAGGAATACGTTGAAGGAGTGCATTCAAACATTCAAAACATGAGATCTTCAAAGCTCGATTGTTCTTCCTCAAAAAGGCAGCTGTAAGAGGTAGAATATCTTGAATCCATTGATCGAATGCTTCTCCTTTAGGCACAGAAGATCTAGCAATATTCGTCACTACTTTTAAAGCACTAGTTCGGGTGATCTCATTTTCGAGACGTTGAGTCAAGATTGGTAAAGATTTTTGGAAATCGGTCTCAAATTGATCGGCAGCATGTGAAATCAAGGTTTCTAAACAGACGGCCGCTCGTTCTTTTACGTCTTGATCAGCGCTAGATGAAGTTAATCTTTGAAGAGTAGCCTCGTAAATTTCTTTTAGTGCCGCCGAAGAATTGAAAGAAAGAGGAGAAGTTGGAGCCAAAGGCTTGAGAATTTTGACCAGAGAGGCGGCGGCAATAAAGGCTTCACTAGCGATACGGTGATACTTATCATTGATGCCGATAATCAAGTGATTTACAAGTCGGGGCAGCTCGGGCATGAATGATCGAGGATGATGAGTTGTGAAAAAAAGTGATAAGAAAGTGTAAACCTCGATCTTGAGATTAGTACCCATGCCTGAAATTCCCCCATCAGTGGTCTTCAAGGAGGCTTCGACTCTTGACATCAAAGGTAAAACTTGAGTCTCAAGACCACCACCGAGTACATGAATCAGTTCCGACAAGAGTACGAATCCGGCTTGACGTACTGGGATTGATTTACAACTTAAACACTTGACGATAGATTTTGTGATAGCGGGAGCTTGAGAACGTAATGCAGAAAGAGGTCCATTAGCAGTTTCTCCTTCCGAAGGGTTGGCTCGTTTTCGTTTAAGGCCTCGTTCAGCAGGTGTGGCATCATGCTCAGAACCAATGTGTAATTTAGTTTGTTTCAATAATTGAGTATAAGTAGCCCAAACTTCTAATTTGACACTCTCTTCACGTTCATTGAACCGAGAGATAAGAACCGGCGAGATCGACTTGTAAAATTCTTGTAATAATTCAAATCGAGTGACGATCAAAGTCGAAAAGAGCTTGGTAGCAGCTCTCCGAACTTTCCAAGATACATCATCGTCATCAGAATACCTATAGACGTATGAATCATCATCAGACGCGTTGTTATGTGGGAAATCAATGGATTGAGATGAATGGCAACAAACTCGTCTCCAAACTCGTCATCGTCATCTTCTTCTTCGCCATCTACACCTTCATCGTCCACGTCCATGTCATCAGTGTCCTCCGCTGCGTAATTCTGATGGTTCAAAACGGACATATTTAAGTAGTTGCGGTTGAAGTCATCCACTTGAGAATCGGACTCACTGGATCGTGCTTGATGGCTTGAGCTGCTAGATCGATCACCGCAGGAATGAAGCCTGTCATCTGACTTGGTAATCTGAGAAGAAGTGATTCCAATGTTTGCAAGCAAGTTTCGGTTAACTCGTCGTCTTTTTTATTTTGAGCACTGATAATCAGTGGTACTACGTTAGAAATTGTCTGGGACAATCTAGCAGCTGAGGTTTTCGCCAAGACTCCTACCAAGAGAGTCGCGATCTTGAGCTTTGCTACATCCTCTTCTTGTTTGAGTCGAGGCATGACCACTTTGGTAATCAATGTTTCAAAGTTGACATCCGTACAACAGCCAGCTAATGATCCAAGAGCTATGACACTTCGCTTAGTGACAGCCGGCCGTGGGTTGGCGATCAGAGGTTCAAGAACTTTGATACATTGGAGTTGTACTGCAGGATAGGCGCGATAATAAGTATCAAATCGAACCAAAAGATCGGAAAGAATATCCAGATTGGCAGAAAGGATATCGGGAGTAGAGTTGGCATCTTGTAATTGAGCCATCAGCCTAGGAATCAATCTTGTACATAATGTCGGTGCCAACTTTGAGCCGGAGGGGATTTCAGACACCACTGTTTTGAGTGCTGAATGAAAAGAATCCACAGATGTCAGCGACCGTTGAATAAAATTCGAATAAGAAGTGTTGATGAAAGATACCTAGACCAGACAGATCTCGAAGTTGTTCATCATCGCTTTTACCATAGATCGCCAATTTATCCACAATACTGATCATCCTTGGATCACCTACATTTCTAACTAGAACACCTAAACTAATGAAGATGAAACCAAAAAAAGAATGAGCGCGTATGATTTATAGACGCGATCGAAAAAAACAGGTAAGATCGAACTAACGTTTTAACAGCTTGATTTTTAACTTCAGTATTTTTATCATTGATTAACTCAAGTACAATATCAACAGTTTCTTTTTCAGTTGATTCATCTAAACCAAAACCTCTATCAGATGAAGGAAAAGTAGCCCTAGAGGTAATCTCTCTGACTAAATCTGTTAATGCCATAAACCTGAAATCTGCATCTGGATTACGCATCTGATCATTATTATCAAACAAAAGATGGAAATCAGTTTGATATGTTAAGAGATAGGATAGATTGAGATACTAACCTTGGTTAATAATTGTTTGACGGCATATGCATTGGTAGCCATTTTGAAATGATGATAATTTGTAGTAGTCTTTCGATAGGGTGGAGTGGGTTTGAAGTCAACAGGGTAAAGAGGAAAACCTTTTAAAAGTCAGTTTTCAAAGTCAAACTGTATATTGAACTCAAACTGCATAATCAAACTTCAATGTCACTATGTAATTCACACTCAGCTGACAGCACACCTCAGCTCATATTCCTTTACATATCATCAGTCTGTCTTTCACGGGAGAATGATCATGAAAGTATGTACATAGTTTGCTCTTCCATATAGGCTTGAGCTTTCTTGTTATTCTGAATTTCTGATAACTGCACGTATAATCAAAAAGAAACTCTGAACCTTAATTGAGCTTCAAGCTACTAAATATCAAACATGATCAAAAGAAAAAGATGTTACATCACTTTGATTTCTTATAAAGAACACACAAACACACAAACACAAACAAACAAGCCCTTTTTCAAGGTAAAGACATGTTTTCAACATTCACCCGTCCAAAACAAAAAGGTAAAGGAAAGTAAGAAAAGACATCTTATGTATCTGACTATCATGCCTATCCTATTTCAACTATGTATCAAATAAAGAAAAAAAAGACAAAGAAACAGAAACAGAAAATCATTCTAAGAAACAAACAAATTGAAAATCAAAAAGAAGTTTTTCAACATTAGAAATATCATTTGCTTTATTCCTTCTATTTCTCATTTCTGCTTCAATTCTTCAGTATGAATGGTAGAGGTGGGTATGAGATAATTGAGCTAAGAATCGAGCATCGGATGAGAATGAGAATGAGAATGAGAATGACCTGTAAAATTGTTTATCAAAGACTTTGATCACAAAAGAAAATGATTTAATGCCAAATATCATCAAATCAACTTCATCAATCAACCCATTCACTCACTTATTTCCACGTCCAAAATAAGCTTTCAAACCACTAGTAGCTACTTCTTCTTTAGCCTGACTAAACGTATGACCTTTATCATGCCAATGTTTCCAAACTGCTCTCCACATCCATGCATTTCCCAAACTTAGAATAGCCCAACCCACCGTAGCAATCACTCCGAAAACACCTGTTAAGATACTTCCTCTACCAAAAGCTGCAATCATATTGATCAATCCTGCCGAACCTGTGCCTGGAATTCCTATTAGCATGTAAAAACAAAATGCAACGTGGAAACCTCCAAAAACTATGATAAAGATCATCGAAAGAAGAAGTAGTGATTAGTAGGGCGAGGTAAAGTTAATGTCTGAGGGAGATGAGCGTTGTTGTAACCTACTGAAGTACAACAGGTAAAAAATTGACTTCAAGGAATATCATGTCAGTACTCGTATGACTATGTTTGAATGCTTTGAAATTTGTTTTTGTTGAAAAAAACTCACATGCTCCTTTGCATATGCATTGTACACAGGTCTGTTGGTTTCAACGCAAACTTGGATGAGTAAATCTGAATGATAAGGCTTGCTTTTAAAATAAAGATCAAAGTGAAACCCCTGTACTCACCTATACCAAAGAAGAAATGATAGTACAGTGATAACTAAACAGTCCAATATCCAATCATCAGTCAATTATCAATAATTCCATTCCAAAAAATTCTTATCACTAACCTGGGAGATAAAAGATTCCAGATCCTAGATCTGCTCCACCTGCGCTCGCACCACTTGTCAAAAGAAATATTGATGTGATCATATTCCAAGCTAAAACTAAAACTAATAGAAGCCAGCCTCGATAAATCGTTCTAACATCTGGTCTTAATTCTGTTGGAATTTCAACATCGATATCGTGAAAAAAGACAGGATAACTATACGTAGAAGAAAACCATAGATATCCTGATCAGTATCATTGTACACTTCAAAATTCAAGATGACTTCACACTGTTGAGACGATCCAATAAAAAAGTTGTTAAAATCATTACAAAGGAGGCCAATTATTCTTTCCGTAATTTTTAACATGTTCTTCTCTTTGACCCAATGATCTTTCTCTTTGTTCTAATTCGGTTTCTTTCCTTTTAATCTCAGCCAATCGAGCAGCAGTATCATCACTTCTACCACTAGTTCCTATTGAATCGCCTAATGAATTGGTATCTACATTATGAAATTCAGAAGGTGTTTCAACTTGATAAGCCGTTTCTTCATATCCTGCATGTGATCCTAATGCTCCTTGTACGGTTGGATCTGAGAATGGATTGGCATCTAGTCCGTGTGTTGGTGGGTCTTGAAATGGATTATCTTGTCGATGTGCTGATGGATTTCAAAGGATACAATTCAGATGTCAAACCATTTTAGATATCAGTTTCAAGGTGATACTAGAAGTGGGCGATCGAGTGAAATTGCTAACCTGCCATGATAGGTCAAGAATCGATCAGGACTGATATCGGCCGATGATTGAGTTGATAAAGGTGATTTGATCGATAGTTGAAGCTTTGAAAGGTTTCAGTATAATTTCTATTTCTATTTGGATGTCTGACTCAGTGGGTAGTTTTGGTGACGAGATGTGCTAGAGCCTAGAGGAAGTTCACATGTAATCCTTAAACCCAGGACATCGGTACTTCACATCTATGTAACACGCTTCACACACCTGTTACATCACCTCATCACAGTTCACACAGCACTTCACTGTGCAGGCTTTAAGTTTTGGCCCTGCAAGGAGATGTTTGCATTTTTTGGCATTCATGCCTAGCTTAACAACAAGCCCACTGTGCCAGGTGATTTTTCTCGGACTCGTCCGCCCCTGGCACAGGGGGCTTGCACATTAAACGACAATTGTTGCGTGACTAATAGCCACCTTTTGGTGGGTGTTTTTTCACTTCACTTTTACACCACGACCCACAAATGCATTTTCTTCAAAAAAACAGTCAGATGAGCTCTGTCGAGTTATGAAGGAAATGGCCTCTTCAGAATCTCGACAGAGCTCATGATCGTGTTGATTCATTGAGGCTGCTTATTTTGAGATTTGAAATTTCAACCGCTAAGATTGTTATGTGTACCCTTAAAAAGGCTCGAGAGATGGTCAATTGACTCCCTTAAACAAACTTATTACTCGTTTTCCAGCTCAATTCTTGTGAGCTGGCACTTTTGATTCTCTTTTTTTTTCTAATAGAAGTTATGTACAAGATGCTGAACTCATACCAGCCAGTTTCAGAAACAACATCAAAGTAATGTTGAATGAGATAGGATGGGTTGCATCCAAAAGTGACCCAAATTTCACTTTTTGGGGCTATTGGTCACGCCAGAGATGTCGTTTAATGTGCAAGTCCCTCGTGCCTCGGCTTCGGGTTACCGTGAGCTTTTGCACGATTGGACTTGGGTTAAGTTAGCATTCATGCGCACTCTGACGACCTGAAGTAGTGGAGCTGCGATAGATTTCTCTGGAAGGGAGTTTTAGCGAGTGTTTTGCTGCATCAAACTGTTTGTGGAGGAATAAAGATGAACATTTGTTTAATGATCAAGTTGTTTCTTGACAAACACCATACAAACATGCTTCTAAAATCACTCTGTGTGGTCCAAATCCAAGCGCTACCGACTTTTATATCAACAGCTGTTCAGAGCTTGCCATTTTCTTAGAAGCATTTCCTGGATGGCACATCCACTATTTGGATGATCAGATGAAGCAGTGAAACCTTTCCTTGTGCAAATTTTTTTAACATATCAAAAGGGCTGGAAGTCAGAATCTGGGCGGTGGACATGTATGTTTCACCATGCTGATCAGATGTACCTTCATTCAGTGGTGTGGGTGAACATTTTGCAACTCGCTAAAGATGTATGAAGGTGATTCGCATTGAGTTGCAGTGCCAACACTTCATTTCCTCGGGAAAAGAACAAGATAAACCGCCGTATGCCATCGTCATGGGACTAGCCGTGCTCATTCGAGGCCATGTTCCACCCACTTTTTGCATAAAACAATTGTTTGGTCCAGCATGAACTTTTATCTTGTCTCTGAGATTCCTGATGGATTATCAACTCCGTGCCGAATGTCATCAACCTTATTTGAACCTCTTACTTGCATACAAAAACCAAGGGCATCCATATCTATCCAACGCTATTGTTTTGAAAACGAGACAATCCATCATGAACAAATTATATCACCAGATAACATGAAGAAATCACCAGGATCAAGCGATTTCAAAATGTCCCATGTAATATGAATCAAAAGCAGGTACATAGAATGGCGCAGAAAGTCGTGATGGAGATTCGAGTCAATGATGTGACAGTACAAATGTTAAGAAGGAAGGAGACCCAAAAAGAATGACTGAAGAAACTCGAATAACATGAGATTTGATACGAAAAATACATCATTGGTAAAGATTGTTAAACTGGTCGCTATGAAGGCCTTGTTATGAAGAATCGAATGTGATGAAAAGCTAAAAAGAAAAAGAGAGAATTGTAAAACATGTTACAGTTGTAGCTCAGGCGAGCGAACATAGAAATCTTGACAGCTCATGATGAAATGTCCGATTGTACAGAAAGAAAAATCACGAAATGTAGCTTGCGTTGAACGGATAATCTGTGCTATGCGTAGAATTGTGAGAATATGCATTTGCGTATACTTCAGTCACTCTATAGCCAAGACGATGATATTCAAGACGCCTACTGAGATGTGTATAACTCTAAGCAGCATCAAAGGGCTAGTCGGTTGGAGAATCTGAGGTGCGTGAGTCGGAGAGGCGAACAAAATCGATCAAAGAAAGCACTTTTATAAGTTAATATGTTCAAACCTCATGTGGTGATGTAGCATAATCACTCACTTCCAAGACGTTTTCTCTTCATGGGAAGCATCCGTCCACCATTCGGGTGCATCCTCACCATCAAGAGTAATTGCAACTGCCTGGATACCTTCAGCCCACGCAAGCATGTCCTTTCTCTTTTGCAGCATATCATCATATATCATGTAGTAACTCGAGCTATCAAAAGGGTCCCGGGTGGCAATTTCCGGTATATCATATAGCCAAGAAAGCCTTGCGAGATTGTCTTTAAAGTCCATCACATTGGGCTTCTGTTCGCCGAGTCCATCAATGATAGGTCGTATCCACTCCAGGTACATCTTTGTAAGACGTGATGTATACAATGGGACTAGCACCAATGGAGCACCTGCAAGAAACTAATTGATCAAAATCCACAAGTAACATATCACCTGGAGTGAGTTCAGACACACCTGAAATTTCTTCATATCTACTTCTTGGGTCCCGTTTGGTAAAAGTCTCAAATCTATCAGCAGCGTCTATCGCAGGAAAAACTTCACTTGCACCTCCCTATTTTCAAAATCAGGAACCATCAATCATTGATACTACTTCCCCTGGATGAATGAACGTGGATTCCCTTTCATCAGGCTCAGTGTGCTCACATGTACAAGAAGTATTGGTTGCTTTATACTGTCTCTGAACGATTGGGGCGTAATTTCACGCTGAAAGCACATGTCAGGTTAGATAAAGACCTGAGTCGATAGGGGATTACAAAGCTTACTCCAATTTCAAGCAACCCGGTTGCTGTGAGCCGCTTAGCCTTGGAAGGCGAGTATCGTCGAAGGAAAATGCCAGTCCACTCGTCTATCATCTTGATCTCGTCATCCCGGGGAACGTTTTTGTCCTGATAAAATTGTAAAGGTGAATTCAAGGTGACGCACAATCGATAACAGTGAGCCAAAGTGCATATAACTCGCACATCCTGGTGCGATCAATATGGGAGTATCATTCAACTTACTTTGTGGAAGTATAGATACTGGAATGCCATAATTCCTAACCGGGAAAAGCATGCATAATCATTCAAGTCAGCATTGGCCGCATGAAAGCATGAATCCATTTTGAATATTCACCCTGCGAGTTGAAAAATTGTCGAAATAGACATGGAGGGTCATCAAGTTCAGTTCACAACATTTTGAGCCCAGTAGGCACTAACCTCTTCCCATTGCTCTGGGTCGGCAGGCGTGACCAAGCATTCCAAGCATTCGGACATTGCGACATTTGTTGCATCAGAACTGAGGTTGTAGTGGGGTAAGATCCCAGAAAGAAAGCAGGCATAAGTAATCCCGCGCTCCACCAAGTTATCAGCCTCAAGGTGCTAGTCATGAATGTGAGTGAGCATGTATGATTTGAACGTACTACACATCAGGACACAGCCCACAGAGGAACATCGACAAAACTTTCTCGGGAAACACTGCAGCCAGCTTGAGAGCCACCTCACTTGCGCTGAATTGCACAGCAATCACGTGAACCTAGTCGAAAGGTAAACGAGTAAGACAGATCAAGATATCTTCTTCAAATGTAACCGGTTGTAAAAGCAGCAGGCAATCTTCGCCAGCATAGAGTGACATTACTCAAGATGAGGAGGAGGCGTACCGGTGGAAGTTGAAGCTTTTGCATGCCCATTGCAATATCTGCTGCGAACATGTAATAGTCGAGGGTAGGTGTAAGCGGAGCTTGCGTGCGGCCATGTATCCTATAATCGAAAACGATGCAGTTAAAGCCTCCTTTGATTTCAGGTTGAGCAGAAAAGCTGGTCGTCCATGACATATCGGTCAGAATAGGATGAAGAAGTAAGATCCATGGGTTTTCCTTTTTACTTCTATAAATTTCGTAATACAAGGAAACTTCGGAGGATAGTTCGAGAAAAGGCATTGCTGATTGTGAGGATATTCGAGTTGGGAAAGATAATTTTGGTGTTTCTGGATAACGAATGAAAGTCGCCTGACTGACAATGAGCTTGCAAAGTTGCTCCTACAAATGATATGCGATAATAAAGAAACGCCGGCGGAGATTAATTGAATGGTTACTAGTCAGTCAGACTTTTGTGATTTTCACCTCGGCTAGATATGGACCCAGACAAGCGACAGCTTTATTTTTTCCGTCTCGCTTTGGTGGTCTGTGTGGGTGCAAGCGGAGCCGAATACAAGTCACATCACCCACGCTTCGATTGAAAAGGAGATAACCGATCGGTCACGGCTGGTCACGAAAGTTGTGGACAAATTTTTATCGCCTGAGCCCTTCATAAGCCTTCATACGGTATACCCAAGCTGAAGGGATGGGGCTGAAATTGCTTTCACCCCACCTGATTGGGGATGATTGTACACCATCGTGCTGCTATACAGTCAAACCTCTTAAATCCGGTGCGCTTGGTCCTTTGTACCAGATAGCAGAAATCATCGGATTCCAGAGTCCAGATCCCTGCTGGGAGACCAACTGGGTCACGGGTGGACCAAAATTTGAGGTGAATTTGACCGTATATCAGAGGAGACCGGATTTTCGAGGATCGAATTACGTGTAGCTCAAACGCAAGTAATCTCGTGGGCCTTTCAAGCTGGCGGAGCCTGATCAAGGTGAGAGGGTGATTTTCATAAGAATGTATTTACGACATAAATGAGTGGCACTGCATAGGTGGCGCTATGCTCGCCACACTATGAGGTTCGGTTTGGCTTCCGCGGTCCTGTCGGATGGCCTGGATCCTGGATGGTCTAATCTATCGGCTGAACTACGATCGTAGCATGCCCACGTAATACGTATAACATTCTTAAGACCGCTTGAGCGCACACTTCTTGGTCGGACATTTGAAGGTTGTCCGATTTTTCAAATAATCAGATACATGATGTGTCCTTGTTTTCATGGTTTAGCTTGCTCAATGCTGAGGCCTTCGCCATCGGTTTGTTGGAGGTGAGAAAAAGGGAAGGGCGAGTACGACGAGGACGTCGAAAGGTAGGTCACGTGATCAATAATCAGATTGTTTGGAATTTTAATTCTCTGTCCGGCTCATCAGTCCGGCTTGCGTACCATCTCACCAATAGTGATCATCGATTAGGCGTAAGTACAAACCGAAATGAAAGCTGTGATCCAAAGAGTATTAGCCGCTTCCGTTGAAGGTGAGCTCGTAGTATCGTACTTCTCAACACCGTCGATATCCTCGAGTTTGAGTCAACTTGTTTTTTTGATCATTTGAACTAATGAATTGGTGTTGCGTCATGTTCGTTTATTTCCTCATTCTACTTATTTGGATATGTTTGATTCGCTGACGTGCAGATAGCTCACCTCAGTGATGGGACCGACAATAAATGCACACAACAGTGGACGGACACCGAATTTCTGAGATCAAACGCGGCCTTTGTGTGTTGATCGGCATAGGGGCAGGTATGCAATGGTGGCTTGAACGACGTATTGGATAACTGAAGGGTCCACAATACTCACCCCATTGATTGATTATCCTTGTAACAATTCAGATGATGTTCGCGCTGACATGGACTACATCGTGAACAAGATTTTGAACTTGCGACTCTTTCCGAGCGAGGTTCCAGACAACTTGAAGAAATCTACCGAGCTTGAGTCTCACCAATCTCCCCCGCCAGCTGAAAATGTTAAGCAATGGGCAAAAAACGTCAAAGATATCGAAGGTGAAGTCCTCTGTGGTATGTCATGTTTCTTCCTCAGGTACTGTCTACCAGGCTGATGAAGTTGTATCATTCCTTATATTTTTACAGTCAGCCAGTTCACATTACTTGCCCAGACAAAGAAAGGAAATAAACCAGATTTCCACAATGCTATGGTAAGTGAATTACTTGATCACCACCGCAAGTAGCTCTGCTTGAGCCTCTGATGCCCTGGCTGAGATGACCTACTTCCTTCAGCAATCGACCTCATCGCGAGTGATGTACGCTGAGTTGTTAGAGCTAATGAAGCTTTCCTATTGTTCAGAGCGCATCAAAGGTCAGTCATTGAGGTTTCCTACACAAGGAGTTGAAGATGATTAGAGGCATGCAGTCCAGCCGCTTGCTAAAGTCCTGTGCCATGTTTGCACTGTCAGACGGCGAATTCGGCGCTATGATGCAGGTGAACATTGCTAATGATGGACCTGTCACCATCACCCTGGATAGCAAAGAAGCTCAAGCAGGTTCAAAATCACGATCCTGATGGATTACAGAGAAGTTGTTGGTCTTTATTATTCAAGGAATTCTTAAGGCTACCAAGCCGCTTCCTAATTAAAAAAAATGAATTGTAAAGGCAATTGAGTGATGTTGGCTAGTTTTTTGATTGCAGACAATTTTGCCTTTGTATATGAAGGAGTAGCCAGAGGTTGCAAGAACACTATTGTCGATATCATTAATGAAGGTAGCAGAAGTTGGCCAGGAAGGGGGGAATGCCCTCCACAACAGGCTTGGAGATGCAGAGAACAGAATAAAACATCTGTTTTTGGGACGGGGATTTTACCCAAGTTTACACCCTGATGCCTCAGACGGAGACTTATCGCCAAAGGAAATATGCGATCTCTTGCAATATCCGAATATCGATCGACGTCGGGCATCATAAGGCATCTATGTTACAAAAGTACATGTTCTGACTGCAAGGCGCAAGAGCTGAACGATGGGCAGAACAGAGACAAACAATGAGACATGTTTGTCATAATACATCCCCGTCTTTTCGGTCATTTGTTAGGTTGCATGGTGTACAAAAAAAGGCTAAAGTGATTACCGACAGTAGAGTGGAGTTGTAAGATGAACAAGGAAGCAAAATTTTCGTTCGTCCTTGAGCTCAATCATCAATCACAATTACGTTGCGATCGGTGGACTTTGGAGTCGGCTTTGTCAGCGAGTTTCCTTGGCCAGAAAATCCACCTACGACAGCGCCATTTGAGCTTGGTTCGTGGCTAGTCTGGTCGCTTACAGTTCTGGTGCGCCCCGATAGTGTCGTACCGTTGCCCGTAAGACCCGCGAATGGGGTAGATTGAGCCGCATCAGCTCCATCCGCGGTAGCAGGCTTGTGAGGCTGGATATTATACCCAAAAAACAACTGAACCCGATAAACTTAGCACACTTTGACAATCTAAAAACAAACGGTTACGAAAGATTGAACACGTGGTTCATGTTACTCACCGTTCCAAATGGTAAATCCAACCTGGCGGGTACTTGACGGTCTCCAATCTGAGTGTCGGCCGTGACAATCTTCTGGATACCAGTGCGGAAGATCTTACTGCTCGCATCGACCTCTTCAATCTTCTTTTTGACGACGCCCTTGCCTCTCACAGACTTGCCACCCATCGTGCGTCCTCCACCGGTGAACGCTTCCCAAGCAGTCTGACCGCCACCAACTGTTGAGCCCGAAGGAGTATTAGTGCCGCTTCCGCGAGCGTTGACGGATTGAGTTCCAGAGGCATCGATGTTCAATTTGGAAGCCAATGTTGGCGGTGGCGCTCGCGGCACAGGCGTGGGCTCGACATAACCCACTGGAGCGGCAAAATCTACCTAAATTTCGAATAATGTAGTCCGGTCAATATGACATTCAATAGTGTAACTAATCGAGTCGAAGCCTCACCTCAAGATCAGTCTCAAAGATGCTGACACCTGGTACGTCGTCTGGCTTCAACTCCATGATCAAAATTTCGAACGTCATCATATTATGGTATATCTCAATGATATCTCCTTTCGTGAGACAGGAGAAGTTTCTGAGAGAAGTTTCTAGCCTAAAAGTTCAAAAAAGGATGAGTATCATTGGCAACCAAATATAAAAGCAGGGGACTGACACCGCTTTGTGGTCTCCAAGCTCTAAGAATAGGGTGCTTTGAGCTTGAACTTTAGCAAATTTTCCTTTGGGTAATCGAGTCCCAGTGAGCTTTATGGGATCACCTTCGTTCAAATCGAGACGCTTCATCATCTAAAGCATCAAAGGCGAGGACCAAAGTTAATGGAGTAGTAAAGTGCATATAGGATGGTCTTACTCACCCACTGGGGAAGATGCACAGTACCTGTATCAGCAATGAATTCGAGAACACCGCAGTGAGTGAAGAGATTCGTCTTATTCGGTGACGAGTTGCGAATTTCGAACATGAACGGCGACTCCATATCCATCTCTGTCAATTCTACAAGTGCGTCTTGTGGCATGATGACTATCTCGATGAAGATCGCATCAGCTCACCATAGATAAAAGAGACTGAAGAAAAACGCACTTTTTCCACCGTGCATCACATTGCTTCGACCACCTGTCCTTTCTCCGCGACCCTGCTTGATCTCGAGGATAGCAGTGGAAAAGGCCCGATACCCTTTACTGAACGCTCCAGCTGGAGGGCGCATGTTGGGATGTCCACCAAATCCCATACCATGTCCACCGAAGATACCTCCAAAGTGATTGTTGTCGGGGTAGCCATTGAACGAATTGAAGAGGCCACCAAAACCTTGCCCTGCCCCATGTGGTGCTTGATTCCCAGCGGGCATATCATCATCGTGCTCATCGAGTTCGAAACCGGCTTGTTGTTCATCATCATCATCGTAGTCCATTTTTGTTTCTTGTTTTGAATCAAGAGATAAGTACCGGGAAAGTAAATAGAATCTTGAAGTGGATATGTTTCTAGAAGGCTGAGTTACGAATTGGCCAGTTCTCGTCGCTCGTCAGGAATCAGGATTACATATGTAGACCGATACCCCGGTTGATCCCCGATGGTGATGGACTTGGGGTACCCGAGCGTCGGTCCCGACCCAGAGGGAGCAGAAATTCAAGGTTTGATTTCTTGAGACCTTGATATGTTCAATTTGGGCATGTACTTTTTTGGTGTTGGATTCTAGACTGACACAAGTGAAATTAATATATGCATGGCTGAGAACTGACAACAAAGATGCCTTGGATTTAAGATACAGTCGCCGCTCGCTATAAGCACACACTGAGTATGCATATCGTGTTATAAGCATGGATTTTGTCCCAATAAAAAATGAGCAGGGCTTAATTTGTGACCATAAGCATGTAAGTTAAAAGCATGAACTTGAGCCAAAAAATGCTTACAACGAGCGTCAATTTTGCTATATTTAAGCATATTTTGTGGTTGCACAAGCAGATATGCTTATATACAATCTGTTTTTCTGTGCAAGTGTGAACTTTCGAGAAGGTTCATCAAATCTCCTGCCCGCTCTGCTAGCCTCTGCTTTATTGTTCACAGTATATCAACTTATATAAACACTTTTATTCACACTTTTTCAACCATCTTTGACTACATCTCAATCTCAGTCTCATAAGAGAATGGATAAGCTCATCCACAAAACCCTCCTTCTATCGCAAAGCTGCCCTGCTGATAAAATCAGAAAGGCAACCAAGGAAGATAAGATATTCAGAATTTTTTCAGTCCCACCAGTCCTGGATACCAACGACACAGATGAGGGCATTGGATACTTAGTCAACTCAGCACTTGATGCAATCTGTGGTATTGACAAGATTGATCAACACCTTTTCACAGGACCACATGGGATTGAACTTATGCTGAAATGGATTGGTCAAGCTTGCAACCACCCCAGCTGGAAAGGGGATACCAATGCGCACGGTTTTCTTAGGATAAAGCTTGAAAAAGTTTGTCAAAAGCTCCAAGGTGGGTACTTTCTTTGAATCTTTTTGAAATCTGTCTCTTTTATATTCCCACCCACACTCATATCGTTTGTATCTACTTTTTTAGATGCCGGTGCAATTCTTCCTGGGGCTGGTAAAAGTATCCTTCCTACTTCAGGCGTGACATCTGTAGCTGGCCAAAAGAGACGGGTGATTTCAAATGCTGAAGTTAAAAGTTCAAACTCGATCAAGAAAACTAAGCAGCCTATCAACACTCCTGGATCATTGGCTTCTTTGAAATCTACCAATTTGAACGGACCAACACCGCGTGGTGTGTATGATCTAGCCTTCAAGGCGGAGGTTCTTGCATGGCATCACGCAGGCCGAAAGATCCAGCAAGAAACCGCCCGACATTTCAATATCACACAATCTAATCTCAGCCGATGGCTTAAAGACGAAGAGAAGATCAAGGCAAATGCATTGATAAATGGTGGAACAGTTCGGAAACAACGCACAGCAAAGTATCCTGATCTTGAACAAGCTTTATATCAATGGGTAATTGAGGCTCGCGAGCGTGATCTACCAGTCAACGACGAGGTTATAAGAGTCAAGGCTCAACATTTCTCAGACATCCTTCAAATTAAGATGAAATGCTCAGATGGATGGATGACCAAGTTCAAGAAACGCTACAACATCCAAAGAGTCACCCTGCATGGTGAGGCATCCTCAGTAAACCCAGAAGATGTGAAGTCTGCACGCGACGAGCTACTCAAGGTGACGAAGGACTATCAACCTTCTGAAATATATAACGCTGATGAAACTGGACTATGCTATTGGTAAATCCGTGACTGTTTTTCTTCATCAAAGTTCAGCAGATTGATCATCTTCCAACTTTTCTTCTCAGGATGCCGCCAAATAAGACCTTAGCTGACACCCAAAAAGCCGGTGTGAAAGGCGACAAAGCTCAAATCACATACCTCATCTGTGCAAATGCAGATGGCACTCACAAACTCGATCCTCTCGTTATCGGTAGTTCAAAAAAGCCTACCTCGTTCAGGAGCAAGCCCGCAGGTTATTACGGTCTCCAATACACTAATAGTAAGAATGCCTGGATGACCGGTGCAATCTTCGGTGACTGGCTTCAGAAGATTGATGCCGACTTCCGTCGAGAAAATCGCAAAATCTTACTCCTGCTCGACAATTTCTCCGGTCATAAAGCCCCAGTCAAAACTCTTAACCTCACAAACATTACAGTACATTTCCTTCCACCAAATCTCACCAGTGTCTTACAGCCTTGTGATGCTGGAATAATCGCGGCTTGGAAAGCTCACTACAGACGTAACTTGATATCTCTAGTAATCCGGAGACACGATGATAATAGGGATTGGGCAAAAGTTCGACCAAGTTGTAGCCAGCGGTTCTGGTGCCACAGAACTTGTAGGAATCCAGCTGAATTCCGCTGAATCATATCAACAAGATGTCACAGATTCTCTTTGCTGAGCTACCCGGGGCCAAAATAATGATTTATGGTGTGTCGGGAATTGTTGGAACCAGGAATCCAACACCTCAGACCACCGTTCATCACCTTCAACAATCAAAACCCCCCAGATCACCCCAATTCACTCTCACCGCATAACTCCAACACCCTTCATATACAGTAAGTAATACGCTATGATTGATCATAATACAAACTGACATTTCAAGTGTTCCTGTTGTTGATCTAGGTGTCTAGCAGTGTTATCGAAGTGGTTCCACTTCATTGTATTTGAAGATCACATATGTATGTATTCAAAACCTATCACAAGCAAATGAATTGTGTGAACTGAAGTTTTGTTTTAAAAAATCTCAGGACCTTCCAGCGTTTATCCCGTAAAGGCATTTTTCGAACCACTGGAAACCCCGCCAACCCTCTCCCAAGGCTTTCCAAATGGCTTTCAATGTTGGTTACGGCTCAGGCATTACTGACCCATCAACTCGAGAAGGATGCCTTGCAACAACGCATCTCCTATGATGGTTGTATCCCAATTGATGTTCACAATTGGTCGCCGCGTGTCTGTTACCTGACGACTAGATTCTGGCCAACCGAGATTGTCGAAATGCACCAGCTTCTAGGGTTCCTCGATAGAATTCGACTGGACAATGGATGTGTAGAAGTCGGCCTCACTGCACTTGCCATCCTCCTGGCACGTCTGGCTGTACCAAGTCGACATTTTGACTTAGCTGGGGTTTTTGGGCGCAATCGGAGCATCATCGGCCGTATTGTTAGGTTTACTCAACGTTGGATCAAATTACATTGGTGTCATCTACTCAAATGGAGCCCCCAGCGATTGACTGCTCTTCGTCTCGAGGAATACGCGGCTTCTTTAATGGACTCACGAGGGTGTCAGCAACACCCAAACCCCGCCGCAGCGTGGCGGATTTTTGGTCCACGGAGGCAGCGGTGTGATCGACCCCAGTTTTACGGGGACCTCACCGTAGCGCTGCCGCAGTGAGAAAAAATCTCAAGGGGACCGCGGCGCGCTTGAGACCATCGCAGCGCGCCGCAGACTGGGGTTTTATTTCCCTAAATTTGAAAAAATGAGATTAATGCCAAAAAGAAAAAGACCTGCTTGAAAACCCTCAATCTGAGAAAGTTGATCGAGAGACGACAACAGAATAGAAAAATGCTATTCATGATAGTAAGACCCTCTGTTGACGGTTAAGAACTTTTGACCTTTGTTGACTGATTTTGATGCGAATTTCTATGACCTTTAGCTTGTGTGATACATCGGTTTTTTGATACCAGCAGTACTCAGCTATCTTTCTTTGGACACTTTCAACTCGTATCCGGTTTGGCTCCTGATTCACTCACTGCTTTGTTATGAAATTCACATCTTTCAGTCTTGTATCGGCACCCGGTCATCTCACCTGCGCCACCTGCTCCTCTTCACCCTCCTCTACCGCCTCCACCCGACCAAATGGACCCCAATTACTCCCATGAGACAATGCTGGAGGGTCATGCAATCTCTCAAAGTCTCGCACAGGCTGAACTAGAGGATCGATCCCTACATACATTCAATAAAGATGAATGTGGAGTACCTAAACTCTTCAGTCTGGTAACGGATATGGCGTTTCTGAATGAGCGCCATATTGTTTGGGAAAGCTTAGAGGATGTTGAGGGTGGTATGAGTGAGTTTTATGATGAGAATCAACTACAAGTCGCCTCAAAGCCCCAGCTTCACGTCAAACAGGTCAACATGCTGCCAGCGGTCCGCCGCGCAGAATTTCTGTCCCACCGCACGACACGACAGAGCCCAATCAGCTCAACAACGAGTGCCTCTTTTACTATAGCCCACACGTCCTGTCGGAGGTTTCAAGTTTGGTATTTTGTACCTTTAGATAACCTCTGTGAAAACACGAGTTGTGACTGTTCATCTGAAGTTTGAACTAACAATTGGACGTGTCAGGGGTTGAATATGTACAGTCTAGGCTATATGAGCCAAACTGGGCCCCTGGGTCCCCCCTGGGGTACCTTCAATGGGGCAGCGGCGGGTTGGACCTCAGTAAAAACTGGGCCCCGGCGCGGTTTTATCCCAGTGAGCGTTCAGTAGACTGAGGACGCGGCGGGACCCCCGCGCTGCCGCAGCGCTGCCCCAGTTTTCCGCGGCGGGGTTTGGGTGTTGGTGTCAGTTGAACAACTGTGTGGGCTATATCAATGGCGAGTTCAAATACATCTATTCAAAAAGATTGGAACTTACACACTTATGACTTTATTTATATTGTAGGGACTGTCTGGAAGATCTCACGGCCACAACACAATCAGAGACTATTTTACAATGGACATAAGCGCTGTCATGCTTTGAAATTTCAGGCAGTGACTACCCCCGAGTAAGTTCTTTATTTGCTTTCATTTGCAGTACATAGACCTGATATTTTGATTGTCTTCTGTTGTTTCAGTGGGATCACTGTGGACCTCAGTGAGGCTTATGTAGGCTCGCGTCATGACCAGGCAATGCTCAAAGATTCACAGCTTGAAGCGACACTCAGAATGCATGCCAAAGGTAATGGTGGTTGCCAAATGATCCTCTATGGTGATAAAGGATACTCAGCCAACGATGTAATTATGACACCATACCCTGGAAACGAAGACCGAATGCCAGAAGAACATGTTGAATTCAACAAAATTATGAGTCGCTGCCGAATAGGCGTTGAGCACGAGTTCGGTCGAGTGCGAAATGTATTTAGACTGACACAGTATGAGGGTAAGCTAGCCTTTTCTGCCTTTTCTGCCTTCTCACCGATCTCTGACTTTTTGATCTTATTGATTATAGACAACCTCATGTTCTATAAGAACGAACTCAATGAAACTTACCATGTAGCTGTATTTGTGAAGAATTGTTTGATATGTCTCGGTTGAGGCCCAGGAAATTCCCCCCTTCCTCCCCCCTCTTTAGCACAATATCTTGACCGAGCACATTTGTAATTAGATTTTTGGCTGAGAGATGTGATTATGCCTGCTTAGACTCAAGTTGTTGATTGGAAGCTTTGTGATAGGAGACTCAGTCTGATTCCACGGTCATACACTTGATGAAATCAAAGGCTCTAGAAAGTGTTGTTGGTTCATAAACGATCAAAAAATCGTAATTTACATTGAGTTAAAAGGATGGAAGATTTCACTAATCTTCACTCGTATCCGAAGCTTTCAAGCATCATTGATCTAATGGATCAATCATTAGATCGATGTTTCTCTTACTCTAGAGTCTCTACAAAACGCTGATAAGCTTCATTCATTCCAAAGCGTCAAACACCTCCAGTCTTTGATTTGCAACTGTTTCAATATCTCAAACGATTTGAACTTCTCAAGGTTTTTGTTACAAAGAGTCAAACACCTCCACAGTCTTCAATTTGGAATTGTTTGAAGATGAATTTTTCAAGGTTTTTGTTTTAAAAATGATCGATCGTTCCAAAGACTTGTGAGAATGGGAAGACTGTTATTCTCATCAAGCAATGAATCCTCAAGATTTGCGAAGATCTTTAAATTTGTGAAATGGTAAAAAAGAAAAGTTTTCATTTCTAATAAAGGATCAAAGATTGTAAATCAAAGTCGAGCCTGAGGATCAAAGATAGGGATGATTGTAAGATCAGGCAATTGTTTTGTATGTGTGTATGTCTTTTAAAGATTGACCGAAGATAGTTAAAAATAGACCAGGCAGGAATGAGAGAAATTACAAAAAAAGAGAACATCATTGCACACGCGAGGAAAGTTGAGTCATGATTGCTGCCAAGGCGTCATTGATTGAGGTCATTTTTGAGTCTACTTTAGCGTCAAGAGCTTCTAAGGTGAGGTTTGTGGTTTTTGATTGCTCAGATGCCAACTCGAATTTTTTTTGTTCAAGGGCCAGTTCTGCCTTGCGATGTGCTTCTAGAGATCTAGCCGCCGCGGCAGCTATGGTGAGCTCACGTTCGTAAAGGAGGTTTATTTTGTTGTTTTGCTCTGCTTGAGCGGTCAAAGCGGCTTCATTCATCTTACTCATTTCGCCACTAAAAGCACTCAGCTCCTCCATGACCGCGTTTGCATGGGATGCAGCTGAGTTGCGGGCCTTCTTGGGTTTCCTGCTAATCAATCTGCCATCGTTGTCGGTTTCTGAGGGGGTTTCTGAGCGCTTACGTACTTCCCCTCTTGCAGCCCGATCACGGTAATCCTCTGCCAGCATATATCGGTTCTTGAGTGTCTCACGTTCCTCCTTGGAAGCTAGTTTGAGAGCTAGGCCGTTCTGGGTTAAAGGAGTGTTCAGGGTATCAGCAAAAGATTACAGGGAAGAAAGAAGCCAGATTGAGTGATCTGGATTTGGGGAAAGGAAAAATCACATACCTCTTCCTCATGCTCGACTGTGTGGATCAATTCACGCAGCTCCTTGTCATCTTCGACGGTCCCACTGTCCATCTTACTCCACCCTTCAGCGGCTTTAAGCCAAGTCTTCAATTGGCAGTATCGTGTTGTAAGGACTTTGCTGTGGGTACTATCTGAAAGTTCTCGAAAATATCTTTGAGTTCCAGGTTCGGTCTGGAGAGAAGTGTATCAGTTAGTAAAAGCAGTGAAAAAAGTAGAAAATTATTTACAGACCTTCAACAACGTTGCACACTGTTTGAATACTTTCAACTTTTTACCCGGTGTACCAAAAGGACTGAGTTCTGCAAGGCATCGCATGAACAAGAGATCGAGTTGGCTGGGACAGGTGCCGTTGAATTTGAATTTCGCTGAGTCACTACCATCAAAGTCCGGCTCATCCAAGTCGTCTTCTGCTTTTTTCAACGCTTGATTGAAGTAATCCTGGACACTATGATCCTGAATATCTACCATCCTTTGCCATTCATACAAGTGACTAACCGGGAGGTTCCAAAAGTCTGGGCATTGATCGACACGAGTGATTACTTTCTTGTTGGTTGAAGAGACGGCTCCATTGGAAAGGGAAGATAGGCCAGGTGTACCAATATCCCTAATAATACAGATCATACAACTCAGGATCAAATCTCCAGATAAAGAAGAAAACTACATACCAGATTTGAGCCGACCTATTTGAGTGAACAAAAAAGATCAGACCCAACTGTATGTCATCAAAGAAACAAGGAGAGACTTCTCACGAATTTGGAATAAGGTTAGAACCTGAGTTCACCGCAGAACCAAGAATTGATCCAGACATTGGACCGGTTGATCTGACCTCGCATGTCTGAGTTGGTGGGAGACGTGGAAGACCGGTCGCTGGAAAGGACTGCTGAGGTGGCCATCGGGATTGCTGAACATTGTTAGTCATATCATAACCATTTTGTTGAATGTTTCCCACAGTGTAATAGGTTTCTGACCCAATCCGAACAACTACAAGCCATGAAAAGATTAGATCATAAAAAGGATAAAACATAAACTACTACACGTACTATTGTTTTCTGGATGACGCAAACCAGCAGTGAAGGATGATGATGAGTTTTCCAACTACAATCAAAAACAAATCTATATATCAGTGCTTATGGACCAAGTTTGGCTGATCAACTGATTGACTCACCCGACCTCCAGTTGGATTAAAGCTACCACTGTGATGTGCAAGAAAGTTATTGGCTTGATGTTGATTCATTGTAAGAGTTTGAAAATAAATCCAAGTGAGAGGATTTGACTTTTATCAGGGGAATCTAACTGCCGTAATCCGAGGAGAGAGACCCTTATAAGCAATTGAATCTGTCAGCCAAGATGGGCATAACAGACCAAAAAGTGAAAACTCAACTGCAAGCTGCCAATCCAAACACAGGTGTCCACGCGTGCTGTGCAGAGTACCATACCTGAACCCAATGGAGGCTAAAATTGATTGATGCCAAACAGGATATGACCGGTGAGGATCTTGTTCAGGATAAATGCACCATGAGAGCCAAACAAACTCACCCGGACACATCCTAGCATCTAACACCCGGAGAGGATGGAGGTCGAGGGCCAACGGATACCTGTGACAGGGATCAAGCCAGCCAAACAAAGAGGCTTTCGAAAAGCCTGTTTGTTTGGTCAGACAGGTGTTTTTGAGCTGGTAGGCGGGTACGTTCCAGAAAGATGCTGGCCTTAGTTAAGGCTCTCGCCCGATCCCGAGCCTCGACGGGCATCCGAGGCTCGGGCACGGGCAGGCAGCTGTTTTTGCTCGGGCGGCCGATTGCCCAGATGGTTTTAACTTTTCTTTTCACTTGAATCAAATCAATGATGTTGAGAACAAGATCAAGTCAAGGAATCAAATGTACAGTTCAAAAAATTGTTTTGAGATATATATGAAGAACATATTGATCATTCAAGTTGAAAAAACAAAACAGAAATGAAAGTATCAAGTACCTCAAAATACGAAAATGATTGTGACCTTTGATTTCAGTTTTGCGACCTGATGTATCGATTCAAGAGGACAAAATGTATCGATTCAAGAGGACAAACTTTGACAAGCTTTTTTAAAACTGACTGGGCAACAAAGGTGATTACTTCGGATCTGGAGGTGTTGAGCATTCTTCTTGAATTGGCTTTTTCTAATGAGTTAAAATTTGGGAAAGTTGTAACAGAAGGGTTATTTTAAAAGGAATCGATATTTTATGTGTTCGCGTCTGTGACTTGTTGGTTGTATAATGAATTGAGTTTTGGATGAAACAACCGGTATTTTATTTTCATTGATTGAATGGAATATAATGACTGGATATTCTGGAATCGCGATCAGAATTTGGATCTGTCCAATATCGATTTGACATTTTGATTCAAATCTCAACATGTTGATTCATGGTCTGCAAATCTGAATCGAGAGGCATCAACTAATGACCTTCCTTGATAATAGAGGAAATTATACATACATACATATATATACAAGAAAAGGAAGTACATAGGTGAGACTGTGAGACTTGACTTGTTATAAAAGTCGATCCCAGCTTTTCAAGCATACAAGCGCCTCCAAAGTAGATATGAGCATTGACGCTCGGTGATCACTCATCACCCGTCCACCAGAAGAGAATGCTCGTTCAGATGGACAAGCAGTGGCTGGAACAGCCAGGTAGCATTGGGCCATTCGGGCAAGGATCGGGAATTCGGTCTCGTTGGTCCTCCAGTATTCCAACGGATCGCGGTGTTCAAGCTCGCGTGGGAGGCTAAGGTAAGTGTTGACCTCATCTGTAACAGTTTTCACCTCGCGTTTGGATAAGAAGAGGTTCGGTCCTTCGCTGTTATCGTCAATGTCGTGAGAGTGGTCAGTGTGATTGGAGTCGTGGTCCGACCGGGCGACCTCAATATCTGAGTCGGCCGAAACATCAAATGGGGTAGCGTGTTCGATGAATGATTCTTTGATGTCACCCGGATTCATCTTCATTGCATTACATGTTATGTGAGAGAACGCTTCCATCTTAAGACGAGGATCAAGAAGTGCTGCACATGTGTATACCGGTTTCTTGAAAGCTTGGGTCTGATAATCTTGAAGTTTTTGGCGCATTGGTTCGAGCATTGGAATGATTGATTGATTGGCGTATTTGGTTTTGGCCTAATAAAAGATTGAAAAGAGTCAGCTAATCAAATGAAATAAAAGTCTGAATACAGAGAGAGAATAAGAGAATCAACAAACCACAACAAGTCTTTCCATAAGCCATTCATAATTCGGCATCGCCTCGTAGAAGGTAGGATAAGAAGAGCTGCTGACTCGTTTGGTTGCAACTTCAAAGGGTTTCAGGAATGCAAGCATGTGTTCAATAACATCCCATTCTGCATCGGAAAGTCGGTATTTGTGTAGTTGCCGATCTTCGTCACATTTGAATATCACAACTGGTTTAAGAAGCACAAACCTCTCAAGCTGGTAGTATTTGGAATTCCAGCGAGTTGCAACATCGGTGATCAAAGTCAGAGGTTTCATGATTCCTCGAGTTGTGGAAGCCATTACAGACCAATCTCGAGCTCGTTCGGGTGATTTCTTGACCAGTTTGGTAAGTGTGTCAATTTTGGAGAGAGTGCTACTGAGATCTTCAACCTCAGGCTCCTCTACCAAGCCAGTAATAGAGACAGGGACACTCGGGGCATGTGGACCTAAGTGTTTTGAAAATACATTCAATCCAGCACGTGCAGAAAGGTTAATAACATGGGCTAGACAACCAAGAAGATGTTTGTCTGCAGAGAATTGAGGTATGAGGTGTTGAAGTTGAAGTGCCATGGTATGATTGTTTGAGGCGTTGTCCGCAGTGATACAGAACACACGATTGGTAATGTTGTATTGATTAAGGACTTCAAGTAAATGAACTGCTAGATTTGTACCGGTATGGTGACCAATGATTTGCTTCATGGCAATGATAGCTTCACAAGGTTTGAAGTCTTTGGTGAGCCAGTGCGCAGTGATACCAAAGATTGAGCGGCCATTGGTAGATGTCCAACAGTCACAAGTGAGGCTGATGTAGGGCTGAGAGGCTAGCTGATCTTTGAGTTTGACTTGAGTCGAGCGGAAGCGAGACATGATACCCTCAGATATACTGGTTGACTTCACCATCATTGGAAGGACTGAAGGGTTGCATAGCTCAATGAAATGACGAAAAGCACTGGACTCGATGGTGGTGAATGGTAACTCCTCTTGAATGATCAATTTCAAGAGTCCCTCCTTCACAGACTCACGAGTCAGTTGACGACGCTAGATGTGACCACTTTACATTAGTATCATCAAAGGTCAAGGGAACCACAAGATACTCACATATGCCATTGTGCCATGCTCTACAGAGTTGTCCTTTTCAGGATAAGTTTTGTCAAAAATTTGGTGTGTTCGGTTCAGGTGTCGGATTAATCCCTTGGTGCTTGATGACTTGTCGGGGATGATATAAGCACCACAAGCCGATCCAGTTGGTAACTCCACTTGACATACATGTCTGATGTGATCATCAACTTTGATACTCTTGAAGTGCGCCCAAACCCATGATCGCTTGTAGGAATTGACTCGAATTCTAGATGAAGCCAGGGGAGACGAGGTAGCAATAGATGAAAGGCTGGACTTGGGACTCTGAACTATAGAAGAGCGAGGTCGTCTAGGACTCTGCCCAGGAGACAAAAGTTGAGCAGATGAAACAGTTCTTGAGATTGTTTTCATGTGATTGATCTGATCACTCATGACCTGGAATCTGGATTGGAAGATGTGAGCTCAAAGAAAACTGGATCCTTTTGTCCGGGCGCCTCGGCCACAGTAGAGCTCAAGCATGGCCGGATGCCTGGTTAGGGTTTGAGTTTCTCGAGGCTTGGCCGAGGCATCCTCGTCCGGAAATCAGGTTTGAACGGGCAAGCCCTAAAAACCGTTCGGGCCGGTCGGGCGAGAGCCTTAGCCTTAGTGTCACGCCACACGGTTTTTTTTTCTTCCATTTTTTTCTAAAAAAAAAAATGCTGGCTTTGATACTGTTTGAACAGTGGCTGATATTCAGTCACTTTTGAATTGAATTACATTTGAACTGCGGCTTGGGTCACCATCAAGCAGAGTCCGCCCAATCCCTAATCCGGACAAACTAGCAAAGGATATCTATTGGCTACCACTCCTGGACGCTATGCGTATGGCTGATTCGTCATGGAAGTCTGTTACTCGCGAGACGATCACAAACTGCTGGCGTCACACCCAAATAGTGGCAGCACTCCAAGAAAACAAGAACCTACCTTCCACCCCAACCAATACAAATCTAGCTCCTGATCCCGACCTCCACAAAATTATTGATGAGGCTTCAAAAGTCCTAGAGCGACTTGAAGAGTGCACAGGCCTGGATGAGAGTCGATCCGAGGTCCGGATCAGCATTCAAAACTTACTCGATCCCAAGATCGAGAGGCAATTACCTGACGATGATCAACCAATGCCGACCGATCTCGAAATTATCAAATCAAGTGCTAACGACTCTGAACCCGATGCGCCCGATGATCCCGAAGATGACAAGGAGGATATGGGGGAGCTCATCCGTGTACCAATGTCAATGGCTCAAATCTCACAAGCCATTGACGACATCATCTATTCGCTCAACCGTCAACCTCATGATGCTGACGGGCCCGACTGGAGCTTACATATCAAAAGCTTTCACTCCATGCTCAATGAAATCAGCCATGTCCGCTTCACTTCATTAAAGCAAAAGTTCTTAACTGATTTTTTTAACCTTGATTCGACTATTTAATAAAGCCTGATAAATCCTTTTACATATTCTTTTTTCTTCTAGTCTCTTGGTACATTCCTTCCCTTCATATGAAGCTCTTTGTATGCCCCATTATTTTTGTCTGAGATATGCAATGCTATGCCAACCCATGCCCACTATCACCAAAAAAGTTGTCCAACAGTTTTTTTTAAAAAAATAGGCATAAAGGTTAGTTTAAATGCAAACTATGCCTTTATGCTTATTTCGAATTGATGCATAGCGCGATATAAGGTTGACAAACTTTTAGATTAAAATTATGCTTATAGGGCGCGGCGACTGTATAAGGTGTCCTTGTGTGGCAATGACCTTGTATGTGGTGTCCCAGTGATCAATCAAAGGTAAGGAGCCAAACAAAAGATAAGTTCGCTGGAGGAATTGTCCAAGTTCATTGAAGGTAGATAATTGAGGAACAAAGACATACAAATCTAGTATCAAACTCATATTTTATCTTTCCAAAGGTAGAAAAAGTTCAACTGGTATGTGATCTCCTGCCAGTTTGTGTTATATGAAATTGGAGATTGAAGTTGAGACAAGTGAGTTCACCAGAAAATGATTTCACCTTGAAGACACAGTTTTTACAAGCAACATGGTCAATCAAGTTGAACACCACAATAAAGTTATTTCCAAATTTTCAAGTATCATCCAACAATTCAATTGATCAGTCACACACACTGGCAGGGGGTTACATGGTAGTATAATTTGTCATCTGTGAGGAGAGAAATTGTTTTTTATAGGAATCATAATTTCTCTTTTCTATATTATAACCTATGTATTTAGTGTTCTGAATTCATATTTCATGTCTCAGAGTGTTTAGCTCCAGATTTCAAGACATTTTGCCCTCAATCTGATTGATACATATCTATGCTCCACAAAATGAGTACAATGCATGTATTTAGTTTTGCAACCAGATATAAAATTCTCCCTGATAATCTTATTTATCTTCACTTCAGGTTTTTCCTTTGGGTTAGAGGATTTGAAGGCTGGTATGTACTTGTACTATTGCACAACTCTGCACATCCTGTCAAAGACTCAGCTTTATCCATCAAAGAATCAAATGAATGTGTTAGTTGATGCCTGTTGATACTTTATGTAGGGGCTGTAAATTTAAAAATGCACAATCAATGGAGGGGAAAATATGGCAAGGCAACATAAATCAGATTGCATTTTGGTGGGAAATATATATCAAGACTTCAAAAAAGTGTATATGTAGATGAAAAGTTTGATATCAGATAAAGTTGGTATGTGAGAAAGAGTGATTACATGTTTTCTTTTTGACTCTTCTACATAAATATGGATTGACAAGATTTTTCAAACTTTTGTCACAAGCATCAAATCTATTGTGAACACTTTCCCAGCCACAATCAACAAGAAAGGTATGGTACAACTTTTCTTTGGATATCCAGCCCAACTCCATGATCAAAACCTGAACAATTTCATGATTTCAAATTCTCTGTCAAAAAGAAGCACTGGAATTGAAGAGATCCAACAGTGTAGGAACTTACAGCAGCCATGAAATTCACTTTCTGGATCTGATCAGAACTCCTTGGTCTACCGTGATGTCCTTGGTAAAGTAATAACTCTTCTGGTTTCCAATTCTAAGTTATCCCAGTCCAAAACACTGACTTCAGGTGGTCCCACACAAATGAGATGAGTTTTTTGAGGTTTTCCTTGCTCAATTTATCTCCATACATTTCTCTTACCATCCCTATAAAACCCAGACTCACTCTATACTCAGAAATACTGTCACCCATTATAATATGTCTTCTATTTGAGTGGTGTTTATCCATTCATTTAAAATGTGTTAGAGCTTGTTGACCTGTGGGTTGGGATTAAGCCAGATTGAAGGAGTGTTTCTTTGTGCGCTTTTTCAGTATTATTTGAATCAAGGATGTGAAAAATTTGTGAACTGCTTGACACAACTCAAAACCAGTGGGCAAATGAAACTGTACACACCAGGATATGAAGTGGCACTTGATTATGTTATTCTTCATTGTGGGGTTGGATTGGTATCTTTTTTCAATGTCAGTCTGATAGTTTTATGCCTCAATTTCAAGGTTACCAATATCTTCTCTTGAATATATGCCACCAGAAATATACATCAACTGTGTGTTACAATGATTGTTGATAGTCTCATTAATCTTAACAAATTTTGTCAGTGGTCTCTTTGATGAGTTTCTGTGCTTATTCCATTTGATTATGATAAATCTCAAGAAATTCCCCGGAAGTTCTGTTCTTGTTGAAATTGGCTAAAGTGATGAAACAGAAAGATAGATCAAATCCGATCTCCACTGAAATCCTTTGATTTGTTATGAGACTCCCTATATCTGCTATGCATGCTCCTCCATTCTTCAAAGATACCTTGCATGAATTCCAATCCCTCTGCTAGAAACTCTGATGATTTCTTGTCCCTGGGGTTATCATATTCTTGAAACAATAGTAGAAAGCTCATTTTAAGCCATCTGTGTGCCCAGCATATGGCTGTATATATATGCTGACTCAAAATATCCTCTTTTCTTGAACTTCTCATTATATCTTCCCCAAGGTCTGCAAACCAGATAGGAGTTTCATAAGGATAATTGTGTAAATTAACCACACAAACTTCACCAATGTCCTTGAGAAGGATGGTGGAGTTTATCTCAAGGCTTGTAATTGACTTTATCCCTGGTATTTTACTAAAAGTGACATGAGTTGGAATAGTTCCTAATTCACCTGGTCTTGTAGTCAGCTGATGTTTATTCCCAAGTTTCTTCGATATCAGGGGTTTCAAGTTAGATTTCTTTGCGTATTTTTACGCTACAACAACTTGCCCATTGTTGTAAGATATGGGTGGATTTTCTACAGTGGACTTTATCTGGGTCGCAAACATGACAATATAGATGGCAAATCAGCGGGATCAAATCCTGTTGATCTTATCTCATGAAATCGAACTTGTCAAAGAGTGTATCAAAGGCAAGGAGAAGTCACAATATTCCTTGGGTTAAGACTGATTCCCTCGGGACATGATGGCGAATTTGCAAATCTGCGTATGCATGATTAAGTCTATTGCATTGAATGATAGCTGTGAGCTTCAGAAAGTCCCTTCGCGCACTAGGTATCTCTACTTGTCCACAGCAGCCTCTGAGTTGACAAGCGAGGCGCGTAGTTGAGATCGTTCCTCGATGATCTCATTTAACCTCTTCTTTTCCACCGGCCCAAGTCTGTCGAACAAGCCGATAGGGGCCAAGCCTATTCCATCCCATTTCACCAACTGTCGCAATTCTTGGTCCGAGCGAGCCAGCGCTTGCCTACAATTTTGCTTGACACTAATTTTATTTGCCTGATTTGCCTCAAGTCGAGCACGAACAGTTGGGGTGAGCCATTCCAATGGGAAACGGACTGCACTGTCGCCCTTAGCTTTCCACGGCTGCCGAGAGTTTCGAATCCTTCTTCGTTCTGATGGTCGAAGATCAAGCGGAATGTCTGTCATCTTGTCTGTATCGGGTGAGGTGGCAACAGTAAGAAGGCGATCAACTGTTTCTGAGCACCATCTTTCATTCATGGCTCGAGTTGGGTATTTGTCACAAGCTATGGTCACCGAACCGTTTGGATCGTCGTAGTGTTCATTAGTGTCGAAGGGAGATCGAATGTTAGGAGCAGTCCAACGACTGCCTGCAAGTAATTTGATCTTGTGCATGGCTTCGGGAGATTCGATTAATTTAGGAAATCGAGATAAGTTAAGTTTGACCGTGACTTTTCGATTAGGCCTTTGTGAATCTGCTTGACCGTAATGAAAGTCCATATCATCATGTGTTTTGACGATCAGATGAGCATCGGGACTTGGTGGTACAAAAGGTTGACGGAATTCTGAACATAATCATGACAAAAATTGAATCATTGTCAGTTTTTGAGAACAAACCAGTCAAGAAATGCATAGAAAGGATCAAAATACGAACTGGCTAAGGATGGCATCTGAAATTTGATAACACGTAATGCGTGTAACCGCTTTCGAGCTTCTGCCCACCGAAGATGAGTGACACCAGGTACATCTTGCATAGCAAATGGTTTCACTAGATCTCTCTCTATATCGAAAGCTTCTTCCATTCCAGGTCCACCAAGTGGATGATCCTTCAATCGACCCTTGCCAGTCACTTTGATTTTATTTTTTCCTCCGGCTTGCGAAATCGCACTCGTGACGAACTGTCGAGGGTGAGTTGAATCCACGATGAGAGGCTGAGGCATCCGAGGCCGCTTCGGGATAAGGCATGGGTAGCATTTGACAAGATTCGAAGTCATGTTCAAGAATGCTGTATACGATAATCGATCTGGGAAGATGGGTTAATCGAGTGATTGGTCTTGGGGAATTTGGTAGGGTGCAATCTAAGACATGTCACGAGGATTGACAGGCTCCTGGTACCAGCACAGCCCACTACATATCACACGGGCGGTTGTTACCTGTACAAGATAGCCGTATGTAATGTATGTGTACATAGCCGGTCGGGGACTGTCACGACAGCTCAGGATCGATGACGCACAAAAGTTGATCAGACTCAGAGTGACTTCCGAATTGTTCAAGTAGAAAACAAATTCAATTTATCACCAACATATCTTTTCTTCAAGTGGTCTTTCTCTTATTAACCTTTCTCCTATCGCTACACGCTTTAATCAAAACAAATCTACAGATCAAAACTTATCAAGATGTCGGAGGCTCCTTGTTACTTTGATACAATGAAGCGCTCCTATTCGGATGTGACCGTCACTGATGAGGGTGTCGAGACATCCACTTTCCTGGAGGCAAGTGAAGAGCTCGTCAAACTCTTTGGTAAGTAACAGCTTCATGGCAATAATCTTCAAAATTATCTACTTTTCTATGGAAAATGGCCTGGGATCGGACTCTAATGCTCTTATGTCTATCTTGATGGCTTCATAGATTTGTTTGGGAGCAAAGCTTTTGCGGTAGTGCAAAACGATCTTAACGGAAATATCACGGTAAAACGCACTTCCATCCATGGCTGTCGCTTTCCAACCAGTTGAGATCTGTCATAGCAGGCTGATAATCGGGCTTACCTATAGAAAATCCGGACTCTTTACCAAGTCAACAAAACCGAATGTTCAACCTTGGAACGCTTGGTCGAGTTTGAGAAGACATCAAAGAAGCGTGATGCGACTCAAGGACTATTATGGTTGACTCGGTGAATTGATCATTCATGAGATGGATAAAACCTATCAGATCTGATGAACCTTGATGATTTTAGTGGTTTACACTTTACCTACGAAGGACTTCGTCGATCTCAAAAGAACCCAACCGAAGAGCTTTCTGAATCTTTCGTAAAAGGATATGAGACCAGTCTAAAACCTCATCATTCCTTTGTCGTTCGTCCAGTCTTTGGGGTTAGTCACTCTCTTTCTTTGATGCTTGTCATATCAGGCTTGCTTGACGAAAGAGTACTAACGTCTATCCTGCCTTTCAGCTTGCCATGAAAGCATGCCCTTATCGCGCGGATCTCTATGCCAAACTCGGTACACCCGACAGAGTCGAGGTCGAACTTGAAAAGTGGTTAACAGCGCTCGAAAAGATTGTACAACGTATTCAGGCCTTCTATGAGAAGGGCAATTATGGTAAAGGTCTCTGAGGGAAGCCAATGAAGTCAGTCTAGCGAGTTGCCTTGCATCTTAGTTCGATCTTCTCTCCTTTCTATAATGCTGGGAACCGACTTCTGATTCTTCTGAAAATCCATGTTTGCTAGACTCAGGATGAGATACGGATATGTCGCCCGATAACAAATTGGATCATAGAGGGGTTGTAATTTCGCCCTTATCTGTCTGCAATATAAGTATAAGTCAAGTAGTCTGGGCATGTGCCTGTAAAGCGGATAAGTGGATAATCAGTGCCCTTGTAGTGTCTTACAAGGAATAAAACCCCACAATCCTTGCAAAATGTCACATTCCTTGTCCAGCAGATTTTCAAATAAAATTACGGTGTTTTTGAGCCATTCTAGAAGCTGGATGCATTGGTCAAGTGATGTATGCGGTTTGAAACAAGGTTGGAATAGATAACTATAAACAAATGGTTGTTAACAGTTAAAGTCCAACTTGGTGACTATGAGGTCTGAAAGAGATGGTTCTCATTATTCGCCTTGAAGATTGGTTGTGTCAATCTCATACTTGAGTACAAATGTGCAACTTTGGCACTCATCTTCTTTGTTTCACACTTGCGTGAGTGACGAAAAATAGCCAATCTACTTGCGAGTGCCGAAGCTAGGAGCATGAGTCAAGAACCCTTCCAGAATTGAATGACTTTGGTCTCAGAGTCCAGGCTTGAAGTTGTGCATATGCCTTGGATAGCTTGATCTAACAGGCATTCGCTTTCGTCAACTCATACTTATCTCTAGATACACCTAAAATATACGCCCCATCGTCACTGGTGAGATTAGTTCTGAATCATGCTTCGCCCATTTAGAGAAAGGAGCCCGAAATGCCGATAAATAAATAATTCATGGTAATACATGTAACTTTGGAGCGCGAGGAGTGGGCTTATTTGAGTTTACATCCAAGAATTTCTCTGGAAGCACGATATTTACTTTTGTACCAAGTCTTGTACCCAGAATGGAAGTTCTTGTCCTTAGTTTATCAGCGCTCTTCCGTCATCGCTCTTGCTTTTACCCGCGAATGAGAGTAACCATGCTTGTCGGATTGGAACCAATGCTCATCATTCGTTCATGTTGCCATCGACTCACATCCATCCATGCAATGCTTTACCATGATACTGGTGCAAAAACCACATTTTCGCACACCAGAGTCATCATTGATGACGTACACGGGATGACTGGGAAAGATGTTTTGCAGATAGGGAGACAATTTCTCGCTTTGTCATTCTAGACGATGCTGCAGTGGTCACTGACGGTAACATGAAAAATTGCAGGCCTCAATATATAACTTTTATGAGTGATTTGTCTGTGCTACAAGATGAAATCGAAAGGGTAGGGGTCATTAGATTTTGAGGTCTGACAAAAAAATGATGGGACCAAGACCCAAACCAGTCAACCCGAGCATAATGTTAGAGAAAACTTAGGTCTTTGTGATCAGTCTGTTTGAATCATCTGCTTTATAGCTTGTGACCTATCTTTTTAACAGTCACTGCATTGCACATAGCACTCCAGCATTAAAGAGGTTCCCAGATGGGAATATGGGTTGTAGGGATCAGACCGCCATTGTAATAGGGGTCCACAAACATGAAAAACCGACCTAAAAACCCATGGACAAAACCCATGACAGCCCGATTGTTTTTTGGGTTTTGTCCAACGGGAAAGCGGAAAACCCATGGACAAAACCCAAAAAACAATCAGGTTTGTCCCAAACTTATATAAGTCCACCTCGCGTGGCCCCAACGGTACAGGTACCACGTACCTCCGAGCGCCAGCGAGGGACTTACGCCTAATCCCCAAAATCTGGCGTGAGACTAGACAGGGCTTTTGCCAAAAATCTTTCATCTCACTTGCTCACAATTCTCACCTATCAACTCGTGACAAGCACATAATGAAAATGATGCGCAAATCCTATATAATTCATTGGCCACCCTTCACACTTCAACGGCTCAACGCGTTCAAAACTTATGAGCAAATAAGCTCTTGCCCCAAACCTCGGGGCCGTACATGACCCAAGCACGACTGCGGCATCCAAAACCCCAGTAAGGTGGACGTAACGGAGAAAACTTGTGACCAAACTGCAGTTTGTCATACTCGATGAAATTTAGTCAAGTACACGATTTACACCCAAAGTAGCATCACATCCGCAAATACCACTCACACGATTCCAGTTTCCTCACAACTTGATTGACTCAGAATGCTACGAAGGAGTGTTTCCGCTGCCCACGCCCAGAAGTTAGCACCAAGTTTTTAACTGCGACTGCCCAAGATGAAGATCCAATTACACCTTTATCACCTAAATTTGATTACAATATAAATCGACATCAAAGTTCAAATTCAAATTTAAATCAAAACCAAGAAACTGTGAAAAACAATTTAATTTCAAGAAAAAGGAAAAGTTTAAGGAATGATTGTTTGAAGTATGATTTTATGATCAATTGGAGTGAAAGTAGTTCTTCTTTGTGAGTATTCTTCGTTTTATCTAATTTTATATTGACCTTTTGCTAACATATCTCTATGTTGAATTAAGATCGATTTTAGCAACAAGTTTTTTTCTTTACAAGTTCTCAATTTTGTAAAGCCAAAAATCTACAATTTGATTCTTAGAGCTATCTAATCACATTTAAAGTATTTCTTTGTTTGATTTGGATACGGGAGTACTTTTGTTTTCATCTTATTCTAAATTGATCATTTACTAACATATTCTCTTTGTTTTCTTATAGTCAACAACATTAAACTTTCTTGAAATTCTTTGAGTTAAGATCGATTTTCTCAAGGATTTTTTTTTCTTTACAAGTTCTCAATTTTGTCAAACCAAAAGAGAGATCCACAATTCAATTCTTAAAATTATTTGATCATATTTAGAACATCATTCTACTACAACCAAATCTATCTTCTTCAAATTCTAATTTCCCTTCAAATATAAAAAGAAAACAATTATTTAAATCTCATATTCACTTTATAACATTACTTCTTTGATATATCTTATCGTAGATTCAATAAAATTCAAATCCTCAAACACAAGAAAATCAAGGACATTTTGTTATCAACAGATCATCTTAATTTTTTTTTTCTTTTCAATATCTCTTTTTCTTTGGGTTTTTTTCTGATCTTTATTTTCTGATCCTTTATCTGACACTGTTTCTCCTTTTATCTATATCTTTTTCTTTAAATCCATTTGAACTTTCTACTTTTTTTCTTATCAATTGGTATATCTTGTACATATGTGTGTTTTAGACGTTTGTTGACTTTGATCATTATTAAGCTCTTGTATCAGTTTGAATATTGATTTGTTCTTTTGTGGGTTGAAATCTGTGAGAAATACAACATCTGTCATAAGTTTATTAATTCTTTCGACTAAGATCATTTGGAATGAGATGAGAGATTGTCTATATCTGAACGCGTTTTTGGAGGAGTGAGTTTGGTTCATGGGTTTTGAGGTTTGCCCTCGTTGCCCAGGTCCTTCAAGTTCTGTCATGAGCAATGCATTATAATAATTCACGCTGCCCAACGCAAACTGCAGTTTGAACTGTAAAGATTTGATCTCGCAAGCACAAACGTTTCTGACGCGCAGCGTTGGAAACACATGTAGACAAAGACGGCCCCGAGGTTTGGGACAAGAGCTTATTTGCTCATAACTTTTGAACGTGTTGGGCCGTTGAAGTGTGAAGGGTGGCCAATGAAAGATAGAGGATGTGCGCATCATTTTCATTATGTGCTTGTCACGAGTTGATAAGTGAGAATTGTGAGCAAGTGAGATGACAGATTTTTGGCAAAAGCCCTGTCTAGTCTCACGCCAGATTTTGGGGATTAGGCGTAAGTCCCTCGCTGGCGCTCGGAGGTACGTGGTACCTGTACCGACGGGGCCAGAGCGAGTGGGACTTATGTAAGTTTGGGTTTGTCCATGGGTTTTTAGGTTGGGTGTTCAAGTTTGTGTACCCCTAATATATGTAGTCACAAAGGCTGTCTGATTCCTACAACCCATATTCCCATCTGGGAACCTCTTTAATGCTGGCAGTGTAGGGCATCCACTGTCACACACATTTAATATGACGTGCTTGCTTCCAACTACAAAAAATTCTGAACTGGATTGAGCAAATCTCTAAACCTGAACGCAATTTCAAGAGTCTCTTAAGAATATTTTTCATAAACCATCAATTGAGAATTCATTATCGATTTACTTGCTGTCTTCTAAAGACAAACCAAGTCTATAGAGTCCGTTCGAGTTCAAAAACAAAACTTTCTTAACAATCTCGTTTGCTTGACTTTCATCGATACTTTTGATCTTAATCATCTCGACCAAAACCTTTCAGAACAGAAGAAACAATTCATCATTACTTCTCATTTAAAAAGGGTTTTGTAGATGAAAATGAAACCTTTCTACTAACATGATATAGTACAGTCCGGGCTTGACAAGAAGCTAGATAAAACCCTTCAGCTGTTAGGTAAAAAGATTTGAATGATCATATCATCAATCAAACCAGTCAGATCATTTTTATTTCATCCAGGCCAAAGGAACTCACGATGAAAATCTACAGAGTGAAGTAAACAAAATCACATAACTAACAATGACACTTGAAGAAACAATGATTCAAGAAGAATAACTCACGAGCATCACTAGACCATAACAATTTACCAGTAGGACAAACTTCAAACATCTCTTTCACCGCACTTATTTGTCCAATAGTAGAAATCATAGGAAAGATTTCACCAAAATCTAACCAAACGTTCTCATAAACTGAAGCTAAATAACCTGCTTCACGAGTAAAAGGATAACAAGCATGAAGTAAAACTATTGGAAGGTTTGGAAAATGTTCAATTAGGGTTTGCAAATATGATGGTCTACTTTTAGTTAATTGAACAGATTTATCTCCTAATCCTACGTGGAATTGAACTTGGGGGTACAAAACGCAGATAACGGTTATTTCAATTCCTTCAGAGCGTATATGTTCATGTAAGCTACTTAACTTACCAGGTAAAATGAAATCAGATCCACGAGGATGTGTTGAGATTTCTTCAAAAGCTTTTGTTAAGAGCCAATCATTTAGACATTTTGTTTGCTTATTCAATCGAAGTGTTGAGTCAGAGGAATTTCTAAGACCAGCAATCCATGGAACTAATTGTTTTAGTGCCTCTTCAGGTGTGGTAAGTGGTGAAACATCTAGACCACTTCTATAACAGATGATTGACTGTGAACAAGAATGCGTATCAGATGGATAGTCAAGATTCAAGGCAAGTAGATGAATGTAAGCAAGTCTTACCTTGAAGGCTACCACCTCAGTGTCCATAATTGACTTATAAACTTCACGAACAAAAACATCACGGCACCTATTTAAAGCTTCGATATTTACTTCAGTCTGGATGTTTGAACCAAAGAAAACGGATCTGATAGCATCCTGAAAAAAAATCTGATTAACTGATTGAGATTGATTTATAAGTTCCGCATGAATCAGAAAGCTTACTTCCATTAAAACTTCTAAACGAACAATTCGTTTGTTTTTCTTATTAGTAAATTGATCATGCCACTGATAACCATTACAATCTTCTTGAGCACCAAACAGTAAATCATCAAAGAGTACCATCTCAATTTTACTGTAACCAAAACAAACTTTACATCGATCTTCAAAAGTTAATTGACCAAGAACGATTTCTTTCAAATGGTCCCAATTTGATTCACAAAGATATAGTGTTGCTAATTGACTTGCTGCTGTCATAGCTGGTATACTTGTTTGAGCATAATTAGTTAATGCAGTACCTTCGGCTTCTGAGAAGATCGATTCGATTGGGTATTTATGATTGGTTTCTTCTTTACAAATGTTATGTGCATGATTATCGATGGCTACATAATTAGATGAAATTAAACAAATCTGATGGTTTTTGTTGATTTTGATGAGTCTTTGTCTTTGAATGAGAATCGACAGACCTGGAGTAGTGAAGCACACTTTGGCTAAAGTTGGATATTCCGCTTGATCGATACACATCACTGGAGCCATGATCGATCGATGTCCTTTGTATTTCGTCTGTTCAAAGTCAAATCATATCTGATCAGGATTTGTTTACTTATCCTCAACCAGTCATAAGGAACAACGAACTTGACTCACAATTGAGATTCAAACCGAATGAGATCGAAACTCTGATTCGTATGATCCAAAGTATTCTCTCAGCATACACTCCAAAAGCAAAATTAACAAAACACTCCAAATTGATTTCTATCTGATATTTTGAATTTTTCAACACCTCTACCTTCGTCAGCTTAACAAAGCCTGCTGCAAGGGTGCAGACGGGGTCGCGCGGGCATGGCTTTGTTAAGTTAAACTTTGATAGTGACTTTTCCTACTTCCTCCTCGGCATCTCCCTTTGAAAAACCTTACGAATTTCTCTTGACGATACCTTCATCAATCCATGAGTAAAGAAGATGTCCCTACAGACCATGTTTCTGGTCTCTCATTTTGTACATACTAGATCTTGTTCGAAAGAAGAAATAAATTGATAATCACTTCTTTTCAAAATAAATGCTTTTTTTCAATACAACCTTTTTTTTTAATCTTTTAATCTTTCCTTCTTTCTTGACGTGACATGAAATATCTATAATTTTTTTACTAAATACATCACGTATTGTTTTCTTTACAAAAAAAGACACCCTCAAACATGATTCTTTTTTTAAAGAAGATCTATGTATGTCTAATACATTTAAACTTTCTACTGATTGATTTTTCGTTCTATTTATAAAAAGGTGAATGATGACTGAGAGATTTCTTTTTCTTAGATTCTTTCAACACGTAAAGAATCAAAACCTTTTCCTCATTTCCTTTCTATCCATTCTCTTTTCCAAATCCTATCATAACCTATATCAAGCCATCTTCAGGTTTGATGTTCATGCTAGGAGCTTTTCAATTTCTCTTCTTTTCCCGAAGTGATTGTCGACCAGATTTAGCTACAAAAAGAACAAGCAAAAATTAATAACCTTCCTTGACATTCAAAGCCAATGATGGTCAAGATTTTTTTTAAACAATGACTTACCAAAGAATTGATTACTGAAAAACTTCAAGACTTCATCAATCACAATCACCGGGAAACTGATCCAGAACACCGCTTTCCATTCCTCTAAGTTCAAAGGAGTAATCACAAACAATTTCTACCCATCAAAAAAAGAATGTCCATCGTAAAAGATCATTAAATATCAGTCATCGTTCAAACTATCAAGTCATAAAGTGAAAAACTTACGGCTAAAGCAGGAACATAAAGGATTAAGAAATGTAAAGCCATAGACAGACTAATTGCACCACACAAATAAAGATTACTCCAAAGAGGTAAAGTTAATAAACTTTCATTTTCAGATAATGAATTCATAGCATTAAACATTTCGATCAGAACTAAAACCGAAAGTGACATGGTAGTAGCTTTCTTCATAAATTCAGATGTAACTAATTCACATCCGATCAAGGGGATTGATGAAGTTGAACATTCACCAAAGTGAGTCTACAAATCCAAGATCCAAGATCATTTTCTCTCATTAGTCTCACTTTTCTTGATAGTTGATTCATATATGTAACACACTCACCAATCGATAAAATGAGATTTGAGGACCACCAGAGTAATTCATAAACCACCATGCATATGCTCCAACAGTAGCACAACCTACATACATTCCAATTACACAGTAACGGAAGAATAACCAACCTCCTACTAAAGGTTCTTTACTACTTCTAGGAGGTCGTGACATGATCGAGTGATCCTTGGGATTAAATCCAAGTGCCAAGGCAGGTAAAGAGTCAGTGACCAAATTACTAAGAAAACACAAATCATCTTCGTCAATACTCCATCCAAAATTTCACAATTGGAAATCAAATTATAGAAGATTCAAAACTTACACCCATAGAAGTTGAACTGGGATCAAAGCTTCTGGCATTCCTAATAAGACAGTTAAAAAGATTGATACAACTTCTCCGATATTAGATGAAATCAAATATCGAATAAATTGTTTAGTATTCTCATAAATCCCACGACCTTCTTCAACAGCTTGTTCAATTGTAGCGAAGTTATCATCGGCCAAAACCATATCAGCAGCTAATTTAGCTACATCCGTTCCACTGCCCATAGCAATTCCAATCGAAGCTCTTTTTAATGCAGGTGCATCATTCACTCCATCTCCTGTCATGGCTACAATCAAACCAGTAGATTGAAGTAAGTCTACAATCTTTTGTTTATGTGATGGCTCGACTCTTGAAAATAGGCTGGCTCGTAGTACTGCTTCTAATTTAACTTTTTCTGATAATGCATCAAATTCTCTTCCAGTATAACTTTGTCCCACTAAATCTTCAGTTTGATCAAAGACTCCAATTTGTCTACAAATCGTTTCAGCTGTTGCTTTGTTATCACCTGTGATAACAATTACTCGGATTCCTGCTGATCTACATTTCGCAATCGCTCCTTTGACTTCTGGTCTTGGTGGATCTAACATTCCAACTAATCCGATAAACGTCATTTGTTGTTCGAATTTAACATAATCAGTTGATGAGCTTGTCTTGTAATGTTCTACGTTGGATTCGACATCTTCAATGAGAGCGAGTGCCAAGACTCGAAGACCTTGTTCAGCGTAGTGTTTGACCTTTTCATCGACCAATTCACGGGTCTTCTTGGTAAAATCTGATTTTCCATTGTTTCCTCCTGAAGAGATATAGCTACAACGATCCAAGACTGATTCCGGTGCACCTTTCACAAACATGTAAGAACGACCAGTGCTAGGTTGATGAGTTAAGACGGACATGGACTTTCGGTCACGTGTGAATTCGAAGACTAATTTCTTTTGGTATTGTTCCTCAAGGTGATCGTTGACAGCCGAGACTCGAGATTCAGATGAGAGTTTATCTAACTTTGAATTAAAGGTACGATCTGAGGATTGAAGCTTTTCAACCAAAACTTTCAAGGCAGCTTCAGTTGGTTCACCGATATTGACATATGTACGAGTGGTCTGTTAGAAAAACAACGTTAGAGACTCTATCAAGCGACGAATTTTGAACTTTAGAGGTACGTACCTCATTCATTACAATCTTGGCCTCATTACAAAGAGCGCAAACTCGTGCAAGGGTTTCGATAACTGGAACTTCCGCGCAAGGCTCGACCAAGCGTTTGCCCGACGCATCACTTTATTTATGGCGCGTGTCAAAAGAAAGTCAGCTGAGATCAAACAGTAGCTTGACTGAGGAACAGACTCACATGACATGACCCTCAGGTGCATAAGTAGCTCCTTCGACAGTATACTCATTTAGGCCGGTTCCACTCGCGACCAAAAACTGCGATCGGTCAAAGAACACATTGATTAGCTCGACCAAAAAAATAAAAAATAAGATGAGAAGACCCGATCAAGCGTTCCTGATCAAACGTACTTTTGAAACCGACATTTGATTGGTGGTAAGAGTTCCAGTCTTATCAGAACAAATCACATTAGTGCATCCCAAAGTTTCCACACTCGGTAATGATCTCACGATCGCATTCTTCTTAGCCATCTTGGTAGTCCCAAGTGCAAGACAAAGTGTGATGACTACAGGTAATCCTTCAGGAATAGCCGCTACCGCAAGAGCCACGGCGATTTTAAAATAATAAATGGCACCCTTAAGCCAGCCATGATGATTTGGATCATTGAAATGACGAATGTTGATCACCCAAACTAAGATACAAATCACTGTGATCACTTTTGCCAACATATCACCAAAATCGTCTACTTTTTGTTTGAGTGGAGTCTTTTGTGAGATTTGAGTTGAGATCGATTCGTGGATATCACCAATGGTAGTACGAGCTCCAGTAGCGACGACGATAGCTTTGGCTTTACCACTGACGATGGTAGTACCACTGAAGAGCATATTGATCATATCTTGTTTGACAGCGCCTTGAAGTTTGACAGGATCGATATTCTTAGAGACACTGACGGATTCGCCTGTTAAGACAGCTTGATCGACGGTGAAGGAAGCGGATGAGATCGAGATGATTCGAGCATCGGCGGGTACTTTGTCTCCAACGGTGACAGTGATAATATCACCAGGGACTAGCTCAGCAGCATGAATCTTGATCGATTTACCAGATCGGGTTACAGTAGCTTCATCGGGTGCGTATTCCATTAAAGCCTCGATAGCCTTTTCGGCATTGGTTTCTTGAACCACACCAACAGTTGCATTTGCGACCAAGATTAAGAGAATCACTAAAGGTTCCACAAAGGCAGTTGCCTTATCTTCTGTTTCTTCGATGATTGCAAGTGCGAATGAGATGATGGCAGAAATAAGTAGGATGATCACGAGTTGATCTTTGAATTGTTCCAATATTAAAGAGAAAAGTGATGTTCCTTCATCGACCGGGAGAACTATAGAATTAGAAAGAAAAGTTAGAACAAAGTACAAGTAATGTTGAAAGACATCAAAGGAGATTCATACCATTTCTTCCCCATTTCTTTTCAGCTTTTCTAACTTGATCAGAGGAGAGACCTAAGTTTTCTTTTACCTGAAGTTCAGCTAGAACTTCCTGCACTGATGCAGCATGTGCGTTGTCCATCGAAATGGAAGTCTTTGATAATTAGAACTTCAGAATACAGGACTTCAAAGTAATGTTTGATTATCCCTCCAAGGACCAAGGACGAAGAATCAACCTGGAAAAGGAGTTGAATCCGGAGATGGTTTGGGCTATTTCTGAATGAATGAGCTATTGATATGATATTGCTTCGAGTTCAAAGTTCCAATCTTGATAAATTTGATGGTTGATGATTGATATGGGTGAGGATGAGCTTCCTAATAGTACCACTCTCTCGGTGGCTCATCTGAAATTACATAACAGCTGCCACGTACCTATTACACGTGTAAATCACATGATCTCTTACACAACACCATACATCATACACCCTAACCCTAGCCATTTACGAAAACACCCAGGCGCATTCAGGCTCAGCATGCAGCAGCCAAGGTCAACATCGAACTGACAATCGGAAGGAAGACATGTTCAGCTCTCTCTTAAAACAACTTAGACCGGCCATTCAATCCAACTTGAACTTCTCATATCAATCATCATCATTTCATTCAACACCAACAATATCAGGTGGTCGTTTACTGTTCGTGATTTATCAATTTCAATCAAGAAGAAGAAAATGACACATCAAGTTACTGAAATGATATTTTGCTTTTGGTAGGAAAATTCCATGGAGACTTTCTAGTACACGTAAAGCAAATGTTAGAAAACGATTGAGAGAAGTTGATTCAGTGATCTCAGCTGTAAAAGAAAGTGGAATTCAATGTCAAGCACTGGTAATTACCGAGTTTTTAGCATCAGATCCCTTCTTTAGTAGCCAAGATTGCTAATCGAATTTTCATTTAATTTTCTTGTCAGACTAAAGCTTTAGAATTACCTACTGAAGCTGAAATGACACCGAAAGATAAATATTTTGTCTTTTCAGCTAATTCTAAAGGTTATCGAAAAGGAATCCATAAAGTGTAAGATTTACCTTTTTTTACTATAATTTCCTAAAGATTTGATGTAAGGGTTTTTGTTTTTCTTGTTCGGATAATCTTAGGCCTCATTTTACAAAAGTTACACATCGGGTTAATCCTAAAGGATTTTAAAGAAATCTTACTTGGATTGAGGTGTGATGGACTTCAAGGGAATATATTTCGACTTTCGTCTTGATCATCAAGCAGGCTTAGATTCTATACATCATTATTGATCAAACCTAACTTCAATATGAGATAAGATCAGGCGATCTAGAAGGACCAACGACCTTGAGCTTCAGCTGAACTCAAGGGAAGATATACTCGATGCAATCTGTATCATTACTTACATGTTTGTTCCTGATAGCGTCTCCGGGATCATTTCGGCTCTTACACTTTGATATCCCTTCATAATTCAATCACATGAATACTTGGAATGGCGCGGGTATGATCTTTAATGTAAACATGGCGGTGACAGTCCAGACTATGTGATCCCACAACCGATGATATGCAGTGATATTTGTCAAGACTCATGCTGGTCCAATTCTCAGCAGCTTGAGACAAGGTATAATCACAAAGAATCAAGCAGTAGTTGTGTCAAATTTTGTAGCCATTGTTATTTTAAGATCTGGGAAGAGAGTTTGAAGTGCAACAAGAGGAGTGCATAACTTGATGATCTTGATTGTTCGTACAAGATCATGCAGCATCACAAACGATGAGAAAAAGCCAACCCGTATTGGTCTTGCATTTACCGATCTTGCTTGGTCATCCAATCCATGATTGTGGCATGAAAGCTGTGCTACAACCTCCAGGTTTCCATACCCCGTGTCAAAAGCTGGGCACAGTGCCAGAGAGATGAAAGTGGTATGACAAATTCCATGAGCTAGGTGTATGTTCTTACATAAATAAGAGGTATTATATTTTATGGACGAAAGATCAGGAGGACGCTAATTGATTCAAGAATGCATACATATGTATTAAAGCTGGGCACAGTGCCAGAGAGATGAAAGTGGTATGACTAATTCCATGAGCTAGGTGTATGTTCTTACATACTTATTTTCTATATAGTTGAAGAGGTTAGAGAAAACTGAGTCAAGTGATCCAACTATTTTTCCTGCTTTCTCTAATAATTCATCAGAGATGAGCATAAGGAGGATCGTAATAAATTGTTGAATTTAAATCCGTCATAGCTTCTACATAACTATTGGGTTTTAAGACCTTATCGGTAAATGCCAAATGAACTGATTTCCTATATAAATAATTTTCAAGATCCTTACACCATAAAACACCAGTTGGATTTGTGTTATAGTTCTCTGGAATTGCAATACATTCTAACTTTTTCCACCTTTTTGCATTTGGGCAATACTCTTGTTTAAATTTGAACCAAAGGTTTTCAGCTAAGCTTGGATCGGCTAACCAAGTTAAAAACTCTATTGAGGGACATAGAGAGAAGACAGATAGATAGGATGTGTCTGAGTCTGTTTCTTGAATGGTAAGCGATTTGAGTGACATGAACTGGTGTCCTAATAATTTTTCTTCTTCACTCAGTTGCGCAGGTGAACCTGTGATACCGAGTCGACCTAAGCTGTTGCAAAAAAGGTGACAAAAACCAAGGACAGTTGGTGTAGTGTGCTGATGAGTTCCACCTAGTTCAATTGATAGACCTTCTAGTTGAGGTCTCCAAAATAACTCGAGCCATTCTGGTTTAGGTAAAGCTGAAAATTTTAGATCTAAAGATACGAGCTTTGTTCGTGAAGCGAGAGCTTCACCTAGGTCAGCTTTTGGACCATACATCCCTTGTTCCTCGAATCCATCACGTATACAAAGACTCAGATATCGCAGGTTGGGTAACTGACTAATGATCCAAGCCATAAATGATTCTGAGAATGGAACCTTGCAGTCACTGACGAAGATGAAAGTAGTGAGGTTTTGAAAACTAGGTATCTTTCCCATCATCGAGAATAAAACGCTCGAAGGATTTGGAGCGCTTTCATTATAAACAGTGGGTAGGTTGATTCCAATAGCAAGCTCGTCGATTTGAGTACTATGACTGATTTTAATAACCTCCATAGCTAATTCCATCAACCTGGCTGAAGAAGCTTGATTTGGAGATCTTGTTAAAGAGTCAAGACAAAAGTGAAGACCCTTAGTATGGTTTTTATTAGCCTTGAAGTCCTTTAGAAGTGTCTCGTAAGTATCAATTGTCCAATCTGGTTTTGGATAATAGAATCCAAGCCTCTGTCATTCATAGAAAGGGGTCCAGTAAAATCAATATGGTAGTTCAGATGACTAATTAGAGTGATAAGAGAGATGGAGATCATAGAGCTCACCTTCCATGTGAAGCGCTTGCAGTGTTCAATTCCACCTTTTGTTGATTCGATCAGTCGAGCAAGAGGTTCATCTGATAAGTGACCAGTGTGATGCGGAGATTGGTTAGCGTCAAAACACCGTTTGAACTCGTACTTCATCGAGGTAAAGGGAAGGAAAGGAAAGGAAATAGACTGACTACCTCTGGCTTGTCCATTCTGGGGTAACTCGGCAGTTAGCATGATTAATTCATTGGCTTCTACTGCAGCCCTCAACATCTCTGTGTATTCCATTGGAAGATGGAGGATTTCGATGATATGACGAAACTTGATTTTTGCTTGAATATGCTGGAATTGTGAGACGCGATTTCTTTTGGATACGATTGGAAAGTGTTGAAGCAATCACTAAATATATATCAAACGATGTGTGATAAGATAACTAACCATCTCCATAGCAGTTGAGTCTTTTTATGAGTGTTGTGCCACTCAGTTTGCGACGTGAGCAAGTCCCGGTTTAGGGAACTCTGGTGCTCCAGCCTCCTATTCATAGCAGACTCGCTTCTAGACATAGGAATTGACTTGCGAAGCCGAGAGGGATACGATTAGAACTTCGCCGCATATAGTAACCGAGTTCGTCTCCCTCGTCGGATTGTGCATTCAGAGGACAGGATGTGATACCCCGATTTCTTTTGTCCTCTTTGTTCTCCTTTTTTTTACCTCACGCTTTTCAAGCGTGCTTTCCTTTTTACTTTTTGTGTGTTTTAAAATGTATCTAAGTACATACATTTCTCTGGTGGACCATATCATCATCCTCCGTAGCAAAGCGTGTAGGATGATTTCGAGGAGGTCCCCTGGAAGACCTTCAACATTTGCTTGCGTGCATGTTGGGACATAAGTCCATTTTACAATCTTACACATTCAACCACTTGCGACCAAAAAAAGATGCGGAAAAATTGAATCGAAAAAATCACCTCCTCGTTTTCGAATGACTTGACATCATTGCTGCACAAAGCTCCACCCCACAATATTCTATCCAGCAAACCTGGTCTAGTTCCTCCACGACACCCCACGAGGCAGCGCAGGCTCTGATGCCCCTCATACTTGCAAAGTACCCTCCAGCACTTACAAAACTGTAAACGAGTACACCCCCACACGGCAAGAGCTGGGTCTGAAGGATATAGTATATGTGATGAAATCATCACCCCAAAATTCTCGGAAGGAGCATAGCCCCATCAAATCATTTGATCATACGCAGGATATCTAAAGACCCTCTTACAATACTGAGACCAGTCTCGACGATTCGTGAAAGTCAAAAAATTCGGTACACACTGTCAGAGCTGATGTGAACGACGTGAGCAGTTCGGATCAACGAGGCTGGGGGTTGTAGACCACGGACATTCTGTTAACGATGTGGGGATGATTAAATAATCATCAGATGCACATTGAAACAAATCATAAGTACTATCTGTCAGACGTGAGGGGTCATATTATCGTTCTTGTCCCTTGGTATTTCGATATTTCTTGTCCGAATGGTTTCGGGATTTTACAAGCCGCAGAAGTTACTGTGGATCCAGGAGGAACGCTTGTTGCAGGGACCTCACAGCCTCCCTCGGACTGAGAGCAGTCGTCCTCACTCGCGCTTCCAGTGTTCTATAACTTGATGCTGCGGTCACATTTTGCAGATATAAAAGGCTTCAAGAACCTTCCCTGTTGGACTATATCGAAAGCTTGACTTCAGTTGACAGAGAATCAAAATTTAACAGTCAGCTCATATTTTAACACCCACTTAAACCAAATATTAGTAGAATCAAGTAGCATAAGATGGACATTAGATTGAGTTTCTTGATCATTTCACTTGCATCCTTATCGTTCTCCCATGGGACCGACGTGACTTTTTTGGAATCTTCTTCTTCATCCTCAACCTCTGATAGCTTGGCGGCTTTCACGGTATCTGTTACTGACTCTGACGCCAATGGGGACACTTCAGTAGATGAGTCCACCGGCGCTAACCACGCCAATGGCACTCATAACAGTACAAGTAGCCACGAGCCTACTCGTCACAATTCCACGTTCGTGGACGGGAAAGACACCGGAAGAAAGGTGTCCGCGTACTATCCCTCATACAATGCCGAATTTGGACCGCTCTCAGAAGTAAACTATGGTCAGTCCACCAGTCTTGACCTGAACTTTGGGACAGCGTTCTGATTGATCGAACTTTGGGTGCTTCAACTTGGGTCTATGTCCTCAAACAGAGCTTTACGATGAGCTCATTTTTTTTACCGCCACTACCAACAGTAACTTCACCATTGGGCTTGGCGGTATAGAGGAAACTCAGTGGGATGCCTTAGCGAATGATTTTGTACACAGATGTAAAAATGGTAAGAATTTCGATGAGTACATAGATGATATTGATTCAAACCTGACTCAAGATGGAAATCAGCCTCTGTAACACCTACCTTGGCTATCGGAGGTTGGACTGGTAGCTTGTGGGTTTATTGATCATTCCTGATTATATAACTTCTTTTACTCACATAGATATATAAAACTATTTTCTTAAAAACAGGTACTTCTCAGACCTAGTGGCGACGGCAGAAAATAGGACGACGTTTGCGAATTCACTAGTTGAATTTGCTAAGAAGTACGAGTTCGATGGGGTTGATCTTGTTCGTCTCCTCTCATTTGGCCTTGAACGTAACTATATATGTTTTGTTGGTTTCTTACTAATTTTTTACATGGATTTGTATTTCAGGATTGGGAATGTTAGTATAAGGCTTCTTCATTTTCATCTAAAACAGACACATTTGCTTCACATTTACTGATCGAGCGACACAATTGTTCATATTCAGGGCCATCTCTGTAAGTGAAATTCGCTGACCTATATCATATATCTGATCTAACAATGGTGTTGATGTTTAGGCAAGGCATAGGATGCAATGCTGTCAGAGATGATGATATAGAAAACCTTGGACTCTTCCTTGAAGTAAATTATCCTTTCCCGAAAACTTATAGGCACGATTGGATGTCTGACTGAAACTCTGATATCTTCAGGAATTGAGGAAAATATGGCCACAAATGCGCCTGACTCTTGCTTCCAGTGTCGCTGGCGTGCGTGATTCGACATTTGCAGCTGTTTCAGCGGAGCGTGTGGCCTCTCTGGTGAAGAACTTGGATAATCTGTGAGTAACATGTTCAATACTGAATCTTCGATCTGGTGTAGTACCCAGAGTGACTGACATGTCGACTCCTATCTACATAGACACATGATGGCCTACGATGGTAAGCTCATGGCTTGCACCGAATTTATCATGAGAAAACCCATCGGAAATTTCCTCATCTACATCTGATGCATTGTCTTGATAAACAACAGTGTTTGGTGGTTGGTCAAGCACCACTGGCCCACTGGCTCCTTTGAGTGATCAATGTGCAGAAAGTGCAGATCAGCTTTCGGTCCAAAGAGCTTATGAAACATATATCAGGCAGGGATTTAGTAAAGAACAATTAGTTGTCGGAATCCCAACTTACGCTAGAAGCTTTGGCCTTGAAAGCCCTACACTCGTTCCCAAGACCGTTGGGAACTATACCACTTACTATTATCAAAACTTTACTTCCGTTCAAGTAAGTAATCTTTTTTACATTTCGCACAGCTCAAATCAAGTTCAAGTTCACTAAAAAATCAATCTTGAAAATCTAGCCGGGTGGGGCTGCCGATGACAAACCAGGTGTTGACGTTTGTGGTCAAGCCACAGGTTGGGGAGGTACTTGGATGGTGAAAGAGCTCATTGAGAACGGTTTCTTGAGTGAATCGGAAAAAGAAGGCCTCAATGGCTTTACTCTTTATCAAGATGAATGCAGTGGTGTGGTGAGAAAGATCTCCATGTATCTGTATATCAAGACTGACGTAGTACTGATTCCACAAATTTCAATCCTTATTACATGAAGCCCTTCCTGGCAAGCAATACCACTTTGATATCCTTTGATGATACTCAAAGCAGTGTGAAGAAGGCGAAATGGGCCAGGGAATCTGGGTTGGGTGGCATCTACTTGTGAGTCTAGTTGAGAGGGTTTTTTGGTTTTTTTCCTGGTTGAATTGTGCATTTGGCTGATTGATACACAAAAATCTCTAGCTTTGATGCCATTGCTGGTTTAGATAGAACTGTCAAGCATTCCAGAGAGGAGTTCCTCAAGAACTAGGCGGAGTTCTTCTCTGACTTTTTTTTATTCTATCATACCTCTCAATCAGATGGCCCAATCATAGTTCATCATGTAAATTAGAATTCTGAATGAGATAGATTTTTTCTATTGATTTCAAGCAATTGGGTCTTGTCTTCTTACATACTTCTTCTTCCTGTGCATCATATCTTCACAAAGGCTTTTTCACATCCTGTCCATTTCAGTCTGAGCCCCGACCCAAAAAACGCGGGTAATGGCCTACCTGCACCCCAAACCAATACCCAGTAGGCCCCCCGTGCCCGAACCCTACCCCAATCAAAACCCGGCTTCCAGAAGCCCCCCCCGAGCCCTATCCCAAATGCTTAAAACCCGCGGGAAGCCGGGGGTCCCCTCAGATAAGATCAGGGGTTTGAGGACTAGGCCCCCCCGCCCCCAATCCCTACAGGGCCCCTGTTGTACTGGGGTCCCAAAAAAGGCAACCAAACCCGCACCCCGAGGTTTTGGGGCTCAGGGAACCCTTGAGGTGTTGGTCCCGGGCTCAGGCTGATGTCCATCTACATTGATACAGCGTGTAGTGTGGACTTTAGCTTCCATCAGCCTGGGGTGAAATTTTTGAAATTCATGTTTTGTTTTATTGGGAATGAAAAGACTGGTCTATGGAGTAAAAGCTACAGTCTTTTGAGAATAATCATATATGATAAAGTTGTGTATCAGAACTATCATGAGAGTTTATGTGGCATGAGTGATTGGTTGGATTTGTTGATTTGTTGATTTGTAGTCTGCCTCAAAAGTCAAATAGTTATCTAAAAGACTCAGTTTACAAAATTTCACATTTTTACCAATTCACACCTTGTCACTGTCAACGAAGAGAAGATCTGCGGAGCAGAACTTCCACCGTAATGACAAACACACGCAGAAGAAACCAAAAAATCATTGATACATTAAACTACATTAACTAATATACATATTAAAACTTACAACGCTTTAAAAACTCAGTTTCAAGAGTTGAATCCCTAAACCCCCAAAAAAAGAAAAAAACAGCATTTCAAGAAGAACTCGGTTCTTGAAATGACATCATAAAAAAAAGAAAAACGTACATGTTAAAAACCAGAATAGTCAAGGGTTCTTCGAAAGAACCCTGCCTAGTCAAGGAAGTAATGACGACGGCCCTTATTCGAATACGAGATAAGGGAAAAGGCTGAAGCAAAGCAACCGCCTTTCCGCAGAAAACTTACAGCCTCCAGGGACAAAGAAAACTATATATCCGAGACCACCCTCTCAAGAAAGAAGAAGGATCATCTTATCATCACCACAACCTTTATCATTTAAAACGTTAAAACAAAACTTACCTTTTTTCACTTATAACTTGACCGGATCTTAGAACGTTACAAACTTAGAACCTTAACTATCAGATTCTTCCATTGAACTTTCTTATCTTTTCGAACAAGTCCTTTTTCTCCTCTATTCTTCACATTCTATAAAAAGAGTTTTCGTTGCAGATCAACTTGGTAGTTCTAGTTGACCAGTGAATCTCAATTTATATCTCTACTTTCCGATAAACTATTATCGGACCTCTGCTGAAGCAAGCCTTAAATATAACTGCTTTTCGTAGTAGTCAATTTAAGAAGATTTGTTCAGTGAGTGCATTGAACATCTAACAGGCAGCAGTAATCATTCTGCACCTTAGACAGTACAACTAACAATTGTTTCTTATCACTAACAGCTTTTTGCTCACCAAGAATATAAAGATACATCTTCGATTTATAGGTAACTCACCTTATCCCTAGGGTATATCTTTTGTGAGCAATAGAATTCATCCTTCTCATTCGAATTTCTCATCAGTTTGAAGAGCTAGGCTGACAGTCACACTGTGCCACGTCAATATTTCATCTATATGTGATGCCATTTCATTTTGTTTTACTCTTTAAAGCGGCCTGCGCAAGTAGAAGGCAAGAGTGAATGCGGACCAAGTGAGAAGCATGCCAAAATAGCAGGTATGAAAGCTAGCCATCACAGCTCAATCATACAATTTGACTGAATTGGCACACCTTTTTAGAAATCAAGGCATCACGTTCTTGCAAGATCAGTACAGTCAAACCCATGCAAATGCATACCCGCACAGGTGCATAGCCCGTGATAATGCATAGAAAAGATGAATCTTGATGGTTTTTACTGCCAAATTTGACAACAGAATTGCATAACCCGTCAAAATGCATAGCAAAAGTTGTCTCCCCAAATTATGTGTTTGCGCGGGTTTGACTGTACTACACACTAAAAAAAAGTGGGTCGGCTTTGACTTTTGATATTTACTTTCTAATTATGCCAGCTGATGAAAGGCATTGGTTTCTCTATACTGGAGAATACATTCTACTGACACTGATAATGTATTCTTAATGTAGTGTTTTCAAAACCATTGATGAAGAGTGTGTAACAAATCCTTCTGGGCGGATTGGGTAAGGATGATAATTCAATTATGGTAAAGAGAAATGTAGTGATTGAGTTTATAAGATATCAGAAGAAGAAGTTCTACATTTGGATGTGATTAAGGGTTAGCCTGTTGATTGAAGTGTTTGGCATTTCTGTCTGTGCTTTTCTATTTGTTGTTTGTTTTCTCTCATAAACCTCCCTCTCTTTCCCTTCAGTATCTTTTCCCCTCATTGAGGAACAAGATTCTAAAGGTGAGATTCTAATGAATTAATCCTCAATAATTAGCTGTGTGATCTTTACCAATATTCATTTCTTATATGTTTACTTTTATTCTATTTCACTTTTTATACTCTGTTTCACTCTATTGTAGATTTATCTCTTTTTGATCATCCTCCCTACCTGTGTTCAAGTTTGTCCAAGCTTAGAACTCACTGTCCGTCCTAGCCTTGTCTCATCAGCACTTGGCTCATCTTTTTTTCTTTGAACCTTTGTAAAGGTTGGTAGTATGTTTGTGTGTGATAATACATCATCAATGAATAAGATTTTAAAAATTTATCTCTCTTTGATCATCCTCCATACCTGTGTTCAGGTTTGTCCAAGTTTAGAACTCACTGTCCGTCCTAGCCTTGTCTCATCAGCGCTTGGCTCATCTTGTTTCTTTGAACCTTTGTAAAGGTTTCTGTCTCAGGTTCACAGTGTCGTGCGTGAAATCATCAATTTCTTACAAAGAGTACACAGAGCTCTCCAAAGGTTAAGGATGAAAACAAAGGTGTATCTCACCCACCTCAGAGTGTGATAAACAAAAACGAAGTCATCAAGTCTGAGTGAATGCAAGTTACTTTTGCTGTCCCAATTTCCAATCAAGGATTGTCCAGCACTAGTTCCAGCATGCAAACAAAGACTAAACATAAAATTTGTGTCCCAGCCAAGCCTGAAATGACCAAAGTCAATGAAGCAGTTGACCTGATCAATTATTCTGATTCAGAAATTTTGGAAACTGGAAAATTAGGTGCAGTCTTTCATTTTTAATAGTTTTAAAGGCTTGAAATGAATGCATTTGCAACATATGCTTCCAGTTATTGGGAAGGATATTGCACCTATCCCTTTTGACCCGTCTCCAAAAATTAAACTCACATCTAAAGGCACCAAAAAGTCTGGAGTTGACATTTTTTAGAAGAAAGAAGCCATGACAAACGCAGTAAGTTTGTGATAAGTTTCTGAAAAACCAAACTTATGTTCTGATATGTACATCTCTTACATTCTGTGCCCTCGAAGTTGTGACAGAACAGATGGAAGGCAAAATTGAAACAAATTTGACAACTTTGTTCCGCCAGAGCATGCGACTGGAGGAGTTCCATTTGTTGATTCAGGATCCCAGATTGTACTCAGGCCAACATGCTGACATATGTGCTACAGACCAATTGCTTTCTAATATGAGAAACAATGAAGATTGCCTTGAGGGAAAAGTTTTGGTCATTCCCATGATGGAAGATGAGTTGAACTCTTTGAAGAATCAAGTGCTTGAATTGCATAAACAGTCGGACAACACAGTGAAAGCAATCACAATTCACAATGATGCAGGTTTGTGATGATCCCTGAAGTATTTAGATAAGTTTGAAATGTTTTCAATTGCCATTTCAATATTGAAACCTATAATACCTTTCTACTCTAGATGATTAAGCAACACTCTTCCTGACCCCCATTTAAAAGATCATCAAAAAGAAAATTTGTAAAGGAAAGGATCATGTCCTTTGATCAGCTTTGGGACATTGAAGTCAATTACATTCCAAACTGTGTGTTAGTTAGACATGATATTTTGTTTAAGGCATAGTGGTTGAGGAAGAAGGGCACGTTCAAGGCTTGAATTGTAATCATTGGATGAACCAAAATATTTTCTCAAGGAAAACAAAATGTATTTGTATTCCATAGGCTAGTCTTAGAATATGGTGAAAAGCTTAATTCTCCACTGGAATTGATCATGTTGAGGATCACCTGGAGACCTTTAATTTCAACCAGATCATGTCAGTGGACTCAGTCTTGATGCCCTGTTCATGTTTAAATGATAAGAATCCTACAGGTTTTTTGGTGAAAGTTCTAATTCATTGGCATGTACGGGTTTTCTTTCAGTCTTAACAATTACATTGAGCTTCAAGGGAACTTGCTACACATTGTTTATCAGTTTGTAAGTGTTGCATTAGGGGGTTTCAAGTCAAGAAATTTATGGTATTTTACAGTCCAACAAGTTGTCCGATGTTGCACAATATAACATAAATGTTAAAAAATTGGGACACCTAAAAAGGTGTCCCAAATGCTGTTGACCATATATTTGCAGAAAAAAAACACCTAAAATTTAGAAACCTTGTCCATTTTTTAAGAAGTTTCACAAAACACACTTGAAACCCCCTGTTGTCCAAATATACTCAAGCATCTCACTGCATGTCTCAATTTTTTGACTGCTCTGTTGCAAACAAACCTTGCCAGGTTGAGGTAATCACAGCGCCCACCACTGAAGTCTGTGGATATGTATGTGGATGCAATTGGGGTTTTGTAATACTTTTGAAATTGTGATGGTTTGTGTTATACATAACATGGCGGTGTCAGCCACTAAAGCGGCGCCCGCTGCTAAGTTGCAAGTTATTTTTTTAAGCCAAGTTATGGGCTCATCAATGTATCCATGATTTGCCACTTGATTAGTTTTTATTTCTTCTTTATACTTAGTTCATATTTTTCTATTGATATTGGTCATGGAGAATGTGGTATGATGCTCTAGGTTTATATTATTTTGGTTGTTTCACGTAGTTAGGTATTTATCTTCTAGTCACTGGTTTAAATTATAGTGTCTCTGCTGTCCACCCCATGGGGTATTAGGTTTTAGAAGTGTGAAATTTACTGCTCCTTGGTATCCATACCAAAGAACTTTTTTGCCACACCACACTGAAATTTTCATTTCACATAGTTTGTAAGTGATCCTGGGTTTAAGACACTTCTCTTTGTTTCTCTTTTTTTCATTGAGCCCAGTGAGTCACTGTCTCATCATCAATAAGACTCACAAGTTTGATTTATGTGCCTTAAACCTATCTCAAGAGAAAGATATACTATATTGAGAGATTTCATTGGTGTCTGCTGTTATTTACTTGCATAATCACTGCATCACCTTATGTTTTATAGCTCCCAATACACGACCATCTGTTTCTTGTTTTATCACAATCCAGATTCCTCATCTGATCCAGCAAGTAAAAAATGATGGAGGTGATGTCAACATCATTCAAGGTGAGCTGTTCAGATGCCCAAAAGCCCCAGGTGTGTGGGTGCTGATTCAAATAGATTGAGGGGATATGATCAAGTTGATATAGATGCTCATTCAGGTACCATACTTTTCTGTCCAAGTCAAATCAAGTTAGCACAGGCATCAATGGAGAGAGAATATCACAGTTGTACTTTCCTGCAATATTTTTCACGGCCTTTTTCAGTCAGGTTTGCAATGTACATTGTAGCCTGGAGCATAAACTGCACATGAATTCATATCAAGTCAGGAGATTGGTGAGATGGAAGGGATCACGGTAGCTACTTTAGTCAGCCTTGGTGGATAGACAACAAAGTTTGCATGTTTTGACCAGCTTGTCAGCTCTAAAGCATATAGACTTTCAAATCAATGACTGCTTGCAACAAGACTGTGTGTAAAAACTGCACACCCATCTTTGACACACAGGTGGGTGCTTTTGCAGAACCATGCAATACAATGAAATCTGATCCCAAGTTTTTGGTCAGGAAGGCCTGGTGGTAGTTGATGTTCCAAATTAGGAATCCTTCATGGTCAGGCACCACCAGGGTTCTTATTTGTTGGTTGTCTTGTACTACTAACCATTTTGGGAGGCTCTGTTAGAGGTTCCAAGTTGCTTTGTGTCTCTTATTAAGTTGTGTGTGCGCTGATATTTTTGGAGGCCCATGAAGGCATGTTTTTTTTTGTTTTTTCTTGCACCAAGATGCCACTTGGTGCACCTGGCATGTTTTTACCAAAAAAAATTACAGGAAGCCAAAATGTTGTTTTCATACTATCTTTCCTAATTTTTGAGTTGGTGAAGCCATCTACCACAACAGTTTTGACATGTGAATGTGAGCAAGAGTTGCCTTTGGAGATCACAGTGAGTATATAAGTCCTAGTGCTGTTGTCAACAACTCCAATATCGGTGACAGGACACAGGATATCTTAGGTTTGGTGTGATTTCCAAAGGGTGTGTCAATCCCCAATTTTCTAAAATCTCTGACACTTAGGCATGTCTAAGGCATCTTTTTGCACTGCACTTCAACCTGAGTTTCTTAGCCAAGGTCAGAGACAATGATGATGGATTTGGTGCCCCAGACTGACCACACGTGAACCTACCAGTTACATTGTTGGTTTTGTCAGCATAGTATACCAAGTTGTCCACTGGTTTGGGTGGTATGGAACAAACAAATTTCAGTGTCATGGTCATGGATCTTGATGTATTGCAAGCTTGGAAGGAAAATCAATCTTGAGTCAAAACTGATGTACCTCTGTCAAAGGATTGAATGATCAGATTCCAGTATCTTGGTACCTAGTCAGACTTCAGCGCCCAAAGCACCAACCATTTTATACATTTCCTGGGCACTTACGGCAACAGAAAAAGCACCCGTATTGACCACTTGCATTTGCTCAACTTAAACTTCAAAAAAGCAGGTCAGCAACATGACAACCACTCACCATTGCACTCTTCTACTATTTATCCTGTCTCTAGGTCCCATATTTATAGCTGTTGACTGAGATCAGAGCCCGCAGCAAGATATGGGGTGTGTGCCTTGAAACAGTATACTGTGCTTGGCATATTGAGGCAGCAGTGAAATTTAAACATTGGAGAACTATCTTGAAACTCGGTCATGACCATGCTTTCTCCCTCATGTAGAATTTTGTTGTGTTCTTCTTGCTTATACGGCCAGGCTTCGTCTTGAGCTGGAAGAGCACCCCCTGTGAACGCGCCTCTGAGGCGTTTCCAAACTTGAAAGTGTCGATTGCGATAATTGGTGATGATGAACGGACCAGAGCTTTCGAGACGAGTACTGCTCAAAGAGCTACGTCTTATCAGAACTGCCGCATACAAGCTCGACTACCTACATACCCTGGAAAACTTTCTGGTTCCAGGGCTACGCAATAGTTGTATTCGGGATCGAATTTGAATATCCAAATCATGTCCAAAGCCGGCGTCTTGGTCGGCCTAAATTGAAGATCATTGACCTTTCCCCGAGCGCCAATGTCTCTCAATGCTCATGCGAGCTTTTGCTTCAAAAAATTGAAGAAATCGATTCTCGCGTCAGATACAACATCTTGATGTAGGACAATCTTGATCAATTCACGGCATACCAAAATTTTTCCAAGTCGTGACGCGTTAAAAGCTTGACTTCGTCATTCTCATTTGGTTACAAACACTGCAAATATAATGTGTTTCTCCAAAGTGAAAAATGATTGCACTTAATGCACAAAATGCTTCGTAAAGGTATAGTCAAGGCTGACCCGAAATTACAAGGTTTTATTAGAAGCATATTAGCTGAAATATGACAATGCAAAAGGTCACTGGAATCTCGGACAATATCGCGGTTTTGACTTGAGGTTTGCGCAAAGCGATGCAGTGTTGAGAGATGGTTTAGAACGGATAAAACCTTCATACAAATCTCGTAGGGAAGTTCAATCGTTTTCATTTTATCGGTTTCTGATGATGGTGAATGGCTACTCCAAAAATGGGAAGAGAGGATGGAAAACCACCGAGAAATTCTAGGTGAGATCATCCGGGAGCGTAACAGTATCAGTCTTTTTCTGAGACTCTGATGCTCTGAGACTCCTCTGAGACTCCTCTGAGACTCCCTCTCAGCTACAGAAAATAGTGGCTTTGTGTACACCCGTCATACAGTGTGGTCAAGAATGGTGGCACAGGGTGGCACTCCATAGTTCATTATTTGTTTCTCAACTCAGCTCAAGTTTCAACTCTCGTTGTATTTTCTTACATGGTCACAATCGATCATGATCATCCTAAAAATCTTGTCATTTCCTCATCTGACAGATCAACGTAAGAATAGATGATAAAAAGATGAATTGAAATTTGAGGTTTTTTATATTTTCATGTTCAATCGGATCAGACTCAGAGCGACTTCAAGATGAACTTCAGTAATCTGTTCCTCAGCATTTTCTTTTGGAGCGATCAAGTATTTTAGTTCCTTATTTTAATCTTCTTTATATTGTCTCTTTCACTTCGCTCGATTCGCGTCTTGGTAGGGAAACCCAGACCACGACCCGTACGATGACCAAAAGACAGAATTTGACAAAATCTTCAACATGAAGCTGAGTCCAGATTCCAGATGTTACATCCTGGAGAGTCTTTGAAAAGCTTTTGAAAAGCATGAATCGAGTACAATGAAGGGGCTTGGACTTGAAGTTGTAAAGGAGCAAAACTTGGATGATCTGGACTGAAATTTGTCACCTCTTACTCGTCCAAGATATGTTATATCTTTGACACCTTCTCATCAACGGCTTCTTATAAAGCTGAAATGTTGTAAGTGTTTTCCATTAGGGTGTCCTTTTCACTACAATTGGCTCGTTTGGAGCGATTAATCCTTTTGATCATCTTTTTATCTCTTTTATTGTTTCTCTTGCTTCATTCGATTTGTCACTTTGTAGCTCTAGTTTTCACAGAGCTTATAAGTGACTGTGCGGCTCGCACTCTTGCTGACTCAACCTCTTGATTTGATGTTTTGATCAAATTAACGTAAGTTATTTGTCTTCCATTTCCTAACTTTCCTTTAAATTGTTCTGATCGTTCTGATCCGCCAATTGTACAAAATACCTGTGTACAGGCTTAGAATTTCGGCGATTCAAAACAAAACACGCCTCTCGAAAACAAGCGCCACTCGAGAAAAAATTATACTACCCCTGTATGTCCCAGGGCTCGTCTCAGGCAGTCTCAGAAAAAGACTGATACCGCATCTCTCCGGATCATCCTCGTCACTCTCATGACAAATCAGGTACGGGCGGACTTATGCTGAGGTGTAGGCACGGTGCGTGTTTTGGTGCAGGTATGCGAGCCTTGCACATGCAGCAGAAACCCATCATTGGTATGCACTCAAGTGCGTGGACAATGGGTATCAGGAAAAATTTGAAAAAATACACTCATTCACAAGTTCAACAAGCGTTTCTCAAGGGGAAGCTCGTTGTTTGTGCTCTATCCAAATTTGGTATCTTGACGGTATGTATGGCTTGCATCGTAGCAAGCATTACTCAACGAGTTTCACGGTGAAACTTCACCATTGACGCACTGCATTACTGACTGCGGTGTGTGGCCGTTCAGCAATAACTTGAGTCGGAGTTGTGGCGAGGACAAGTCGCATGTTGCCTGCGGAAGCTTTGTTCTGTTCTTTTTCAGTTCTTTCCACAGAAATGGACCAGCACCCTTCCGAAGTTCGTCATAAAGTAGGAATACTAAGCTGCCTCCGAAGACACATAAACACTTGCTGCATTACAGGTGAGCATCATATTGACTAAAGCTCAATTAGATGGACAATGTTGTTACTGAACCGCGCATCAATTTTCTTCAGTTTCAGAATCCTTTGTCTTACAAACATGAGGAACTCGCCGATCTGGATGCTTGTCACCACAAGCATCTATGGAATGGGTGTCTATCCAGCAATATTAAACAAGCCCGAGTTGGCTTCTACTTCAGAGCATCCACTTCCCACTTCTTTGCCTGTCGGTTTGGAGACGGCACCTGCATATAGAAGCCCCGAAGAGAGTTCACCTCTTCTTACACACCAGAATCCACTTACCGAATCCAACTCAGATATCCAATCCTCTACCTCACATGCAACACACGCACTCTCAGATGTACAATCAGATGTCCTCATGCCACTCTATCAAGTTGGGCGTCCATTCCTTCAATTACCCTCACCTCCAGAGCCAGACATCCACCTTCCAGTATATCAACATGGGCCTACGCCAGTCCTACATCCAACAGCACCCGAAGTTATTCCAGCTACTTTTCATCCGATCTCGTCTTTTGTGACACCAACTACTCACACAATTCCGCGGCATCATGTTTTGGAAGCCCCAATAGCTGAAGATTGGTCCAATCCTTTGCATCTTGGGTACCAGCAGAGCTTTGCTCATCAACTTCAAAGCATCTATCACATACCTGATGTGTCATCCACATTCATCTCCCCTTACCAGCCCATATCATTTTACCAGCCCATGTCACCTTACCAGCCCGTATTGCCTTACCCGCAGATTCCACCTTATCCGCACTCACCTTACCCACACTCATTCGGCCTGCAGTCATCCTATCCACAATCATCTTACTCATACTCATCTTACCCGCTCTCATCCTACCTGCATTCATCCTACCCGCATGTATTTTACCCGGACTCATCTTACCCATACATGGTCCCATACAATCATCCAGTGACAAGCAGCAGAGCCATTCATCCTATGCACTCATTTTCCACACCTCACATTTCTCCCTTTGACTTCAATAAACATTCCATCTACCCGCCTATTGAAGGCACTTACACAAACTTCTACCATAGCTTACCTTTCACTTTGTCCTCAGCTCCTCTGGTCAACCCAGCCTCACATTCTGCTACACAGAGTCCACAAGGTACCACATTTTTCCATGCAGGGCCCCAGCGCTTTGACAATGATTTCCTGATGAGAAGTGAAAAAAAGAATGTGTCCCCAATTCAGACCACAAAATCCTCAAATACATCAGGCAACTCAAGATCTGAGACTCTGCACACATCAAGTCAGAAGAAAATGTTGAAGAAACCTGGGGTGTCAGATCCAAGTGGCTCATCTTCTTCAAGGCAAGTAGAGAATCAGCCCATGACTGTACAAAGATCAATACAGAAGACTCGTTGGAAAAAACCCTGGAAGCCAAAGCCAAATGGTATGTCTGCTACAAAGTTGGTGAAGGAAAAAGAAAATTTGGCTATGTATGTAATTCTGAAAACACTTTTGAGGTGGTTGCACACTTGCTGACAGGACTCCAATTAACAGTGTTTTGGAAGATGGATCCGGAGAGAGAAAGGGTTTGCCAGGCGAGAAAATCTTAATTGGACAGCATCAGGTCAATATAGATTCTCCACAATCCAATACCCTCACCACCATACCAGATCTTGCTCCACCTGACAGCCAAGGCCTGGACAAAACCACAAGTGGCTCTCATGAGGAACATTTGTTGCAACATTTGGTGGCTAGCAAGGCATCTTCTCATGGGGATAAAACAGAATTTGAAAGGGAGCCAAAATTAGCTCAAGCTACCTCATCAGATGCAGAGCTCCAAGATCTGCCCTCTGTGTTTGAAAATACACCTGTCTTGGATTTTAAGGACTCAAAACTGTTTCCTGCTCTGAAAGATACCATCAATTCAGCTAAGACTCTCACCACACCACTTCCTTCATACAAGAATTCAAGACCATCATCTACAAATTCAAAGGGAGAAGAACTGTCCGCTGTAGGACCTTCATCTTCAAACTTTGTGGCAGACACAAGAAATCCCGATAGGATGAAAAAGATCACAACGTCATTGGCTTCACCTACTTTGCTTGGCCAAGAGTTTATTCAGCCAAAAAAAATGGAATCTGTACGGAATGGTATCACAACTTATGAAGATAGAAGAGCTGATACTGTAGCCGCATTTGACAATTTGCGAGTCCAGTTAAAGCGGCTTACAAAACATAAGGATTCAGGTGAACAAATGTCCATCTCTGAAGCTCCTTTGCACTCGCCAATCAAACCTTCCATAGAATCTTTTGATAACTCCAGGCCTTCTGAAATAGCTCCATTCCCGGGAAGTGGCTCCAGTACCCAAGAAAAGTCAAAAGCTAGTGCTTCAAATTCAAACAATGATGGAATTACGCAGTGGCGGGTGAGCAAGTAAGTAAATACTCTCACTGGAAATTGTACTCTTCAAGAATTGGTTATCCAACAATTATGGTCTTCCTTTTGTCCAGGGCACCCAAGGTAGATATACCGGAAGATCTTTCCACGAGTCAGAAAAAATCCTCCAGACTTTTGTTAGAAGATCTTAATCTTGCAGATCCAAAACTTTTGAGTCAGAACAAAAAGGTTGAGTCCAAGTTTGGACCTTCCAATACTCGTGCAATCACAGGGTCCAAGGGACGAGATGTTAAGCCAGATAATCAAGCGCCTAGTTCAATTGAACCACCTCCAGTAGGACGAAACTTCTGGTCAAATGTGGCTCCAATCATTTCTTGCTTGCAGGTAAAAACACCATTCCAATTTTCAGCTTTCCTTCCCTCACCCACTTCCCGCTTTCTGGAATGGCTCAAAGCTCTCAGTCCTCGAATATGGATGGGTAAAAATGAGCTTGCCAAAGACCAAAGTCAGATGGCTGCGGAGGCAAGTGAAGATATCAGCAAAACTAAAATTGAAGAAAGTCACGACTCCGAAGGTGCTACTGGGGATGGTGAAAGTGTTGGCTCAATCCCCAGCTCCACACGTGTCCAGACACATCCCAGTCGGAGAAAGAGAAAAAAGAACCTACCCATACCTGCAAGTGCAACATCCGCGGATAAAAATGAAGTTGGGTTTCACGAAGAATTATTGAAAGACTCTGCACTACATGCAATAAGTAGAATTCTCCAGATCAATGACAATCACGATCTCCTTCAAATAGACCTTGAGCTAATGGATTATGAAACTCTCAGAGCCAGAGACGACACTGATTGGGTATCTATTCTGTCCTGGACCAAGATGCATTCAGAAGCTTCAGAAAAAGAGATGGATAGGAGGGTACAAGTTTTGATTAATCAACTAAACCATTACGAGATTCTTGGTAAATATCATAGGGCAAAGAAACACCTTGATTCAGCAACGATCAAGCGATGGGAAACCCTTTTTCGAATTGACGAACTCTGTCCAACTCTCTCTCACATAGATAAATCCAACAATATAGAGGTAAAAACAACTTTGGATGGAGTACTATTGTCAATAGGAGAGAAAGAAGCCTTGACTGAGGTGTTGGGAGAGTTGGAATTAAAACAGCGGATAGGTTTGATAGACTACATGCGACAGCGAGATTCTACGGACAGGTGGTGGAGGGAGGACGAACTACAAGATGCAAGGTGGCAAGGCCACAACGTGCTGGACATACTCCAAATTGGAGACTTGTTACAACTCGGAATGACTCATAATATAGCTGCTGTTGCACCCAAGGCTACATTGATGTCTCTCTATGAAAGAATGCACAGCCGGAACAAATACCCAGAGTTATATCCAATACACGCTACATCATGGGGTGAATCTCCTGAAAGAGAGTGGTTTCACCAAAATCCAACCCTTTGGCACAAATACCAATCCAGAATGAGGGATTTGATCCTGAAAGCCGACTTTGCAATCCTGGGAGAGTCTTCTCTACTTAAAAACCTTGATTTACCACCCGTCAGTCCATGGTGGAGCCTTGGTGACCTTTTGATGTGGAGCGATGAAGGTGTTCCATTGAAAAAGATGGCTAAAGTGGCCTCCAAGGTGGGAAAGGACTTGCATTTGACAAACTTCAAGCAGTTGACTCCCAATGCTCTTGAGCAATTAAATTGGAAACATGTATTCAAGGGCATTGATTCAGATACAAAATTCAAAGCAAAGATGTGCCTTGAGACAAGGGCTAAATGGAACATTGAGGAAAATACTAGCATTTTTTCCTCTCTGATGAACAAGCTCACAGGAAAACTTTTTTCAAATTGAGGACAACTTGAAGGAATCAATATTTCTGATCCCAGGTGTCAACTCGGAGATGAAAATAGGAAAGCCAGGTCTAATGCTTAATTTTTTATCAGATGAATAAGATCACCACTGTGCTAGTGTATTAGGAGATGTTTTTTTTATTCACCACATCTTGTAACAATTGATCTTTCAAAGTTTTTCAGGTTTTCTAAAGGAGGTAGTGAATTTGATCCTACAATAAAAAATAAGGATTGTATCCACTGATTGCTCTTCTGTATCCCAAAAATGTGCAAGGAGGGAATACGGCTTATGGATCAGAGTGGACATATGATCACATATCTTGTTACAGGATGATTGCAAGGGGTTTTTATACAAACTTAGCTCTTCTCTTTTTCCTTTCTATTACTCTGAGGATTTCTTTCCCTTCTTTCTATACAGTAGCTCTCTAGATTGTTAATTTTCTCCTACTTGCTTTTCTGCAATGCCACTTCTATATAATGATAAGTGGACTGAGAGTGCAATCCTCGACACTTGATGATAAGCATTGCAAATTGATTTATATGGCATCATCTAGATCCCATCATGCAACTCTTAAATTGTTCATCATAAGAAGTTCAAAGTACAAGATAAAACAAGTCAAATGCTAAGATAGGATTGTTTACTCGGATGTTGATAGTAAGATTTCTTGTAGTTGCAATGTTGAAGGATGCAAATGAAGAGAAAGAAAAATGTTGAAAAATTGTGCTTTCTAAATGTTGATTCAAAAATGTATGCCGTGATTGAGTGGTAATAAAAATGCTCTATTTAGAAAGACAAAAAACAAAGACCAACTATCATCTTGTTTAGTCTGCCTTGCTTTTCTTTGGACTATGACTCAAATCAGCATTGACAGTTCCTCTGGAATTAGTGTCTTCTGATTCGACGTTATTCATTGGGTGTAGGTTTTCCTGCCCGGAGATAGATGTGTTGAGTCTCGAACCAGACGTGTGATAGTTTGAGTTGGCCGAGATGTTAGGATGGCGATGACTCAAGGCACCATCAAAAGGTACTGATTGACTTTGCCAGGACGCCGCATTGAAGGGGGCATTGCTCAAGTCAGGGCTTGCGCCACCTTCCATTTCATTGAGACGAGAGGCTGTTGAGTGTTTGTCATTTTGGAAATGGTGATTACTTGAAGGTCGGAGTATTCGGTTGATAATTTCGTGTATCTTCACTGAGAGCACAAAGATTGGCAACCGTACTGGGAAAGCTGGTGAGATCTTAGATTGACTTTGAGGTGTTCGATCACGAGTATTAGAATTCAAGGCTAATGGATAGCTTGGTGACCAAGGTAACGGATGGGTTGTTGATGCTGATGCGAGTATTAGTAAAGAAGGGAAGAACAGGGTGAACAAAGATAGATTGACTAAAATATTTTGATGCCAAAATGAAAGCATTGTGATGGCGAAACCAAATCCAGCATGATACGTCCATCTTTCTTCGATACTGCCATCATCAAGGATCAAAATCAAACTTAATCAACATCATACAGAGTCAAGACATTCATGAGGTATGATCATGATAGATACCGACTTTTTGACTCGTTCTGCAAAGGACTGGCCTCCTTCTGTCCATGATCTTTCGAAACAGTAGTAGGAATTTGCAATTGTGCAATAAGCAAAACTCAGCAGAGTTCCAACATAAGGAACTCTGGCTAATAAATGTGAGAAAGCAAAGTAATTCAAAAGAACCAAGCCACGATACGACTCTGATATGATACTATGCGTTAATCCTTTATATGCTTCTACATTTGGCGATGTAAGAAATTTAGACAGTCGTCTTGAATGGGACGAGGTAGTGAGAAGTGTTCTTGATACTCGAACGCTTAGGAAACCGTTCAAGATGGTCGAGGAAAGAGAGATCGGGTAAAGCCAAAAGATCTGATGAAGGGTTGAATGTTTATTAGAATATAGAACCAATTGTCTTTGAATCTCAAGAACTGACGTCGAAGTAAAAACGTAAATGTGAAATGTCGGCATGAATAATACGAGGAAAGAGTTCGAAAGAGATAACACTTGTTAATAAAACAGCTTGCAGTGTGACATTCTGAATTAAATTTGACTGCCGAATGAAGTTAAGAGCAGTTAGTACAAGTCACTAGCAACGACCACCCTACTTCTGACTGATGAATTAGTCCTGGGAAATTCAAAGCTTACTCGCAATTGTTTGTTCGTACCCAAGACATCTAGGATCGTTTTCCACTGCCTAGCATCCGAGATGCCTTGTTTGATGAAGCCAAAATGTAAGATGATAGATTCGCTTAAGCTGAGATGTGTGTTTGAAATTGTATTGGTCGATCTGAAATCAAATGAAGGATATAAGTCAGATGGTGATTGACTAGAGATTAACTTGTGATTGGACCGTAAAGTTGCATTTTGATGAGGAATTGGTTCAAAGGACATCGTACATTGAGAATGTGTGGAGGGTGATCGGCTGATAAGACGTGCTGAGCCTGTACAGGAACTAGGTTTCAGCATGCCATGCCTGTGGCACTGGGCACGTCAGGTGCGGATGCGTGTCCAGTGCCCTGAAGCGTCTCGCCGCACAAAGCTGAAGGGGATCGAGTCGCCCGGAGTCGCCCCGAGCAGTGACCACGCCACCGGATATCTGGTGTAGTGGGTATCCGTGTTCCTCGAGAATTTCTTGATGTATATACAGTGAGATTCCTTTATAAGCATGGTGATGGTTGCACCAAATCCCATGCTAATATAAAAAATGCTTCTTATTGGAACAGACCTAATAGCCTATAGGAGCATAAAAAATGCTCAAAATTATGCTATGCTTGAATGACATGCTTGGCACTTGCAACTATTGAAAAATATGTACTACAGAAACCTAGAAGCAAAAATTGACAGACAGTTTTTCAATTGATCTTGGCTTTTCTACTCAATGCAGCCTAATTTACTCCACTTCACCTACCTTTCTTCTCCTTTCTTGCATCACATAGAAGCATAAACACGTGAAAAAATCATGTTATGCTTCTTTTTTCATGCTTCACATGAAATTATACAAGCATATCAGTCAAAACCTGAAGCATATGCTTAAAATGCTTATAAATCCAAATTTACTGCCCACCAAAAATGGTTACATCATTTTTGATGCTTATCAAAAAATATTCTTGTAAAGGCAATGCTTAAAAAGGAATCCCACTGTATTTAGGGGAGCACAGATCAACAAGATGTTCAAGGTCTCAACAGACAAAACAAACTCTGGGTTTGACTAGATGGCCATCATGATCTTGTCTAGGTAAACTAGTCATTTCCTTTAACTTGTTTACATTGTCTCTGACATGACCCATACCCAAAAAGTTTGGTCCAAAAGTACGGGTTTTGCTAGAGTATAAGGTTTATATATTTGCAGACAAATTATGGATTATGACAAAGATTGTACCAATCAAAAAATAGACTTGTCAGGAAATCAAAAAAACATATCAGAAAGAGTCTGCTGCTTTGCAGCTTTCACACAGAGCAATTGGCAGTGTCTAACAGAGGCTTGGATGGCCCTTTCATACCCCCGCACTTCCTGTGCATCTTCACTTCCCAAGTAAGATAACATCATGATATACGAGGCTTTGAGGAAGTCTTGATGGGTAGGTTGTGCCAGTGGTTGTGAAGGTGTATTTTCTACTATAGATTCTTTTTCATTTGATTCTTGCTGCATGTTTTCAAATATATCTGCACATGTCCATTCTTGCAACCCACTTGAATGTTCACCCACCATATTGAGGAGTTCTGATACAGAAATTTTATCAGGAATCTCTTGAGTCCTTGAACATTGTTCACAAACTCAAGAGAATCCAATTCAGCATGAAGAGCATCAGTAGCACCCTAATCAATAATTAGATTTGTAGATGGTTCTTCAATGAGTTCTTCTTGATTGTCTTCAAACTTGACAGTTCCCTCTGGATTGTGAGGTGCAAGAATTTCCCCCTTCTTCCAGAAGTTTGCAATGGTATCTTTGAATAGCAACCACCAAGCTTTGGCAGCCAATTTCATAGCATCCAACTGATCAATTTTGAAGATATCTGCAATAGGAACATGACACTTGGATTGTGCAATGGAATAAGATTTAAACTTGGATCAATAACAAGCCTTGAAACTTGCAATGATGCCTACCTCAAGTTTCTGTACGTGAGATGTTAAATTTGGTGCAAAAAAATCAACTTGAATGATTGTTAGAGGCTGGTCTGGATTTACAGAATGTCCAGAGAAGTTATCAACTAATAGTAAGATGTTTTGGCCCTTGGATTTCAATTCTTGATATCAGGATCTTATCCATTGAATAAAGAGCATGGTCTGCATTCACACTTTGAGATTGTACCAATGGTAGAAGCCGTGTTGTTCCCCCGCTTTGCCCCAAAGGAAATTTGGCTTACATGACTTTTGTATGATCAATGGTTGCTGTCTGTCAGAGCCATCAGCATTGATTGAAAATGCTTAAGTCAGACATTACTTGTCTGACTTCCTCCCAGACTTTGCATTTCATACTAAACCCTTGTCTGGTGGCATTGTACAGTATTAGAAGATATTGTAAGTGAAATTGTTTCCACATAGCACATATCACATCACCGGTCAAGATTAGACTTAGATGCACAGCTTTTGCAGCCCACCTCTCAAGTGCTTGATTCACTTGAGGATGCTTTTTGGTGCTCTTTTGATTGGGGTGGAGTCTAGACCATCCCCAGGTTTAAATTCTTTGCACATCACAACCTTGTCTTTCCTCCAGGCTGAGATGCAAGGCGGCTTAAGTCCTAGCTCAGGATAGATTTTATTAAGGTGCTCCATAGTTTTCCTTTCATTTTCTGTTTGCATGGTACCAGTTTAGGATCTCAATTCCCTGAGATAGAGTTGAGTTTACCATGTCCCAGTCTTGTGTTTTGTTTGTTTGACAGCTTTATTTGAGACTGGGCTTGCTTGTGAATTTCCTTCTTGATTAAATTTATCTGTTAGAGCTAAGTTTTGTGCACACAATATAATATAAGCAATTCATCTTCAACACATGCTGAGGCAAAAAGCATAGATCCAACATACATTTTAATGATCTTCCAGTGTCCACTGGGCACTTTTGGTCAGCCTTGGGTATAAGGACCTCCCATGTGGCCTTTTCCGCATCCATAAACTTGATGGTGTCACAAGCCACATCACCAACCTCTTTAACTTGTCCCACCATCTTAAAATCATCTATCATGTTTCCTACTGGACCCATCAAACATTCCTCAGCTTATATGAGTGTCTTGCCATCCTTGGCCAGCTGTTGTAATGGTTTCAATCGTGCATTGTGCTCCACTTTCAATTTCTTGGAACCTTCCTTGATATTGGCCACACTGTATCTTGGTATATTTTTGGAAGCATGGCATAATTGAGTTTGTCATGTGTGGTGTCTGAAAGTCAAATAACGTTGAATAAGGTGACTATCAATAGAGTTTGTTTGTAAATGTTGATGTTTAGAGTTGTTCACATGGCCCATGAATTATGGGTTACAAGCTCTGGTTTCCCTCATAACCCTTATGGATCATAGGGTATTGCAAAGTTATGGTTTATGTACCCACTTTTCCTGATATTTTTCTGCAGATGCCCAAATTTGTTTGGGGTTTCATGGAGTATGACTTATGGCACAAATGGGTTATGTAAGAGACAATGATTATGTGTTTGTAATATGTATGATATACAACACAGCAATTAAGCACTTTAAAAGATATCAATGGGGCCATAGTAAATCTTTTTATACTGCAGGCTGTCAGATATTTCATGCAGCAGGTTAGTACCCACTACATCAAAGGAACCAATATCAGATATATGAAAGGAAGCCCTTTCCTTGAATGACACCACCAATCATTCCTCCACCTCAAAAACTCATAATTCCAATCCATTTTTTCTCCTTCATCTCTTCTTTCCTGCCTCAGCTGACACAAGTATTATTTCACCTCATTCTCATATTCTCATTTTAGATCATTCAAAGAATTCAACATCAGATCCTGTGCTGTTCATGTTGGGGTTGGCCTTCTTGAATTGGGCCATAGCTTACACCATGATGGTGGTGAACTTCTTGTTCAGGATCATTCCATTAGTCTGAGTGTGTGCCCATGCTATCTGGGGGCTATTTGTTTTTGTCACCTCAGCACATGTTTGCCACATGCCAAGAATCCAAATTCCTGTGATCTACTCTGCCACTAGGGTCACTTAGTCTAATGTACAAATTTGGCATATCAAACCTTATAACTTTTGCATGTGGTTTGGGGGGGGACTCCAATGGGGGTAAGCCATACACAATCCAGCCAAGACTTACTATGTCACCTCCATTGGGGTGAGAACAGACCATAAGAACTACGGTTTTCTCAACCCGGGACCGTGGGGGGGTGTTTTGAACTTGAAGGTGTAGCTATGTATTTAGAGAAGAGAGAAAACGAGGAGAGAAAAACTAAAAGAGGTGCTTGGTTCAGGGAAAAGCCGGAGAGCAGAGGTCTGAAGCAGTGGTGGGATTTCAGTGTGAAAATCTTCACTTTCTCAACCCAGGTCTCCCTAAAACCATGAAGATGCAGGGGGGCTCTTCATGGGTTTTCCTCCGCGCATCTTGCTCCTGTAACTCAGGCATGCCCTCTCCAATGAACTACAGAGATATCTCTGCACACTGCCAGGATTAAACACTGTCCTAATTGGGATAATGTGTTGCTTTTTTGGGATAATTAGTTTTGCCATACAAATGCTTAGCAATTAATGCAAAAGTGATCATTATTCCATTAGGGACAGTGTTTAATCCTGGCAGTGGCAGGCTTTGGGTACTCTATCAAATTTATATTGTATGTCATCAGATGTTCCAGGATTTCTTCCCTGCCAATCTTCACCCAATCAAAAAAATTGCTAAGACCCCCCTCAATAGCTGTTATAACATTGAAGAAATTTTGTTTTTCTAATTTGTATAACCATGCATATGGTAAAGGTTTGCAACACTCAATTCTTTCAAAATCAGAGACTTGAATCAAAAGATGTTGAATTTTATGAAAAAAAAGTAGCCACTTACCACAACATGGATTGCATCTGGTAAGCTTATTGGCCAAACTTGAGGCCTTTCAAGCCATTATTTTCCAAAGTACATAGTGTCACCATTATCAAATCAAATATATCATAAAATAATACATTCACAAAACTTCCATGCAGCATATGCATATGTGACTAGGGAGTGAGTGCCAAGCCCTTGCACAGAAATATGGTCAATTGGCCAATGGTAAGTTTCATCACCCACAATCATGCTAAGAATTGTGAAACAGATATTTCCATGCTATAGTGGTCATGACCAGTCTGAAGCTTGATATAAAATATCTGCATATATGTGCTCAAGTGATTAATGTCAATGTTGACGCTGCTTCCATGGCCCGAGTTTGTAACATTGCCAAGCTAGATCCAGAAAGGACCATATTTAAATGCATTATTTGCAGCAGGGATTGTACTGGCCTATGTACTGAAGGATTGGAAAGGAGGACAAACTTCTTGTGATCTCTGTGACAGAGGCCCATGACACGTAAATGTACTTTTGGTTCTTGGGTACATATTTCTTGGACTTTAAAAGTGCGGTTTTGCGGGGGGCACTTCAAGTTCTAACAGAAAGTAACGCTTCCTACGGACTTTGCTGATATGATCATTGAATTTCACTGCAATGAATGCCAAGAATGTGATTCAACATAAAAGTTGATAAAGCTGCAGGGGCGTGACTACGAGTCTTCTGAAGGTGTTGGTTGAGAGTAGGATGAGCTAGGATGAGGCCTTGTACGTTGTGAAGCTTGCAAAAGGAAAGCTTAATTAAGTTTTCTAATTGGAACATGTTGCTTGTTCAAAGCTAAGGCGTTCGTTTGGGTTCTTGAGGAAATTTTGCTTGGATGATGTAAATCCCGAGCTCCATAGAAATTGAATGTATGATGTGCGATTCAGTGTGCCTCATGAGGGAATGCTGAGCGTACACCCGTGTTTTGCAATGCCAACTACATAGCTTGCGCTCAAGGCTTCCATTGCTCGCCCTCGACGTTTGAGATTGAAAGACAGAAGCCACAGTCGTCTTGCTGACCTTTCTTAAGATTTGCGAATCGGCGTAATGGCATTCGATCCGTGACGAGAATTTACAGCGTTTGACACGTACAAACGGGTTCCTGCCCGCCAGCGGAGAACTTTTAAATTGGCTCGTGCAAAGTCGAAAGGATCAATACAGGTATTTTTTTTTCTTGAACTTCCACTTCAATAGGTACTCAAAACCAATAATCTCAGCCATTGACGATACGGCTACAATATAAGTCAAATTATCAGAACTGAAGAGCATTTGAGTGTTTGAGCCAATCAAAATCATATCATGGCCCCAGAGATCGATTACGAGAACGAATATATCAGCGAATCGGGGAAACGATGGAAGCCGTCAGGAAGTTAGTACTCTGCATACAATGGATAACTCGACCTGCTACGAGTCACTTATCGAATTCGTCCTTTTTAACAAAGTTCGTAGTCTCTTTCCACTCGAAGCGACACCGGGGATGATCTCGATGTTAGCAGGCAAACCCAACCCGGACACCTTTCCATTTCAGTCTATCTCAGTTACCCTCAAATCATTGGTACCTAATAATTCAGACGGAAGTCCAGTGGCACCAGACGTCTTGACAATCGCAAATCAAGATCTAGATGAAGCCTTACAATACGGCCCTACCTCTGGTATCAATTCATTCGTATCATGGATCACTGGATTACAACAGCTTAGTCATCGAAGGGGAAATGCAAAGGAAGAAGGTTGGAGAACATCGATTGGATCAGGCAGTCAAGAATTGATGTACAAGGTCAGCTAAGATGTTTTTATGCTCATACGTTGCATTGGAATACCGACTAATTTCTGCCACTGGGGTTCGACAACTGCGTTTCTTCTGCAGGCATTTTCGGCAATATGCAACCCTGATGATAGTATTTTGGTGGAAACTCCTGCCTATGCGTATGTGCACATTGAAGTCCAATCAGACCAATTGCCTCGAAACTGAATTTATGTGTAATCAACCCTCTCGCAGAGGTGTGTTGGGGCTCTTGAGGCCACTGGAATCAAACCTGATAGGTGATGTCTCTTATTTTCAGGTCCAATCTTTGAACCCATATTGAATAATTTTGTGATTGGAGATGACAGAGATTCCGTCGGACGAATATGGTATCAAAGATTCAGATTTACAATCAATTCTAGAAAACTGGTATACAGATGAAAAGACTAAGGCTATGAAGTTCCCAAAGGTAGTTTATACATGGTCCGTAACCCAATGATGAGCCCCCAAAACTCCTCATGAGTTGAAAATCGGAATTATATGGCTTACAATCTTTCACTGTTTGCTCATCTGCTGATCAGTCCAACTGGGTCCAATCCTACCGGTGCTTCAGCTTCTCTTCCAAGGAAGCAAAAAATCTTAGCTCTGATACGCAAGTTCAAGTTGTTGATCATGGAAGATGATGCGTATTTCTACCTTCATTTCGATCGACCTAACCGCGCCCCGAGTTACTTTGAACTAGAGAAGAGTGATGGAGGCGAGTGCGGTCGAGTCATTCGGTTTGATAGTCTGAGGTCAGTCCATCCAGTGATTAAACTCCTTTAGCTTGCTGTCCTCAATTTCTATTATGTTATCTGGACTTCAGTAAAGTTTTGTCATCGGGTGAGTTTCACATCTCGGTGTTATTCGAACAAAGTGATGAATTGATCTTTACAATAATTGGAGTATAGGTATGCGCTTGGGATTTGTCACAGGACCGGTTCCAATCATGAATGTCATTGGTAAGTTTTTTTCGTATCAATTGATTAAATTCGCACAGCATAACATGATCTGACAAAGAGAAAATTGGTCCCTAAGACCTTCACACATCTAACACGAATCTGCAAACCCCCAGTTTGACGCAAGTGATTGCGTACAAACTCTTAAATCACTGGGGTTATGATGGATTTATTGCGCATTGTGATCGTGTAGCCGCTTTCTATGCACACAAACTTCAGGTCGTTGAAGCAGCTGCTAGGAAACATCTCGAAGGTCTTGCCGATTGGGATCGACCAAGAGCTGGAATGTTCCTGTGGTTCAAACTGAGGATCGCCAAGCTAGGCGAAGAGGAAAATGCTTGCTCAAAAGCTTTGATTGCAACAACGGCTCTGAGAAATGGCGTGCTTGCTGTACCGGGACATGTAGGATCAAGAGGCACTCTAAATTTGAAGGTTTATTACAGACGAGATATTGATTGATGTTTGTTTTCTAGGAATTCATGCCCAGTGGTCGTAAAACTGTTTATGTTCGAACAAGTTTTAGCTTGATTGACGAGGAGACGGCCGATGAGGTATGAATTTCAGCATCTAAAATTCTTGAAGTTCTCGTAACTTAGTTTTTTCTTTCATCTAGGGCTTCCGTCGATTGGCAAGTGCGATCAAAGAAGCAAGAAAAGAGATAGGATTAGATGCTTGAGTTCAAAAAACAATTTCTTGACGGATGTGATTTTCGAGAGACATCTTAGGTGACTCTCAATTGTTCTTCCTCCAGAGATAAAATCATTTATAATTTTCGAAAGTCTTCAGACTTTGTCGGAACTTGTTTAAAATGAAATATATTCATCCCTTTCACGACCAACTTCAGGCTCGTGCAGCCATATAGGAAAGGATTCGTCTTACAAATCTCAAATCTTGACGTGCTGCTGGTCTCACGAGTCATGTACTGTGACACGAGACCTGTGTAGTGTGGATATATCAGTGGTCTGGTTTCTAGAGAGACATTGAGGCAGTGAGTAATGCAGGAGTCTGCATATGATGGAAGACATTGGCAGGTGTGACATGGCTCGCACGACGCTACACTGGGTAGAGACCTACAAGAGCTATACCGCACGATTGAACTCTGGATTCCTGATACATAGTAGGCGTATTTTTATCTCATGAACAGAGAAAGATCAGGCACATGACGCTCAGCTGGAAATAAGCAACATCCCTGAAATGGCCAGTCTCGGTGAAAACGTTGACATATGTGTACCAACGTCTTCGAGCCTACCGCTAACTAGGACAACCCTACCTTCTCTTAACGTTTGCAACAAAACACCGCCACATGTTCAGGACCACCACCACCATCATTTTTCTGAGGGGTTCGGGTCAGGGGGTGTGCTTTTGTGTGGCAAAGACTACAAAACTATCATTACATGTCCCCGAAATCTGTTGAGGGTCTTGGGCATATTTGATGCAGATCATCCTAGGTTTGACCCTTCAGACATCTCGGCATGATTCCTGGGATCCGCTTGTAAAGTACGCAAGGGGTATTGGGGTCCTGTACCGGTCGGAGAAGATGTTTAGCTGAGGCCAAGGAAGTCGTGGACATCGGTGGAAAGTATACGCGTGGGTTGTGAGGTGAGGAGAGCACTGATTTCCTAGAAAGGTATAAGTCGGATGAATGAATATACGCACAGGTGGGGTAGCGACTGGCATGCCATATCTGGTAAAGATCAGCTCGCGTGATAGTTCGAAGAGGCGGGGTGCTCTGGGGTACTTTTAATGAACCAAAATCGGCGCTCTTGCAATTCACCTGTCGTATTTGTCGACAATGGGTCTCGACTGATGCTTCATATAATTTTTCCATTTGACGAATGGGTTATGAAGCTTTTCTGTGCAACATCCTTAATGATGAATTAAGGCATTAATCGCTATTCTGTGGTTGTGGTTTGCTTGCATCGATCAACAACTTAAGTTGAGTAAAGCCTCCACACATTGCTTTTCTTTTGCAACAAATGGGATCGAATTTCCTTGGCAGTCGATTCGATGAACCAATCACCTAATCCGGCTTTGTATCATTGCAAAATGCCTTTAAGGGTGAGATGTAAGATTTAAAAGAAGCCCTTCGAAGATAAACGCCAAGATAAACACTTTGCGAACAGAAAAACAAATCACTCTCACCATCTTATCCAATCATCAAATTGCAACTTCGATACAAAGTAAGCCTATAATCATGGCCCAACAGATTGACTATGAAAACAAATTCCTCAGCAAAGCTGGTAAAGGATGGAGAAGTACAGGAAGTAAGTAATTCGTGATTAAGTATTAGAAGGAAAGCTAATTGTAAAGGATTCCGTTACTTGAATTTTAGTCCGTGGTTTGATGTCCTTCGAACAAGTCGAAGGTATGATCAGCTTTCTTGTAGGAAGACCAGACCCAGAAACCTTTCCATTTGAAGCAATCAAATTCACTCTCAAGCAGCCCCTCGACTCCAAACCGGAACCTGATCAAATTGTTCCTGAAGTCTTGGAAATGAAAGATAAAGAACTGGTTGATGCGCTTCAATACTCTGATACTTCAGGTGTTCCTTCTTTGATATCCTGGTTCATTGGTTTGCAACAACGTAGTCATCATCGTGGTGATAATAAAGAAGAAGGTTGGAGATGCTCAGTTGGTACAGGTAGCCAGGAGTCAATGCATAGGGTCAATATTTGTTTCTTTCGGTCTATTTTGAAAGAGTGTCGCTGACTTTGATGGCCTCGATGCGCTGAATGTTATAAATCACTGATAGGCGTTTCAAGCGATTTGTGACTCAGATGATAGTATATTGCTTGAGACTCCAACCTATGCGTACGTGTTTACGTTTCTTGACCGTATCCCAGCTCTGATTATACTTATTCTAATCGCCATGAACCACGATATCCCCGGTGCAGAGGTGTCTTGGGTTTCCTTCGACCACTGGGTGCTAACCTGATAGGTATTCAATCCTTATACAAAATCTCTTATATATTTCACGTCTGACTGAACTTATGCATCTAATCATACTACTTCAGAGCTCCCAACGGACGCAAACGGTATCATGGATCAACCCTTACAATCCATTCTTGAAAACTGGTATACGGATGAAAAGACCAAGTCATTGAAGTTCCCCAAGGCGATCTATGCCTGGTGCGTAAATGCCGTACTTCAGTTTTGATATCTGAGACTTAAGGCAACCTGGCTGATTATTCAAAGGTCTGAACAATTGTGGTTCGCAACTCAGTCCAACAGGTTCTAACCCTACAGGAGCAACCGCCTCTCCGGAAAGAAAAAAGAAGATACTAAGTTTGGTCAGGAAATTCGACTTACTACTATTTGAAGACGACGCATATTACTATCTTCACTTCGATCCTCCAAACCGTGCTCCAAGTTATTTCGAGCTTGAGAAGAGCGAAGGGGGTCAAATCGGCAGAGTTCTCAGATTTGACACGTTGAGGTAGATACTTTCTCCAAACTTAGTCAAGGGATTTGCGCTGATTCATTTTGTGATATCTTGCTCAATTGACGCTTTTGCCGAAAGTAAAATAATGTCACCTGGTGAGTTCATGATTCCTTGATTTTAGGACCCATTGAAATATTTGGAGGATTAATCAAGCCATTCAAATCGTATTCGTAGGTATGCGCTTGGGATTTGTCACAGGTCCGGCAAAAATAGTGGACATGATGGGTAAGTGGATATTCATTATGATGTTTTTATTTAGAATTCTTCTTGATAGGTTTGTTTTCTCAGATCTTCAAACGGCGAGCATCAACATGCAACCTTCAACCTTCACCCAAGCCATCGCCTTCAAGGTCTTATCTCATTGGGGTTATGATAGATTCATTGATCATTGTTATAGCGTGGCTAAACTATACCAAAGAAAGTCTCAAAGCATCGAAAAAGCCGCAAGGAGACATTTAGATGGTTTAGCTGACTGGAGCCCCCCTCGAGCCGGAATGTTTTTTTGGTTGAAACTCAATATTGCTAAAGCAGGCGAAGACGCAAAGGTAGATTCAAAAGCATTGATGATGTCCACCGCTTTGAAGAATGGTATACTCGCAGTTCCAGGATGTGTATGTTGTTAAAACCGTTTGTTTTATCCTCAAATTGAAGCTGACATTCATCATCATGAACGCTTCCAGGAATTTATGGCTAGTGGTAAAAGTACTGCTTATGTACGAATTAGCTTTAGTATTGTTGACGAAAAAACTGCCGATGCCGTAAGTGAATTTACATTGATGATCTCCCTTCTCTCATGAAAATTGAAGTTTCTTTCCTTCTTCATTTGCTTAGGGGCTCAGCCGATTGGCACGTACAATCAGAGAGGCAAGAGGCGAAATGGGGTTGGATCACTGAATCTGGCAAACAACATTTGTAGCGCTTGAATTGAGTCTCAGCGGCCCATCGCGCTTCATCGTCTTGTTTTGTTGTCTCTTACTACATAAAATTGTGCAAAAATGAGGTTTCCAGACCTTGCATGTCTACTTCCACCTTTGCTCCGAATTTTTTTTTCGTTCCAAATGAAATATATAAGTTCATGTCATCGTCGATGTGTTGGCGTTGGTAAACCACTGCATTTCATCGAGTTGAGTGCGGGTCAGAGGAAACGTTCGTCTCAAGTAAGCCAATGGAAAAATGACGTGAAGTAGGGGCAGGGCAATACACTTCTCTGAGTGTCAAGAGGTGGTTCTGAAGTGTGCAAAATCGTGATGCGGCTGAACATAAATTCAAGAGAGAGGAGTAATTTACAACATTTTGCCAAGAAACCCTCTCCATGTTAGTACTACAATATGCATTCGACGGTATTGTTACAATAGCTTTTGCTAATGGGACCAAATGACGAGTGAGATACATTTATGGGTGGTAGGCAATCACCACGGGTGTAAAGCTGAATACAATTGATGTTACAAGTGCAAACCGAAGGGTAGCTGAAGAAGAGAAAATCCATCGATGAATGAGTTCCAATATGTTTTTCGAGTTATGACAAAGTGGAAGATGGACTATGCGAGTGTTCACTTGCGATGCGTTGTTGTTGTGGGCGATATCCAGCGCCTCAGTGAGTGTTTGCAATTCACAGGACAAAAATCTGTGACCCAGTTTTGAAGTCCAGATAGCACCTCTAGTTGTCTGTGAGAAACAGTTTTTCTACAAAAGGACGCGTTGAAGACATCAGAACTAGAACATATACATAGTGAGAGCATTGGGAGTTCTCTGGCTCACCGTCATCGGATGTCTCCTGACGAGTGACAAACCACATTTTCGATTTTCGAACTCTTTTGCGCCGTTCGGCATTGATGTTGTAGCCACCTGACTCGCCAGTGAAATCGTGATTTTCGGGGATCGCTCGCATCGTTTGGACTAACCAATAGCAACCCATGATGAACAGGCCGGCAGCGAAGCCGCATAATGACAATGTTAAATTGGCTGGAAGGATCAAGGCAGATGCCATGGTGCTGTTTCAAAAAAGCGCGGTATATAAATTCTGATAAGCTGATGTGGTGAGACAGAAAACGAGTGGCTTGAACTTACGAGGCATGCGTATACGGGTATTGACGGGCCAGATGTGACGGTAAAGTAATATCGAGAATCATATTTTTGGTGACTTGGAGATGGTAAAGGCAAGGGTAGTTGTTATTGACAGAAAACAAAAGGCGTTGAACATACGAAATCAAAAGAGGAAACTTGCAGGGTGGTAATTGACAAATCGATGATAGCATAGAAGTTTAAAGAGAGCCTAACAGGGCAAGCTTACCCGATTGATCAGTCAACTAACTAATTTGTCCTGTGAACCAACAAAATGTTATACGGCCAGCCGATGAAACTTGTAAAATCGAGATGAACAGGAGGCCTACGTTCAGACTGACTAGTCAAAGCAGCAAGAACCAGCAAGGACGGGGAGGACCGACTTTCAACTAGATTCGTCATATATAATTGTTGACGAGGTTAGGCAAAGTTAACTTGAAAGCTTGCCAACAGATTAAATTTGTCGAGCAAGGGTTCTCTTCAAAACTCTACTAAGAGTCTCACTATGTCAGTTAGTAGTCGATCACCGAGGCGGCATCACCAGCTCAGCAGTGTATCATAGCGAAGCTCGTTGCCAACAAATCCGTAGTCCTGAATTCGGAGACCCATTGTTTAAGCTTGCTTATCCATTTTCTGGTTCAACGCGGGGACGAACTCTGTAATGAGCTTACTGGGATGGTTACCGAATAAATTCGCGAAAAGGGTCATAAAGCCCACGGTTTCCTTCTCAATTCCCCTAGTCTCAATCAGTCCTGGACATCATCATCATCATCATCATCATCATTTGTGAAGTGAACGATCGACTCTCGAAAGCTTCTTTTCTAATTTCACCTCTTCAGTCAAATCTGTAAGTCGCTCTTCTCTCAATCTTTTGAGTACCATCACTTACACAACGCTCTTAACCCTCGCATCGATAACAACATTGTAGTTTGTACGTCTCAAGCCCATCAGTCTACACCCTTCCGAAAGAACCACACCTCAAGCCACAAAACATGCCTCGCAGACGCAATTCCGCCCCTACCTCTCTACTTCTGGTATCACCCACAAAGCCTTTGATTCGAGGGGCACCCAAATTCGTCATCCCTTCACCACCGTCCACCCAAGCAATCCATTTGGCCGAGCACCATCGATCCAAGCGCTTCGAAACTAAGACCAATGTCGGACCACTGAAGGAAATGCCCAAGTTAGAATTTCCTGTCGGCGTCTATGGATTCAGCCCGAGCAGCACGACACCTACGAATCCGAACTTACTCGTAGAGCTCCATTCTGCGAAGCTTGATAGTTATTTCATTCCACAAGGCCAATACCCGTGATTTCTTACGTCGATGTTCAGCCATATCCGAGCGATCGATAATCTTCCAATCGTTTTATGTTACTTTCTTTTGGAACAGTCAATTGATAGATCTCCGTGTCTGAGGCCAGCAGGGCTAATTATTTTCCTGGTGACGTCTTCAACATCTTACGGGTCATTTCTTTTGGGCGGAAGACGATTTCATTCGTCGGGATAAATACAATTCTTTTCATCAGTTCGGTCTTAGTTGTAATTCATACGGTGGCTGGGCATTTGGTTTTTTGGTCTTCTTGTTCGAGGTCTGAGCGGAACTGGATTCCATTGTAGAAACATTAATATTCTCAGTTTCGCTTCTTTGTGCAAAATTCACCCTAGACGGGCAACGTTTCAAAGTTTTCAAGCTCTTATGGGGACACTCGTTTCTGCGAACGGCCAATTCACTTTTCATAGCTTCCAGGGACATGAATGTTTCCTTTGACCAGGTAAACAATCTCTGTCCCACTTGAATTTGCATTTCAAGCAATCCATGAGCCCTTAACATTCTCATCTTGTTGAAAACCAGAATAACAGTGCTGTCTGTCATAGACTGCATATAACTTTTGTAACCTCACATTTTTCCATGACCCAACCTTGTCAGGCTACAGTTCCTGGAAAACTGAATGAATCTGAAAACAGTCTTGTAACATTTTTGAAGTTTGCAGCATGTAAAACACAGAATGAACATGCACAGGTCCATTTTGAAATCATCATCAAGCTTCCCATTTCAAATCCTTGACCCACGGAGCAATGATCATCAATCCAATCTTTGAAGCTAGCATCTGATTAGCTCCGTCAAGAAGCCAAGTTGATGTCAACATTCCAAACATTAAGCAATGGCACCACAAACTTGGCAAGGACGTCTTCCTTATGAGAGCAACAAAATCCAGCATATGATGATTGATTGATCTGGGCATCATTTTGGTTAACAGAAAAGTCTTGTCTTATATCTTGAGGGGGATGTGGTTAAATAATCTTCTGTTGTAAATGATGTCTAACAAATCCCAAGATCCACAAACTCTAATGAGATGATGGGCATCAGCTCATTGAATGGATGAGTGTACTTGGAAGGTTCATTGTGCAATTATGGACAGGAAAAGACCTGGAACAAACTCACCAATCAATCTATAGAGTTACTCACTCTGGATAATATCATCCAGTGAATGACAGGTCAACCAGTATGGAGCAGATGGAAACTTTTGAATCAGTCAAATATGGGGATCACAAACATTTTTTAAACTACTGTATGTGTTGCACTATATCATTCACCACATTGAACAGTTCAAATTCCCTGACATATGAAAACCAAAAGTCAGTGAACAAGCTCTCTTATTTTGGAAATGAAAAAGCCTTTATTCCTCAGGTTTGAAAAGCTTTTGTACTGTAAAAAGGAATGTTGAGGGATGGAGCTCACAATCATTCCAGTCGTATCTGGACAAGGGATGGAGAGGGATAGATGTAACTTCTTTTTGAGAAATGAACTATCCCAACCCAGGATGGAGTATAGACTCCTCAAGTTTGTCCTACCAGTTCTGCATACCTGAGTATCACCTGAGTCTCAGATAACTTTCATTTGATGACATAAGAATTTTGGTGGTATGTTGGGAAGAAAGGTTGCATGAAAGACTTTTGAAATGATTTTGCAATTATGTTGAAATCCATCAACTAGATCAACATTGAGGTCCTTGGGAGCTTTGAAGTGCCACATACAAAGTGACACTTTATCAGATTGGGAATTAGATATGGAATTGTAGATATGATATTATGCACTGATCACCTTGAATTCAGGCTCTTGGGAAGGTGCTTGGCTCTTCTTGTGCCTTGTTTGAACCAAAGTTGAATGCTTTCTCTTCTAAGTAGTTGGTTTGTCCTTCTTCTTGGAGTTTGATTTGATTTGGTTGGTGTGGGGTTTGGGGTTTGGGAAGGGTCCTGTTGTCCATCAGACTGACATAATTGTTTGTCTCTGTTGTTGACATCATCATCATTGAAGGAGTTGATGCTAGTGTAAGTGACAGGTTTGGCTTGCCAAATCAAAGCTGCACACAAGTCCCCAGAGGTATCCTCAATTGGAATATGGAGATTGAGAAATCAAAAGAAAGCGAACAAAGAGAAAGACTACTTATCATTTTGATCCAAATGGTACATGCCTGCCTCATCAATCCAGCAAGACATTGCACAAATAGAGACATTAAGACCCCGTGTTAGGAAAAGTGAGTGGTGGTAATTAGGGGAGATATTGCACAAATGGAGATTAGGACGCTGCATGAGAAAAATTGGGTGGTGTTATTATAGGTTGGACAACATGTCCAAGATTATGGGAATAGCCATAGTCAACCATATTGACTACGGGTTTTTTCACATGCACTGCAATCCATTTGAGCTGTAATTGTAAAAAGGACCATAACTGCATTTGACTTTCAAGCATTGTGGTACAGAGGTACTGTAGTGTTGAAAGGCTGGTGACAGTACGGTTTGGGCAGTAACATACTGTACCATTGACCATAATCATTGCGCTGAGGTCTGAAATTTGAATCCAGTGCCAGTTATGAAATACTTTAGAAACATCTCAATCTGTATCCAAAAGAGCACTAGATACTCTTGAATCTACAGTGCCATAATTTTCAGAGTTATCAAGATCAACTCAGGTATTTTGTAAAATATCCTCTTTCCTGAAATAGTTTTGAGGTTCTTCTACGATTGACCTTCCAAAATTCCAAAAACTCATCATGTATTTGCAAAAACAAAAAAGTATCATATGCCTTCATGAAAATGAGGCACTGGAAAAATAATATCATGCCCCCCACTTCTCTTGTAGTTAGCACCAGAATTTGGAACAGACATTTCCAGACATACTAAGGAAAAATCAGGAATGTCTTTGACAGGTGTGTGTAAGAGGTGCAGAATACAACAAGCAAGAACAAGAAAACAGATGCTAAATAATTGATTCAACATCAATTGATATCCACTTAAATAAAATACAAACATCTATACCCACTTTCTCATAATTCCAATTAACATATATTGTATCCTCTTACTCAAGTTCAACATTCTCAACTCATTTTCATTCAGCATTCACAGAATCATCCACTTAAATAAGAAGTTGAAGAATTTCAACTATTTTTTATTCAACAAGTTTTTAACAGGCAATATGGTGCAAGACACCAATAATAATAAAAAAGTTTATAGAATCTTAGAATTCTACACAAGACCACAGTTCTTGAATTGGTGAGCGTTTGAGATTCTCTCATCCAGAGCTTCTCAAAAGTATCTTTCTAAACCAATTGTACACCTTTTTTTGACCTTTTCATTTGAAGGATTCATTTAATTCAAAGAGGTGAGCTTGACATGTAAAAATTCTCTAGCTTACATAGCTCTTGTAATTTTCAATGAATCACTCTAAAAAGCTACTTTTGAGAAGCCCTGAATGAGGGATTCTGGCAAGTACCCTTAGCTCCTCACCAAGTCAAGAACTTTGAACTCACATAGAATTTCAAGTTTCTTTGGGTTTTTCCTTATCTTTGGTGTCTTGCACCATATATGATTAACTTGTTGATTTCAAATGGGTTTAAATGTGTCATGTAATTTGGAAAGTTTACTCATTATCTAATTGATCCAAAAGGTTTAAGAATCACAACTTGTGCCAAACAAACTGCTTTTGAGCCAGTCCAATGACTGTACTCTTGATGGTAGGCTGTATTTGGCAACCTCATTGTGAGTGTTTGAAGGGAGAATGTTTCTTTAAGGATTTCTTCTAACCCAAACAGTAGTACATATGGTTATTTGCTCTTTAGTTGGTTACAGAATACCACTTTGATCAACTGTTACTTGCCCAGAACACTGGGCCATCACTGACTTGATGACTGGGTGAGCTGTTGCATTTCAAGGGATGATAACGGCTAAAGAGGTAGAGGAGCCTGACGAGCTTTGTTAAAGATTTAAGCCAATTTGTCTTTGCATAGCTTGATGCTTTATGTCTCAAAGGAATATGTTGTTGCTTACCACTCAACAAGAATTTCTCACAGGTTATGCAAGTTACACTATATCAAGATATGAGATATAACCATCATATGTTTTATTTTGCTTTGTAACCCAGAAAAACGCATGCATAGAGATCAATTAGAGCGATGAAAAGATCAACATCCAGTGTCAACCTTGGATATTCAATCATCAAGTTCTCATCTATTCTTTCAAGAAAAAAAAAAGTTTGGATAACAAAATGAGATCAATAGGATCAACTGTTTGCAACAACAACAAAAAAGAATCAAATTCATTCATTCATTCTACAATTCTTCTTGAAAAATACCCTCATCTTTTTCATAGAAAAAAAAATCATCCTTCTCAAGCTTATCAAAACACCTACACCTTCATCAAAAAAGACAAACAAATCTTTAAAAAAAACAATTGATATAGATTTTATAAGGAAAATTCCATGGTCTGTTTTTTTTGTCAATTAAGATGAGAAAAGTTGAAATTGTTTTATTTACGTTGATATAATGAACTAGAATTAGGACTACTATTTTGAGAAGTTGAAATTTGTTGATACATCTTTTTAGATGAAGAGAGTAAAGTAGGATCATCATCAGAGTATAAAGTTCCTTTTTCAGGTGATCCGATTCCTTTTTCATTTATCGTTTTACTTTCAATGGGTTCTTCTTCACATTCACTACTATTGAAAAAAAAACAAAGAAGGAAAGTTTTCTCAATATCAATCAAGAAGGTCAAGAGAAGAGAAATTGGAACGAACTCTGAATCTTCTCGTTCGTCATCTGCACCGTTTCCAATCACTACATTCCACATGATTCTTAAAATCAAAACCAACCAGAAGAACAACAAGACTTCCAAAAGGACCAAGAGTGCTAAAAAGACTACCCATAAATTATATGTGGCCAATCTACCTTCACTGAGATTGAATTCAAATGTGATATCTTGAGGTAAATGATAATAGATTGCCCAGATGATTTTCGCAAAAACGTAATGTCTTGTGTAAATCCATGAGGCTACAAAGACTGCAAAGACGCTATCACAGGCTACTCCTCCGCCTACATAGTTCAACATTTTGGCAACCTAGAATTGGCAAGCCGGTCAGTATACGATGGATAACTAAGGATGTGATTCCTTTTAGACTTACAAAAAGGATGATGTCTGAGACATCCATGGTGACATGGATGGCTGTACCAATACCAGTAAAGTTGACAGCATAACTACCGCAGACTAGAAGGATAGTGACGATATGATCTAAAAACACAGCATGTTCAAATAAGTAACTCAAACTCGGACCCGGGAGATATGGAAAAAACTTACGAGCAAGCATCTGGTAATGATCTTTTCTGGGTTTCTCCAAGTTCAAAACGATTAACTGTTGAATCCAAAAAGCAGCTTGAGCTAAATAATAAAATTTGGTAAGAGCTGGAATCGAATCATGTGGATAATCATGCCAATATTGTCGAATGTTTAATGAAAGGATTGGATAAGGAAATCTAGAGAGAATTTTCTTTTGAAGAACAAAAAAAAGAAATCGATCAAAGATTAGTGAGTTTTGAAATCTAATTGATTGTAAAATGAAGAAAGAAAATCACATACCACTCCTATACACCAAAAGACAATATAATAAATTAAATTCCAACCTTGCTCAGCAAATCTTTGTAATTTATTACGATCTTTAATTCCACCAAGTCTAGATCCAATAGGTTTCCAAAATCGAATTGATATTTCTCTTAAACTCAACCAAATCAATACCCAAAACCCAACAAAATAAATATCATCATTTCCTTTTAAATATTCACCTGATTTCGGATTGTAGTAAGAGAGATAAATGAATTTAGGAATTGGATTTTTGTATTGAATGGTAGGTAGTCGAGTTTGATAAGTTGAGAGAGTTTGGTTTGATGCATCTGATAGTTCTGGGAATGAGATGTTGAGAGCTACGATTAAAGTGATGATCGATAATGCAGTTGCTATTGTACCGCCACACAAAACAAAAAAATCGAAATTTAGTCAGATTCAAAGTCTTTTCAATTGATGATTTGTAAAATTTCAACCGTCACTTCAATACTTGAGTGATATTCATTCGATCTTGATCAACCGATCACAAAAAATGATGAACAAAGGAAATTTCTCTCAACTTAGATGCCAATCTACACAAATTTGTAAAAGTCCACGACGTGGTTTAGTAGCATAATGAATCACCCGATTGGACATCTCGTTTTTCGAGCAGAGGCCGGTTAAAGTCTGATCGAGTTTGATTTCTTGAAGAATATGATGCTTTGGAGGTGAAGAGGTGGTAAACAAGCGAATAGACCGAGGTATAAATAAGCTTCTTTTTTAAAATTTGATCCTTTTGTTTCGATTGTTCGATAGGATGGATCCTCCAATTCTTGTTGGTATGGTTGATAGGTTCGTTTGGATGATGCAAAATTTTCTGTGAATTCAATGTGAGCGTGAGAATGGAAAATATAAAAGATGGGAATTGGATGAGACAAAGTGATGGTTTGATGACTCACAGTGTAGCATACAAATAGGTAAAAATATATCCAACTGAAACTGTATGCTTCGATTCGATGATTCAAAAATTATATTACACTACATCATTGGTCGCAACAGCCGTGGTGGTCTAGAAGGGATTGGCTTCACTCGGTTGAAGTGGCGAATGATTGTGACCATGACCACTTGGTGAGATCTTCAACTGGTCATATCCATCGCTATGTCATCCTTGTAAATTAAAATACACAACAAACTGGACCAAGCATCTCTTTTGTCAATCGAACATAACCCTTCTCAAAAGAGTCTCAATGCTCCTCATTAGAGTTACCAACTCCGACGGTTGACTGATCGTAAACTTTTCATCAGCCTGTTGCTACCTCAAAAATTGTAACTCGATCCATGGCATGTAACGTGCAGTGCGGTGGGTATAATCATGGATTCGTGGTTTCAAGAACAAAGTATCATACCCCGCCTTAAGGTGTATGTAAGTTTTAATCCAGTTATGACTCATGAGTGAGTCAGGAGGGTTTAATCTAGTTTTGGGTCAACCAAGATAGCAGTGTTGAGCATTTCTCTGGTGCTTTTCATCAACACATACTTTTGTCTTTTATTGAGACCTGGTGATTATTCCCTGTTATCAAGACTTCAACAACAAAGTCAAAGATTCTCAGAAACAGTTTCAGACATCTTCTGTAGAGTTATCATACTTACAGATTATCATCTCTCAAACACTGTGTAGCCCTTGTTGTGCTATTAGCTCCACAGTGCTCGCTGGGGCCGGCCAATTGGTCCCAATTACCTCACCAGTCACCTGAGTTTGCAAGGAAGAAGTGTCTAACTGTGGGACTTGGTTTAGTTTGTCCACACTTTTAGCGCAGTGAGCAACTTATGACAAACTCATATGCTTTTGCCTGTGAGGGGAATGAGATTTGGCTGGACAAAGTTACTGTCCTTCCAAATCTTTTTCCCTATTTGTGAACTTTTGTAGACCTAAGAAACTTTCTGTTTGGCTCTCTGAGATGCTCAGATCTATGGAAAAAAATCTCGAGGAAAACATGGAATTCCCTCTCAGTTTGCTTCTGAAGTTTGAGATTTTGGACTGTCTTCAAATGTTTTGTCCTGTATTTGAAGATCAAGAGTGACTTGTACATACAGATACCAGGTGATTTTGACAAAAACATTGAGCTCCAGGAGCAAGTAGAGGAAGGATTCCTCGAGTTTTTTTTAAGGAATCAATGTGTCTCATAGAGGCAAACAGAAATTCCTTGCCTTGAGAAAATCTACAAATGGTGAAAAAAGGTTTATAGATATTCCCCAGGGCCACAGGCAAAAGTGTATGAGTTTCTAATAAGTCCCTTGCTGCACTTATAGTGTGGAAGAAGTAATGTGGGACTTTGCTGAGCTTGAAAGAAATTAGACATCTTCAGATGCCTGACTTCAGGATCATGTATCAAATTAACAAATTTTGGTTAATAAAGAGCAGCACTGCCAAAGTCCACTATAGAGTAGGACCCAGGAATCTGGGAAGCACCTATTGAGGTTTCTGATTAAAGTCCAATGTTTGAGGACATAAACCAGGTCAGATTCCAAAAAATCTGGATTCTGATATCCCACATCAGGAACCTCAACAAAAAACCCAAGTTTTTTTGTCAAAACACCTTGAATTACACAAGATCCCACCAACTTTGCCCCAGTCAAGGTTTTTCATCACAGATTGTGGGGAAATTGGAAAATTCCAACCATTTATTCCATGAGAAAGATATGTAGGGAAATCTCTGGAAAATGTTGAAAAACCTGATGTCAAATTCCAATGTTCTTCATCAGAAACCTCAATAGAAGCTTTCCTGGGCTTAAGGTCATTGGGAACCTTGTACCACTTTGACCCAGGACAGTGAAATCCAAATCAGAAAATTTGAAGTATTATGGCAGTGCAGTGAAGTAATAGAAATGCACAGGGTTTACCGTCACAAGATACAGATTAAAATTCAAAACATCCCAAGGATTTCCTGGCCTCAATCAAAGAATCCATCCTCATCAAGCATTTTCAAATCAATTAATGAGATATGGTGAGGGGACTGAATCACCTCCACCTCTCCAGTAACTATGTTGAGGCCCAATTAAATCATTGATAATCAGCAAATGCTTAATAGAATAGCAGCAAAACTGGATTTTTGATCAAAATGCACACCTGGCTTGGATCAACATACACCTGCTTTGAATCAAAGCATGACTGGATTTTGATTGTAAGCATTGAATGACTGGCTTTTAAGTGTAAGAATCAAATGATTTGTATCTTTGATGAATTCTTAATCAAATTAAATTGACATGTATAAGTAACAGTTATTGTTTCCACATACAGTCAAACCCGCGCAATTGCATACCCGCGCAGCTGCATAACCCGTGATAATGCATAGAAAAATTCCTCAATCTTGATGCTTTTTACTGCCAAATTTGACAACGGGATTGCATAACCCGTCAAAATGCATAGGAAAAGTCTTCCACCCAAATTATGTGATTGTGCGGGTTTGACTGTATGTAATGACCCTTTTGATTGTATCTCAAGCAAATACTTGATCAGATAAAATGTCAAAATTGCTTTTGTTACAATGCAAAACTTGCTTTGGTTGAACACATCACTTAATCTTCAGCATTATATCATCAATGAATTTGTTATGCACCTTGAATTTTTATCCTATTGCAATAAACTGTAACAGGTGTCATCTTTTGTCACATCACTTAGGCAAAAGTCATCCATTTAATGATCCTTATCACCGTCAAGGCACAGAAATTGACATGTTGGTTTTCAAAAACTTGTTTGAATGTGACAAACCTGATTGGGAGCAATTTTGGATTGGCAAGAGTCTGGGGTAATCCAAAAAGATAAGAGAAGGAAAAAAACACCTCTCAAAAACAGGTGCCACCTGGTGCCACTCAAAAGAAAAATCACACCATTCCTATGTGTCCCAAGGATCCTCTCAGGTAGTCTCAGAAAAAGACTGTTACCGCATCTCTTCAGTTTTTACCATTCTTCCCATATCAAATCTTGAATTCTTGCACAATATTCTACACTTGTGAACAAATGAATCATCAAATTCAAAACTGACTTGCCAGGTTTCCCAGTGGTAACTAAGTTTCACCTGCATTGTCCATGTGAAAAGGTGCAGCTTTTGTTACATGGGGGTGAGTGATGTAATAGGTTAATAGACATCACTTGATATATTGAACTTACAAATTGTTGACTAAACCAAGTCCCATCTTGCTTTCTCTCTGGAGCCTGCAGAGGCACAAAGTTCACTTTGACCTGGCAAAGTAGTGTGAACTCTTTGCACTGCTTTATTAGCTCGCAAGTGATATGCAGTAATGTGAAAGTTGAGTTACCTGAGTTTGTCAAAAATAAACTCAAGCCTCAGTGTAAAACATGGTCTAGAGACCATGACAATATTTGTGAAATCATTAATTTCAGTCTAGTTTTTTTTCTTATCTTAGTTTATGGATACTAGGTAAAAATCCTTGAAAGTTTAAATGGGTGCAGGAGGTATGAGCAGAGAACAATCACCAGTCTTTCTACTTGCCAAACTAAGATCCGTGATGTAAGCATAATTTTTCACATGTTCATGACGTGTCTGAAAGGGAGAAGGGTGAAACTTTGATAGCAAATTGCAACAGGGATCGTGAGTTGTCCATTAAATCATGATGAAAACACAACACACAGATGACAAATATAGAGAACATAAAAAACACACCCACAACTTATACACTACTCAAAGAGTGCATCAATGGTCAGTTTGTAGATAAGAAACCACTTCTAAACAAATGAACTTTGAAGTTCAATGCTAACTCAAAAGATAAAAAAACTTTGAAATACATCATAGAATCATAAAACAGAAGGGAACAATGTCGAGTAAGCAAATCTCGGCTTTGCAAATGGTTCAGAGCCACTTAGAGGATCAAGTGAAGGTAAACCAAGCAACAACACTGCCAATGATCTCAAAACGTATGAGAACAAACAATGTGGATGCTCAAGCACAAGGCGCAGCTGTACCCTCGATGCGCTCGACCAAGAGTGTTGCGGTTTGAAAGTTGTTAATGTTGGTTGGGTTTAAAATGTCTTCCACTCCAGGCTAAACAATGAAGAATGTAAGCCTAAGGGCGTTGAGATGAGATAAGGAACTGAACATACCTGGTTCTTGCATTCACCATACTTGTGATCGAGGACTTTATTCAAGGCTTCTGAAAGACCACTTCCAGAACTATGAACAAAGCTATGTAAGCAACCAAAGCGTCAAGCATGAGTACATGAATAACTTACTTTGCGATTGGGCCACCTTTTTTGGTTTGGATTGTAACCTAGTAGATAATATACCAATCAGTCAATACTTCAACTTCACAGGAGACCAGAACTGTTTGATCGAGGAAATCTCCATCAAAAGTGATCAGAAAAAACATTTACCTTACAGTGTCCACAGGATAGTACTTGTTTGTTCACGGTTTTGAGAACATTTCCTTTTGTATCGTATCCAATTTGTCCAAGGGCTCTACAGGTAGGAAGATTATCAGAAAAGAAAGAACGTATCCGAAGATGAGGTGAGACGAATAACAAGATAAACATAAAGAGAAATGCTTACTTTTGACACTCTTTCGGGTCGAGTTCATGCTTACAAGCTGCAGGGGCGGCCTTGTCGTCGATGTATTCGACCAACAGCGTTGCCGGTTGGAAACCTGCGATGTTGGTTGGGTTTTGGATGTCCTCCACTCCGGGCTGAACAATGGGCAATATAAGCCTCAGGATTCTAGGCTGAGGTAAGGAACGAACTGAACATACCTGGTTTTTACATTCCCCATTTTTGCGACTGACAATCCTGTCTAAGGCGGCTGAGAGACCACTTCCAGAACTATGAACAAAGCTATGTGAGAAAACAAAGCGACGAACATGTTTAGATGGTAAAACATGAAGTGACTAGCTTACGTTGAGATTGGGCCACCTTTTTTGGTTTGGATCGTGACCTGGGACACAAGAAACCGATGAATCAGTGATTGTTGGAACAAGAAAGGATTAACCGAGATGCTTGATCGAATGATTCCCATCAAAAAGACGAAGCATTTACTTTACAGTGTCCAGAGGATAGTACTTGTTTGTTCACAGTTTTAACAACATTTCCTTTAGTATCGTATCCAATCTGATCAATAGCCCTGTGAATAGAAAATTCATCAGAAAAGAAAAAAAGTACAGGAGGATGAGGTAAGATGACCAATAAAATGGGCATAATAAGAAATCCCTACTTTTGACACTCTTTGACGTCAATTTGCTTCTTACAAGTTTCAGCTTGAGCTACATTATAAGTGAAAGCTGCAAGGAGGATCAAAGTTTTAAGCAAACCTTGCATATTGTGAGATGAGGTGATAAAAAGTAGCAAAAGTTACGTTCTTGATGCGAGAAAGAATAAGGTAATAGAAGTTAACTTGGAGAAGGAATGGGATGAAAGAAAGAAAAAATGAGAAATCCTATGAGATTATATACTCAAATTATCTCATTGCAAAAATGGCTTTCTTCTGTCAGGTCATCGATTCCACTGGCCTTCACTCACTCACTCACTCACTCACTTGGAGGTTTGAGCGTGTAGATACCAGCGCCCAGCCTGAGATCTTTTTCTAGCATTTGTCAACTGATCATGAGATTATGTAACCAATGGAATCACGGCTTATTGGAAGAGCGACCCTCAACGCACAGGCTTAGATGTCCATAAGAGAAAGATGCGAGGCTTCCATAAGCCACGGAGCAAAAATCACCGAACGCTTTTGAAACATCCAGCGCGCAATTTCGAATGATGACTTGAGTTTCTCCGCGCAATCACGCGCGATCTTCGTCGTCCATCTATACATATGTACGCGCTGGCTCCTCTTCGAGACCTTTGCCAGCTCCAGATCATGCCAGCGGTCTGAGGGTCAACAGTTCAAATAAGAAGCTTTTGTCCAGACAATTTTTGAAACGTGATCTTAACCTACTTCAGATCCTAGTGATTTTCGGGCTCAGTGCCTCCGACATGATTTTGCTCCAGGGGTCTTAAATAGTAAGACCTGATTAGACTTCTTTCTTTCACTGGCAGAAGGATCCCTGGGGATGCGTATGCACTCCGTGACTCTGACTCTGAATCACCCGGTGCACACTCCTGCTCGAGCGACTAGTGTTTGAACAGGTTTGAGCCCTAGCAGAATCTGTGCGGATTACCACTCAAAACCATTTCTCGGGCTGGTTTTCTCCGAGGGTTCAAAAGCGAGAACACTTCATGATCTTCCAACCCAAGAGATGTTTGTTGGCGGTGTAGACTAAAGACTTTTAACTGAGCAGTATCAAGTTATTATGATCATGATCCATACTTGATTAAATACCTACAAAGGACAAATTCATTTTGCAAACCTTTCCATTTTAGATCTTGCTTTTCTTTTCTTTTTCAATTTATATGTTCTTATTTTGGGCGCTGAAGTTGTAAGGATGATTTGCTTGTGCTTCAGCTACTATACAACACAAAAATTTAACTAATGCAATACATGAAATCAAAAGCTCGTTAAATTAAAACAAAGCTGATGACAATACATTGATAGGAGAGGTACAAAGATTGTGATCAAAATGAAAACTCTTGGATGGAATCATCGCTGAGGTTACTTGAATTCCTTCATTAGGAAATGTCACTTGCACGTTCAATTTTCCTCAAATCTTACTTGAGAATTCGATTGGACTAATCATTAGAAGAGGAAAAAGTGATATGACCATCCGATTCTTACCTGCCAATTTGATGGTTTTGACCCTCATGACCGGTCAACAGCCCTTTTAGCGCAACATCTATCTCGCCCATGACATCATTCATATCTAGCTTTTCACCATGTTTAATACGAAAGTTCAAACATCGCTTCAAGTGTCCAATTTTGATATGTGGAGACGAGTCATTTTGTTAAATTGGTTGGATTTAAAAAGAACAGGTCTGGTAAAGTTAGATCATTGTTATTTTAGGGATTCATCGATACACACCAAAAGAAGCAAGAAGACTAATAAAAAATAATTGAGGATACATGCATCAAAATATATAAAAGATCGAGTTGTGGAGAATTATATATATACATACATCAACATTTTACAACGATCAAGATCTTAAGAAAAACTTGAAGAAAGAAAAAAGAAGAAGATCAAGAGATTCTCTTCATCGATACAAAGAAATATAAAAGAAATATCAAAAGAAACCCACATCAAGTCTAGTCCATCGAAATAGAAAAAATGAAAGAATGAAAAAAATAACAATAGAAATCTAAAACCGTAAATAAACCCTATATAAACCAAACAAAAAGTCAAAAGCACCACATAAAAAAAACTTCATACGAGAATTTAAAAGTGGTAATAGATGTTGGGACGTCTTAAGTGATCGTATGTCTCACATCTCTAATCCATCCCTGTTTTACATCCAACATCCTTTTCGGGAAACCCATCTCAAAGTGATTTCCAGACCTAAATCAAAAAATTCATAAATCAAAATCGAATCAATAAACTGATCAAAAGGTAATCTACGCGCAAGAGATTTGATTTACTTTTTGAACTTTCTTTCGAGTTCTTAATAAGCCTATCCTAAACTCAAGTTTCAAAGATTCAAAACCGCGTCTAAAGCCTTTGATGGTGATAGGTGAAGATGGTGGTGGTGGTTTTTCAGGAATCGTATTTGGTATCGAGTGTGGTTGTGACCAAAGATTGAGTGGAGGAGGTGTACGAAGAGATTCAGTGATGCTTGAATCTGAATCTGAATCTGAATGATCAGATCTCCATCGACGATGGTATGCAGGTGTTGTCAAGGGGAAATGACAATCTAGATGGATGAGTTTGTGAAACGATGATGAATTGGGTCAGTAAGATATTGAAGAATGATAAGGAGAAGTATTCAGAAAACTCACGTTCTGGATCATGTTCGATACCTTCGTGATCGATAAATACATTTCGATGGTATGAGTTTGATGAAGACCAACTACGTTGATGATTATGTCTTTTATGTTTGAGCTTTGCTTTATCGAGGATGATCATGTTCAATAAGCCTTCTTGATTGCTTCAAGTTGACTTGATTGTTTTGATATAGAGACAGTGTCTATGATTGATAGTATGTAGTGAGAAGAGAGGGGTAGAAAAAACCTGTTTGAAAGGCTTAGGAGGAGGTTTACAAGCTAGAAGTGGGGATCATAGGAGGATCGATCGAAGGAGAGGGGTTTTTAGTACGGTCACTGAGGATCTTGATTTTATCAAAACTCAAATCAGACGGAGAATATCTTCAAAGACTTACAAATCGTAACACACACCAATCGAAGAGCTGCTGATGTGTAAATGTAGTTTTTTTTCTCTAGATGACCTTTCTTTGATGAAGATTAACAGTCAGCTCAGCTCAGGAATTCCACACACAGCTTGGCCCAAAGATTCATGCCTGTGATACTTGCGATTAACATCAGAGATGCAAGATACATTTAACCATGTGGTGTGGGGACAAAAAAAGAACTGTACGATCGGTGAAAGCCGTATAGGTTCAAAGAGAAATCGACAAATCACGGCGGGAGTTCAGGAACGTCACCAGTGCAAAACGTCAGAAAACGTCTCCATAACCGGCGTCCTCCGACCTCTCCACAGCCATCATACAGATCAGGACTGATCAGGAGCGCGACGCCACAGGACGACAAGGGCGTGCACTTGGGTAATGTAAAAGCCAGGGTTCAGAGTAGTGCACAATCTGGAGAGCAGTTTCTGCAACTTGATGGCCAGCAAGAGCCCCAGAATCACTGTTTGTCCTATACACTTCTGGCAGCTTCTGCCATGTTGACTTATGGATCTCAATGTAGACATTTTTTTGGAGAGGGTAGCAACAACATCTGACCCGCTACGCTACGCACCGCTATAACCGACATGTTCCATTGCGTTGTGGTTTATCGTCCTAATCGCAATCACAACACAATTCATAAACTAGTGCTATGGTAAGCTCCTCGCGTTGTGGGATGCCAGAATACAACACAATGCTCACTTGAGATTTAGGCTCCTCACAGTGGTCAGAGTCGTGTTGACACGGGGGGCAAGGCTTTAGGTGAAATAGAATCTGATATTAAGAAAAAACACAACTTTAAGAGCAGTTTACAAAGCAATTGATTTCAAGTAAAAAGGAACAAGTGTAAATTTGAAGTAAAGGAAAAGAATAATTGTAAAATAATAAAACAAGTTGGTAACAAAGCAATTGTAAAAAGATAATTTTAAAAAAAAAACTGGTAAAAAAACAAGTGTAAAGAAACAAAAAGTTAAATAAAAAAAGAAGAACAATACATAAATAAAATTAGTGAAGAAATAAGGAAAAAAAGAAAATAAACAAGTGTAATGAAAGATAAAGAGTATAGTTGAAAGATAACTTAGATTTCCTTTGCCTTTTTATTGGCCAACTCCTTGTCCTTGACCAAAGCCTTGCCAAAGGCATAAATGCCTCAGAGAATCTACCACCATTGTCCAAACATTCAGCTTTCAACCATTCACAAAGATGTACAAGCCTTGTGAATGGAGAGGGGGATAACACTCCTTGTGTCAGTGTGGCTAAATTGGCTGCAGAGGAGAAAGTTTGTTCAACTGAACAAGTTTTGGCAGAGACTGAAAGGTAATCTCAAGAGAGGGTTGCAAGGATTAGGTATTTCTTTAGTTGCCATTCTTAAAAATCTTCATCATTCACCCTTGCAGAAGGATAACTTTTGAAATTATGATGTTCATCACATTGTTTGTACTTATTGCACCAAGATGGAATTCCCATGCCCGTGTGGTGTTTGCTCGTCAATGAGCGCACACAAGTTGCCTTTGTGCCTCAAAGGAAGTCTGTGTGCGCTTGCCGTTGGGCGACTGCCACAAGGACATGGTGGAAAGGGCCCATATATCAGGTCCAGGTTGTTTGCCAACAACCGCGAATCACAGGTCACCTGGCCGCATACAATCACAGCCACAAGTATTGATGGAGGGTGATTATCACTGATGATGTCATGGTCTTTCTCTTGACTTTCTTTTTACTCACTTCGCTCAATATCAAAACTTCCCAGATCTCTTATCTGCACCAAACAGCAACGCTGGACCAATTACGCTAAAAAAGCGTTAGTGAAGCTGTTAGTGTAACTTTTTTGCGCAGCTACACCAACGCTTTCCGTTAGATGTGGTGATCTACACTACCAGGTCCCACCATTTGTGATAACTTGGCCCCGCTACGTTTGTAGCGTTAGCTGCAATTATCCATCTACGTTACCAGAGATCAAGATTTGATCATGAGCCGTTAGCTTGTTAGCTTACCCCTGCGCTACTTTTAAGGACTTTGCCTAATGAAGGTGAAGATTGCTGATGTAACAATCCATAATCAACTCTAACCAACTCATAGGTTCTATGAGTAGAAGATGAGAAAATCATGTATATGTGTACCCCTTCAGCCCCAACGTGTTGGGTCACATCAGCCTCACACCTCCTCTCACCATCCTTTTGTTCGAACCGGTGTGGAAAGACCCCAGTTGGTCATACTTTCTTTCCCTCCTCCAAAAAATTCCATCATCGCTTTGCCATGGAGGTAACCTCTTCTCAGAGGAGCTCTCAAAGCGAAGCTCCTGTTCCTTCACGTCGATCTAGTCGCATAATAACCCCAATCAAAAACACCTCCATGATTAGAACGGCTCCTGATAGCCGTTCTTCCCTTCATCGTGAAAAGTCTCCTTCTTTTGTTGCTAGTAAAAGTAAAAAGAGACGCCGAAATGATTTATCCGAGCCTGAATCCCAAGCCGAATATTCAAATAAGAATAAGAAGAATAGGCAACAATCAACTCAAGAAGGAAGTCCCGAAGTTGAACCACTTGTAAGTCTGTTGCTTCCCGTCCATTCTTGTTTCATCTTGATAAATCTCATATCTTCCTTTTCTTTCATGTGTACCAATTGAAAAAGGCTAAAGATCCAACGGAGGTGGATCTCACTCGAGATTCTGACAATGAAAATGACCGAGTTCGTCAGCCAGCCCGTCCCAAGAAATCCAATTCTGAGGGACCTGATGGATATGAGAAACCGAGTTTTTTTTTTGGTCCGCCTTATCACGAGAAGGATGATGTGAGTTCCCCTCCCATTCTTTGATGTTTTGTTTGTTAATTTTTGACATGTATTGATGATGATGATGTGTATCATGTTGTCTTGTTCATAGGACAAATCCTTGAAACCTCTTTCTTACGATTGTTTATGGTGCAAGAAGAGGTCGCGTATTTCATTAACATCCGACTCAAACCTCAAAGTTCACCGTGATGGGTCATCGCAGGCTGGAAGATCTGGAGTCGGGTGTCCAAATCGAGCCTTAGCCATCAACGCTGGTCACAAATTACCGCTATCCGTGTCTCAGCAACGTGCTCTTGAGAAATCAAAAAAGAAAGACTCTCAGGCCTCGATCACCAAGTTTATCGGTCGAGACAAGTTTGATAATCGGGTTTTGAATCAGTTGCTTTCTATGTGGCAGGTACATCATGCAATACCGTGGTTAAGAATTCAGGACCCGTTACTCAAGGCTGCATTCAAATATGCTCGATCCGACACCAAGCTGTTTGGACGTAAGTGGGCTGCTGACGAAGCAAACCGTATGTACCTATCTTTACGCACATCTGTGGTAGACGAGCTCAAGGTGTGTTAACTTACTTTCCCATCTTATCATGAATGTTTCTGACTCTTTGTGTTTGTGATCGACACAGGCTTTAACCAGCAAGTTTACAGTTATCCACGATGTGTGGACTACTCGAGGAAATCAATATGGTTTTATAACTGCTTCAGTCACCTACATCAATGATGATTGGAAGTACGTTGTACGGCACCTCACTCTGAAGTGCATCCCTTGGCACCACAAGGGGGTTTGGCTAGCACAACCTTTGGCTAATGTGTTCTTGAAACATGGCTTGAGCCATAAGATCAGTTCTTTGATTTACTTGTAATGAAATTGATTATCAGTGATAGCTGATATTTTGGGGCTAATTACTTTTTAGCTCAGACAACGGACTCCGGTTCTAACAACAACACAATGGCTGTTGAGATGCATCGGCTTTTTGAAGAAGCCTCAACCGACGATGACCCCCCGATCGACTGGAAACCTGAAACGATTTCCATTAAGTGTTTCTGTCACATCTTACAGCTTGTAGTAAACGGCGGGTTGAATGCCCTTGGTATCAAGACTGTTGCACCTCGAGCAATCAAGCGGGCCACATTAGGCTCCTTCCCCCAGATCAACACCCTTCCAACTATTGATGGGGAAGTTGAGGCCAACAACAGCAGCAACGATGATGAACCCGACGAAGACGAATTCCCAGATTCAACAGAACAAACTGAAGAGGCAGCCTGGGACACTGCTGACCGACTCGATGATGAGTTTGAAGAGATTCAAGGGGCTCCTGATCCTATTCCAAATCCTACCGAAGGATCTCTGGGTATTGACATCTTCGACTCGGGTGTGCGCACCTCAGTCTCAGCTGAGACTCTCAACAACATTCGAGAAAAGGTATGTATAAGAGATATTCAAATTGAGATATCTCCTTGAAGCTGATCAAAAGTTGATCTGAGCAGGTGAAATGGATCTGTAGGCGTATTACAAGATCTTCATCGTGGCGTGCAAGCTTCAAACGAGTGGCCGAACGACTGGATGTCAAAACTCCCATGATCATACCCGGCTACGGCATTCGTTGGGGTTGTGAATATCAAGCGCTTGAAAAAGCTTATAATGCCCGATTGGTAGGTCATATACTCTTTTTCATATACTTATATTATGATTGAATTGATCTTGTCTATTTTCTTGCACCACTAGGTTATCGATCATATGCTCAAAGAGGACTTAGAGCTCGTATTATCTAAAAACCGACGTCGCCGTGAAAACGGAAAACCTCACGGTTATTTTCACGAAAAACAGATGGCACCGTTCGAATGGGCCGCACTACGATCTCTTCTTGATGTTCTTGAGGTATGTACATCTGAAAACTGTGTATCGATGATTTCCAGCTGATAAGAATAAGCCCAACTCCGACTACTAGCCGTTTTTGCACATCACCAGGCAAATGGAAGGTGATGCGCCAACTGGAGCTTTAGTGTTGTCTGAGTTTGTCGAACTTAAGACACAGCTCACTGAAAAATTGGCATCTTGCCGCGAAGGCGAAGGGATCCATGTTATGCTCACAGCGATGTTGAAGAAGACATCGACATACCTTTCGAACGCTTTAAAATGCGAGACACTCGTCATGGCCGCCCTACTCAATCCGATGCTTGGAATTGAATTTTTTCGATCACAATTCGACGATCCTTCAGTGGCTATTAATGCGGAAGTTACACTCTCACAACTTTACAATGAACGCAAAGAATTGGTGAAGGAAGTATCCATCATCAATCCTATAGTGACTTCCCAAGCTCCCTCTACTCAGACTCAAAATCGAACTCGTGTCTATCGAACTTCAAAAAAAGATCCGATTACAGACGTTAATGAGCTAGAGGCTTATTTCAAGGATGAGGATTATATACCTGAGGATCAAGCTCATGATCCTCATAGCATTCTTACTTGGTGGAAAGTAAGTAACTCTCTCAACTAATTAATCTGTCTTTCTCCTCCAATGTACTTATTTAGATACTTCGGCTAGAACAAGGCAGCGAGATATCCTGTTCTAGCCTCACTCGCTCGCGACTATCTCGCTTGCTGCGGATCCTCGGCACCTGCAGAACGTACCTTTTCGGCTGCAGCAGATGTCTGTGCAAGCGATCGAGGATCGCTTTCAGCGTGGAATATTGAACGGCTTGTAGGTAGTCGAATGTGGCTACGCGGTGGGGTCAAATTGAGTGGACAAGAATGGGTTGAACTTCAAGCCCTTGCTGAAATGGCTTACGGCAAAGTTGATTGACAATCTTTCAGTTATGTTAGTTGTTAGTGCGTTTTTGTAACGCACTACGACTGCGTTTTTGCAATTCAAAAAATCATGTTAGCTTGTTCAAGGCACGCTAATGCAGAAGCGTTAGCTTACGGTCCCCAAAATAACGTTACTGCGTTATTATATTAACTTGTTCATCTTTGCTATCCGGATGGGTCCTGGTAGCGTTGAGTAGCGTAGTGATCCAGCGTTGCTACATAACATGCATTACAAATGCTTAATGCTTTTCCACAGCGCTTGTCACACGTCTCTGGCGTGTTTTTTTGTGACTTTTGGGCAAAAAGAGCCTCTGCCATACAGGAGAAGTGGCTATCAAGTCAACAAGGCAAGTAGGTACTTGATAGTGACCGGGTCCGAGAAAGATGAAGTCTGAGTCTTCACAGGGGGGTGTGAAGAGGTAAGCAATAAACTTTGCAGGAATATGACTGAAAGTCCATTCATTTGGCCGCTCTTGTTGATGAGCTGCTTGAATATTCGTCTGGCCAGGATGGTATTCATAGATTTCCAGTGAGACATAGGAGATGTTGGCACGTGAATGAGCCTCTGAAACCCACGCATGCTTTCCTGCGTTATGCTCAAAGATAGCAAGGACACGGCCAAGATAGAAGTACTGCTCCAAGAGGAAACCAAAATGGTGTTAGTTTATGTCAAGCAGTCATAGGAATTTGAGACTACGTGCTTACATCTTGCTTTATCACTACAACCCATTTATCTTTAACAAGTGGAGTTTTGGTCGTGATTGTACCTGGTCCAACTTGTTGATCCGCTTCTACATATTTGACTTGTGTTCCTGATTCATCTGACCCGGTTACAATCATGTTGGGTTGGTCGTTGGTAGTATCACACAATTTGCGTTTTCCAAGGGTTTTCCAGCGATGTTTACGGGCTTCACCATGCTCCGGATCCTCGTGTGAACGCCAATAGAATGAGACGGCTTTGCTATACTGACTTGGCGTCAGAACCTCATGGCCAGTGTCTGGATCGTAATGAGGTACAGGTAAATCCTTTGATGCAATACGTGGTCGCTCGTTTCCGTGATGCTTATGAACTTTACTATCATGTGCATGCCTTTTTGAGGCCATATAATCTGTGTTCAAGCACCCATCTGGTGTCACTAAAGCTTCTGACGCAGTCAGAACAGTTATGTTTGGTTCTTGTAGCTGGCTTGTACCCGTCTGTTGCATCAAATGATCGATTGGAACTTCAAACATCAGATTTTCCAAGTTTTCTGTCAATTGAGACATCAGCACATCGGCTTCCTGATGCTGGCTGGTCTACTCCTCTCTTGGAGTATGTGCGTTGTAGAGCTTCAAGCTCTGCACGGGGTGGGGACCGCAGTGATGGACTTGTACTTCGAATCCCTCCACTTGCTGTCCCTTCTAGGCTACGTCCATTAGTCTAGGAGGGAGGAGAGTGGTTTGGGGGGGCCCCTCTTGGGCCTCTCTCGGGGCTCCAACTAGGCCCGGGGGGATCCGTACCCCATCTGGTAACCTAGCGGATCGAGAAGAGGCTCGAGGGGGGGATTCATACCGAAATGACGAGATAGGGAGCAGTCAGACCCCTCTCTCTGGGCATGGGTAGTGTGTTCAGAGCTCTGACAAGCTCCCCTACCTCTGAATATTCGGTACCCCCTGCCAGCACGACTCACGGATGGGAGTCACTCAGGACTTCACTTCATTCTGGACTTCCATCCCTTCTAAACACTTCATTTCTCTCTATACTGACTTGTGCATAACACCAAGTTGTACTGTTAATTTGCACTGCCCTTCATTTATGCAGCATCCTATCCGACTCAGTCTGTGGATCATCTTTCATGTAAACCATGTGCTGTGATCAACTTCAATTTAAATTATGTATGTACCCCATGTTTAAGGTTCAGTTGTACTGTTTTCAGTTTGTATTGTCATTCTGTAAGGTTCCTTAGAACCTTCACCGGGAATGCACAAAGAGAGCGCCGTGGAACACACAGCGGGACAGGTTTCTAGAACCCGAGAGACTTATATTTCAAATCAACGGAATACCCAGTATAGGAGACTGGTTCCGAAGGATAAGGGGTGGGAAGTCAGTCCCGAATCGCTCTAACACTCTACAAGCATCAAAAGAAAAGAATGATAACACTAGAAAGAATATGAACGCTTACCTGGTTCCAAAGGATAAGGGGTGGGAAGTCAGTCCCGAATCGCTAAGGAACCAAGCGTAGAATTGAGAACAATAATATATATGAGAAATCATTTTAAGTATAAGTGTTAATATTTAAGTGATTGGTGAGTTATGTCTGTGTAATGACCGTAGGTCTTACAGTCTCCCCTCCTATAAAAAGGTTCAACACGCCCCTCTAAAGACCAAGGAAATAAAAAGGAAAATATGAAATTGAAAATAAATGAAATGTAATGTAAGCACACTTCCTAAAGAAAATTATACACAAAAGAGAAATGAAAAAAAGCACAAAAAAAAAGAAAAGAAAAGCAAGGAGAAGAAAAGAAAAGAAAAGAAAAAAAACATGAAACAAAATAAAATTATGAGTTGATAATTTTTTTGAACTTGAGGATAATTAATATGTGAATCTTGAGGTGAATTAATATTGATCTTGATCTTGAGGAAACACTGCCCACTCTTCTTTTGTCCGTTGCCATTGTCCAAGAGGTTCCTAACAACAAGAGAATTCAAAGAAGTTGTGCTCACAGAGTGGCCGAGGTATGTTTTCTCTTGACAAGGATATTTAGGAGTAGTAGGCCCTGGCGGTGCATACTTTGGGAGGAACTTACTTTTGCTTTCCTTTCCCTCACGACGCACTCCCACTGCTTTCACGCTCGACGTACGGTTTGACTTTTGAGATGTGAAAAACCGGATGACGTCGATCTCCTGTTGGAAGGTCAAGTTCGACGTCTTGACCGTGGTTGAATGATTTGACCACCCGATACGGGCCTTCAAACTTCTCGCGCAGTTTGCTGGCTCCGCCCACGTGTCTACCGCTCCAGTCACCTGAATCCAGCAGAACCCAAGAGTCTACTTCCAGAGGCGCCGCTGCCCGTACCTTTTTGTTGTGTTGTACAGCTTGTTGCACTCGGCTGGTCCACAAGGTGTCCTTGGCATTAGCCCAAGCATCCTCCCGAAAATTGAACCACTTTTTGATTGCCGGTGGGTCGTTCTCGTCTGGTTTCACTGCTGATAAAGGACGTTGAGGTCTGCCGAGGACGAGTTCGAAAGGAGATTTTCCTGTCGATACATTTATTGCACCGTTGATTGCATATTCAACTGCCGGTAAGGACTCGAGCCACTTGCTTTGCCTCTTGGATGTAAAGGTTCGTAATATCTGTCCGACTGTCCGGTTGGTGCGCTCGCTTCGACCGTCGGCTTGGGGGTGGAACGCCGTTGACATATGGAAATGGGTGCCTAAACGTTTCATGAGGGCCTTCCAGAATGCCGATGTCCAAGTTTTATCGCGATCACTGATGATTGATAGCGGAGGTCCAAATGACCCGATCCAATTGGTAAAAAGCCTAGATGCTGTCTTTTCGGCAGTGTCCGTCTGGTTACAGGAAATCAGTTTGGTGAATCCTGATAGCCTACATGTCACGGTCAAGATCATGTCGTAGCTATTGATCTTTGGAAGTGGTCCTACAAAGTCAATCGCCAAGCACTCGAGCGGGGTGTGTGGAATGCTGGGTGTCAACATCTTACCCGTAGGTGCTTTCGTAGCACTCTTGATTCTCTGGCATGTATCACATGAGCGTGTGAACCGTTCGATATCCTTTGCCATTCGTGGCCAAAAGAAGTCGCGACGCAGGTCCACCACCGTCTTCAAGTACCCCAGATGCCCCAACCTACTGTGGGCTTCCTCCATCAACTCCAGCCTTAGATCCTCCACAGGTGGAACATACAACCGATCTTCAATGTATAGCAGACCGTCCAGTACCACACATTCATCTCGTAGAGGCAGTACTGACACTAGAGCTTTGTGAAATGCATCGTTAACATAGCCTGCTTGAATGCGTCTTTTTACACTAGGTGAAAGTGTCGGTCCTGCTTCGACTAACGATGCCACACACTCGACTCCTAACGCTGTCACATCCTCTTCCTCGATTTCCTTCCTTGATAAAGCGCCCGCAACTGAGTTTTCTTCGCCTTTGATGTATTTAAACTCGACGTCAAAATCTGCGAGAAGCTCGATCCACCTGGCTTGTCGACGGCTTAATGTCCGTTGCTTCAAGAGGTATGTTAATGAATGGTGATCACTCATCACATTCACTTTCATCCCAAGCAACAACATTCGCCATTTCTGAAGTGCATGTACGACTGCCAACAACTCCTGTTCATGCACAGGGTAATTACGCTCGGCCGGGGTCATCTGACGTGATTCATACGCTACTGGAGATGCAAGCTTCCATTCTTTACCTTGAAACAACGCCGCACCCAGACCTGAACCACTTGCGTCGGTGAAAAGCCACAAGGGATCGTCAGAATCGAAATCGATGGTCTTGAGGTTTGGCAGTGATGTCATAAGCTTCTTAATGTTATTGAAAGCACTATCTTCTGCCTCAGTCCATTTGAATTTAGACGGATCCAGCTTGCTACTGGTCAACGGAGTTAGCTTGTTAACGTAATTTTGAAGTCCCCATATAAATTTTTTCATCCATTGGACTGTTCCCAGAAATTTCTTGACGCCTCTTGATGATTTTGGTGTTTTCCAATTCACCACCTGTTCAACTTTCTCGTCATCCACTCTAATACCCTCTCCTGAAATCCAATGCCCCAAAAAC